AAATAAATAAATCACTCAATTGTAGGTTTTTTATTATTCCTATTAGCTTCGATATTCGTCGATGATACGAAAAGATATAGCGTGAAAGGATTTTTTAATTCAAATAAAATCATAATTTAGGATTATCTTATTAATCTAACTTATAAGTTAGATTTTAGATATTATATGTTATTGTAACCTTTGGTTAAGCAGTTGATTGGTGAATATTACCTGGGCGTTATCCCTTTTCAATAACTTGTAGTAAATACATACTTCATCTTGACAGCTACTATCAAACGTGATGAAACGTCGACTTTGATAATCAAATATCAACAATATCAGTAAACAAAATTTCACCTAACGGAAATGTCTTTTTTAAATACATAGATTCTCTTATAATAATACTCTTGGTATAATAATTATTGATACATAAATAAAAATTGTTCTAATAAGTGTATTAATAAGAAAAAAATGTTTTCGTCACCATTACGATCATCAAAATTATTCGTATTGTTCTCAAAATTAAAATGATAATGATCAGTTTTAACGAATATTCACTCATATAAATAGTTTAAAGTATTTATTTAAATAAATTTATCTCTAATGTAATTTTTTAAATTTATAACGTTACGAATCTTAAAAGATAAATTAATACGATACCTTTTAACATCCATAAAATAGCAATCCGATCATCTCAACTATATCACATCACTAATATCACCTAACACTTAGCATAAATATAGCACTATTTATCACTTAATTCATGTAATAAGTTTTATTTTTCTAAACTACTTCATCACCCTTAAACTCCCGCATATCAACTAAAATGCGTTATTTCCAAACATCCCCTCTTTAATTTATTGCGTGAAGAAGGAATACTGGAGGTGAATAAACAAAAAATGTAAAGACGACGAGCCGAAGCGGTTTTAAATCGTTTTTTGATTTTAAAACTCAACCTTTCAATAAAAAAATTACTCGTTTTCTCGAAACATTTCAAATAAAACTTACGCCATTTTACTAAAATAAAACACACTAATCGAATTTCAATGTTTAACACTTCCTGCAAAAGAATCAGGCGCCCAACAAATTATTAAAACGAAGTAGCCAAGACGTTGGATTATGCATCATCCCTTATTTTTGTGTCATGAAATACAAATTTTAAAAAAATCGTATCTCAAGAACGAATTAAGATATCATCATGAAATAAAGAACATTTTAAAGCAAATTTAATACGCTATATATAATTTCTTATTTTCTATAAACATCACTTATACTACTCGCTTTCAACGTTATTCGCTCTCAGCGAGTCGTGATTATTTCATTGGTCACAGTGATTTATGGACCGAAAGGATGAATATTTTAGCCTTAAAAGATCGAAAACAAAAAAAAAGGACATCCAGGAAAGTTTTATTTCCAAAGAACAATGATAGTTCGATAGATATGTGGGAATTCACCACCAAAAGAACGTATCCGCATCGATGGCGATGAAACTATACGAGTTTTCGAAAAGAAGGATATCATCTATCAATCATCTTGACGGCGTAGCAAGTTTCGGAGATTCTGTGGGAACGTTACAGCAAGAATATGCATTGTTGGCTTTGAACTTGCACGAAGTTTCGTTCTTTCAAGTGTAAAATAATTTATATCTAAGAATTTTGTAGACACCTATGGATCCATGTAAACTTAACCTGAACGAAAATCGAAACTTTTTTATATAAACAAACACTTAAATAAAAAAGATTATAAAAAAATGAGATTATTTAATGAAATATTAAACCTTTAAATTTCAATAGAATTGCATTGTAATCGTTGAACATTTTGCAAGCTTCGCTGTACATCTGATTTTTTTATTGCAATAGATTTTGTAATAACTATTGAATGCAATAAAATTCTTACCTATGAACTTTAAAAGTTTTTAATCAACCAATTTGTGAACAGAAAGAAAATTACATTCTACATTTTCATATAAAACTGCGTTATTAGTTAAATTATGATTGTGGAAGCATAAACATATGCATTAAAACTTAGCTGTTAGGATCTTTTCAGAATAAAGTAGCTATATATATATATACTAAAGATTACACAAAGACTGAAAGATTGTTTTATATATAATATTTAATTACAACAAAATATGTTGTTCTAAATGTAAGACTCAAAGTTTGTCCTAAATTTAATTGAATACACACGGTAAAAAAAAGGATTTTTTTTGTGTACGTGTGGTAAATTTTATTTCAATTGAGAAAAGATGGTGATGGCTCTTACATCGCGGGCATTTTCAATGAGACTGCTAACGTTGTATACGTCCACGGTCTTGAATGGAAGTGTCTAAATAGGGCCCGACTACGTTCCGGACAAGCTCTTGGAGGCAAAAATCCCGTAATGGATGGCCTTTTACGATCTTAAATTATTGCGTTTGTTGTGTTCCAACGGGATGTGTGTTCCCCTCTTTTTCTCGTCTTCTATCAGAATTTGCGAGGTTCCTTACAAGCGAATAGACGCGTATTTTTCTATTCTACACGAAAGTCTGATCAGAAAATGTTATCTCCCAAATAGAAAATAAAACGAATAGACTTCTGGGTTAGCTATAAATTTGTATGTAGCTTGTTTTATTAAAAAAAAAGTTTTTAAGGAAATTCTTTAAAGAAGTTAATTAAATATCTTTCCAACTAATTATCATTCTTCGGTGTCTCGGTGACGTATTCAGAATTGGCGAGGAGCGGCTAATTAATTTTCTATGGATTGAACGTTAACGCACGGTCCAATTAATTCCACGGGATTCTATACGGGCTAAACGCGTCATTAAGTCTCCTCCGACTTGTTGCTGGCAATTACGCGAACTGGTATAAAATTATCGAACTGTCATCGGCGAATCGTCACGCTTAATCAAACTTCGTGCAGACCCTGCTTCTGTCGTTTTGTCCACACGGAATTGTGATTAACGATCGTTTACCACTCGTTAAAAAGGGGGCCGTGCCGCTTATGTAATGCGGCGCGTAAGTTATGGAATAAATCCCTATATATCGTGTAGGTATGCGTAAAAAATGTTGTCGTCGTAGATAACGGCCTACATGTTAACGTATCCCTTTTCCTTTTTGTCTACTACTTACCAACATTTATCATGTCAACTAATAATGAAACGTTACAGATATAAATCATATATTCAAACCGCCAACAGAACTATTTATTTGAACATATAGCTGATTAACACCGATTTTTTTTACGTTAGGTTTTATTTCATTTGCGAATTTATTCCAAAATCCGATTTTATTAATGAAAGAATAACATTGCACATTACATACACGTCCATTGGTTATCGGATTTCGTAATTGGCAAATCGATATGGGACAAAAATATATGGTATTTGGAATTGTATCGCTAGTTTTTGTTTATATATTTTTCAACAACACTAACAATAGATGGGTTATAATCATAAGGATGAATATGTTAAAGAAATATAAAAGTCTGTGAGAATCCATTCACGGTAACTGTTAAAACTGGATTTTATCCACGTGGACAATACGAACATCGCAGCCGTAAATACCGCTTTGATTGGACTGTTTCTCGTTAAAGATCCGAGAGAGGTTGTGCGGTTCTGAAATCTATGGCCATTGAAAAGAACGGGCCCATTCGCGTACCCGACCACTTTATCTCTTCACATCTATTGCAGGTGCGTTTTCTAACTGCGAACATAATTTAAGGCGCGGTCGTGAACAGAATTTTCTCGTTACAAGATTCTTAGGTGTCATTTCCTTTAATTTACAAAAACGAACAAACGTTTCCTTTTTTATACATTTTTATTTTAACGTCTTTTTAAGAAAACAAAATCTATAAAGACAACAAACCATCAGAAAGGCAAATATATTTAATATCATATACTCAATATTTTGTATTAAAATCTGCGCTAAAGTCAATTTCTTCAATCTCTTTTGTTACTAAGGCACGTTTCTGGCAAGGAATATTTAACACTCGGAACTTGAACAATTCTGAAACTCCCTAACACCACCCACCAATAAATGAGAGTAATTTGCTCCATGTAATTTGTCAACGATATACTGGATCACTTTCCTGTATTAGAACACCTCTATGAGGATTATCCTTTATAATTTCCGGGTGCCAATCAAAATCTGCTTCACGCACTGCTAAAAACTAATACAAATATTATAAAATGTTACATTGTCACATTGTTTTAGCAACAGATATCGACTTAAGTCAACTAAAAATGAAAATACTCGAATTAAGTCGATTAAGATGCAAGCGAATAAGGGAATAAGACCATAACGATACAACACGGCTAACACGTACCATAAGGTCTATGACACAGCAGTTTATATAAAACATATTTGGTTCCTTTTCTTTGACAATAACAACCACTTCTTGTTTTTAACTTTGGACACAGAATGCGTTGTAATTAATACCGTCCTTGAATTTGTGTATAAAGACTCCAAAAAGTTCAAAATTTTGATGAACACACATACTACGAGTGATCGTTAGATCTAATTTTATTTAAGCACTCGAAACCATGTTTAAAAACACATTATTATAGCTTTAATAACACTTTAATTAATTCATTTAAAGGTGTTTTTTAATAATAGAAATCATTTGAATAAGAAATATTTTATCTAAATTGACTTCGTTGGAGAGCAAATTATTTTAATGTAATTTAAACTTAATCACATTAACGTGTACTTTAAGTACTCGTTATTTCCTACTAGTTAATAAATTGTAAACACTCAACTACACAGAGAAAAAATTTTGCTTTCGTCAGAACTTACTGATATAGATAGCTAAAATCTATTGTTTGAAAATAAATATTCGTCAAATAATTAAGGCTAATCAGCGAGATCCATCATTTGATAATAACTATTTCTAATTTAGTGGTATACTATATTATTAAGAAAATCCCGTCAAACCTCAATCCATATGTTTTTATGTTTTGGTCTATATTCGTTATTAAGTTTTTTAAATTCTCGATTGTAATAGAATTATCATTGGCCGACGAGAAAAATTGCAAGTCTCGTTATCAAACATGTTATCAGAACACTCAAAGGTGTTTATATCCAGCGAATATAAATTTTAACCAAACGTGGTGCATCTCACAACGTTTCAGTAGTTTGCTGATCTCACAACTTGTTCGAAACAAACAAAAAACATTTTCATCATGTGCGAAGATAAACCACAAGTAAGTTCAAATTCATCATTAATTTAATGTAAAATTTCATTTTATTGGAATTTATTTTTTTAAATTTTTTTTAAATTATTTACGTTCTTAAAATTGTTTTTAATCAAAGATTATAATTTTTTTCATAATTAAATTTATAAAATATTGAAAATTAATTTTCACATATGATTAAAAAGCTTAACAAAAGATACGTGAAGGTTATCTACTTCGAAAGATTTATCAATAATGAATGATAAAAATTATAATTTCTATTAGAACACAATCTTATCGGAATTGTTATGTAGTAAAACGTGGTTTTGTAAACAATTTTTTATATTTTGTGCGCAATGTCACGTCTTTTTAAAATTTATTCTTTTGAGACTAAAAAATTTTTATTATTTCAGCGCATTCCAAAACATCCAGGTGCAAAGAGTGATATAATGAAATATGCTAAACAAGGAATAACATTACTGGCGGCACAATTGGCAAATGACGAAACCATCGAAGATTATTGGTTAATTACTGGACCGGAATCTGTGGATTATTTCGGTCATATCATTGCGGTAATAATAGATTCAAAGCAAAATAGATACGCACTATTTGTAGAAACGAAATTGCTTTCGATGAAATCGATGAGATTCATAACCGATCCAGAAACGCCACGTGATGCTAAAAAATCTGATGTTCCTCTTCACAAATATCTTCAAACTTATGAAAAAATCATGAAGATGGATCTTACTCCTCAATTAAAAAATCAATTGGCCGGAATACCAACTGAAAATTTTTATTTCTGCTTATTCACTATCATGCCAAGAAACATCGTTATTCAAACGAAAAACAAAGAAATGATGGATGTCAAATTGGAGTTGAAGAATATTAACGAAAATATATTGAATTGTTTTGGAGCTTATGCTCAATGTTGCCAAAACGCGGATACTCTTCCGGAAGGTTACGAAAAATTTTTAAAACAATTTTATATTTTCGCCGAACAACCTAGTACACAAAAGGTATATCAAGAATTTCAAGAACACATCGGTAAGTCTTCAGATGGTGCTATTGACAGATTATGTGATAGCATTGAATCGGTTATGAAAGAAGACAAATTTTGTTTACCTCTTACAAAACTCACGTTTTTCGAGAAGTGCTTAGAAATTCAACTATCTGATGTTATTCTATTTTAATTTTGTGGATTATTTCACGTTTATTTGACATGTGGTTTATTTTTAAAACTCCTCAAAGTACTTACATACTTTATATAGTTAAGATTTCAATTAGTTTTAAGTGTATCTTATTTATTTTTAATATTATGGTGTAACTTGGATAATTTTTTAATAAAATAATTATTTTCTAGTACTTTTTTATCTTTTTTTCCAAATTTGATATTCAGAAGAATTTTTATCTATTTGATGAGTCTCTAATAATCATTTTGAATGTTGGATGTTGGTACTCTAAAAAAAATATTAATTTTATTAATTTAATCAAAAAAGTCCAAAATAACATTCGAAATTTTTATTTAGAAGATACATAGTATATTAATTTGGGTTTGTATAACATAATTGGAAATGGGAACATTGATTATTTTAGCTAGATCACAATAATTTTACAATTTTATTCTAATTTTGTGAAGGTTGGGATATAGATAACTTTAATAAAAAATTTATTAAAGATCTTATCGATAAAAAGCATAGAATAATCTGTAAACAACGATAGTAGTCCTTAACGTTCCATGATAAACATTTTAAGGTATAAACTTTAATAATGTTTAATTTAACGAATCAATATTCGAACACGTTCTAGAATAGGCAACCGACAATACCGGTTAGTAAACAAAGTTGAAACTATAAAACTGAAAATAGAATGTAATAATAAAGTTTTAGAAAAACTAGCACCACTCTACAAAATACTATTTAATATTGCAAAGGGTGAAAACATCTCAATCAAACTTTACAAGATTTCATTCAAATTTGATACGCAGTTACACAAATATATTACACCCTATTTATTTTTTAATCACAATTACTATATGTATGACATATAATACAAAGACTTAAAAGAAATATAACTAATGTTGAAAACTATCCTACTGTCTTAACACTTTGAACGATATGTACTTATGGGACGGGTTCCCCTATTTGCGAAATTCAGATATACAAAACATTAATAACAGAGCACATAAGCAAGTATTGAAAGAAATATCAAAATTAGATTAATGTTATATCGATTTGCATTTGATACTCGAGCACCAATTTTTGGTCCTATTACTTCTGGAATATGTTTCAGGTGAATTGTATTCATTTCTGATTGAGGTTGCGTTAGAGTTGATTCTGTCGTTGTTACTGTGTTTTTGGAAACAAGTAAAATTTGTAAACGTGTCAATTGTGGATATGGTGTTGTTAAATTTACTTGAAATGATACATTTTGTCTATAATAACCGTCCGCTGAAACCTATTATATAATTGTAGAACTTGTATGATATTCAAAAGCAAATGACTCACCTCAATTTTGTAATTACCAGGTACTAAAATTTTCCAAAATTCTCCAGCAGCATTCGTTTTAAACAGCATTTCTCTCCCAATTACTTTGAATCGAGCTATTATCGGTTCATTGGTTTCAGAATCTCTAATCACCCCGAATACACCTTGATTTGCCTGAAGATAATATTCTACTAAAGCCTAAAATGTATTATTTAATATGAAAGTGTTTTAAGTCTATATCTATTTATTTATATATTTACCTTTTTATTATTTTCAAATGATTGTTGAATCTTCATTGTATTCTTCTTGTATTTACTCGAATCCTCAATCTTTATATTCAGTTCCATACAACCATGTTTAAAGTAATTGTAATCTTGCATCGTACCTAAAATTTAAGAATAAATTTGTAATCTCTGGTTTTTATCATTAAGTAATAATACTAACGTAGTGTTGGTCTAGTTTTAGCTCCATTTCTGATATTAATTTCTTGTTCGATATTTGAGTGATAATTTGTAGAATATACGTTAGCTAAATGTTTAAAAACATCGTTATCTGATGTTATCGACTCTTTTGATGTCTCTAAAATAAATAAATAAACTGATAGAAGTATTGGTCTACAATAAACAAAGACTTTATAAAATCGACTGCCCAATTTTTAGCTATAGCAAAAAACAGAAAAACAGAAAACTCCAATTCTACGAACGCCACGTTAACATTACCTTGGGTGTACTATAAGCTTAGAAGTGCCACCAACAACAGCCTGAGTGCAGAAAGCCAAACTAGAATAAATAAACAATGTTGTGATACTTCGATTACAATTGTTAAGGTAGTGACGAAGGAGTTGATTCTTCTGTATTTTGAAGTAGAGAAGAAGGCAGAAGCAAACAACTATGACGCTTTTATAATTAGTCGACGCCTCTGGTTATCATTATTATTACTTATGTGCAAACAGGCATGTACTGAAGCAATGAATATTAGTTGGCGTTCTCAATAGTACTAAGCAGCCACATTGAACCCGATATTGAAGAGTACAGAGTTGAATTAATACAAGCCCCATCATAAAGACTCTGATAATAATCATATGTGATCCTACACTATTAATGAATGAATAAATAAATAATAAACCTTTGAAATGATTTGATAACAGCAAATCTGAATTGGGGTCTCTGACTAAGATCTTTTAAGTTGATGGGAAGTCTTTAAATGCTATCAATTCCAATGTTCCAGAAAAGATTTTCAGAAGTCATTCTATTGTATTTATGCTTCAGAAATGCCTCGCAAAGTCGAGATCAATAAACGTGAACAGAGTTTTAGACTCAGTAGGAAGATTCACTGAACTTCAACATAACTGATCAAAAATGTGAAACAATTGGAACTCTTTAAATCTAGTTTTATGTAACAAAAATGTTAAACATTTATTAAAGAAATCTTACTTACGATGTAAATCTTTTGTGTTGTATGGATAAATTATTTCCATCGTATCAAAATTATTGTAAACATAATTTAAAGTTGCAGAAAGGACAAAATAATTATCGTTCATCCATTTCATAACTGCTTCGGACTCAAGTTGCGGTGTTCCATGTGGACCTTTATAAAGATCTGGAAACATTGTATCCAAATCATACCGAAACGGATTCCCGTGAGTGATAGGATAACCACTTGGGTTCATTCGTGATAAAATATGAATTCTTGTATTGTCCAAAAGATACTTGACAGATTTTTCAGTTTCATAGGAACTAATTAAGTACTAATTGATAAAATTAACAACTAATTTAAATTTTCGAAATGTATTTTAAAAAATCTTACATCTACGAAGTGAAGTAAAATTTCAGTTCCAATGTGTTCATCTCCAAAAACACCGCTGATCAATTTTACATTAGGAATTCCAGTCAAATTTTGAGCGGCTGTTATTTCAAGAACCCACATATCTTCACCTAATTCAAAATTAACAAAAATAATTTGTAGGAAACTCGAATTAAATCAAAATCACAAAGTTCTAGTGTAAACTTACTTTTTACGTCGTGTATACCTGTAGATTTTCCAATAGAATACATCTTCACATCAATTCCATTGCGAGTCATCGACGAAAAATTTTTTAAAACATTAGTTAAAGCTTTGTTATTATGAAATTCGAAGTCTAAAAGTTGTACAGATTTCAATCTTAGGACTATGATAAAAGATACACAAAATATGTTAAACAAACGCATTGTTAAAACTAAATACAAACTGAGAATAACTGAATATAATCAGGCGCGCAGTAGGAATAATATCCCCTTCTACTTTTGTTACAAACGATGACGTGAGCTTTTTGATAAGCAACCGAATATAAAAGCAAATCTCTTCGCTAATGATTTTTTAAAGAGTTCCGTGCTTAACATTAGGATTGTGTAAGGATTTTTTCTTAAAAAATGATGTCAGCTATATGATAACTTTGCTATATTACGCATGGCAAAGAATCCGAGATGTTTACGAAGAGGTTGTAGTTGATATTTTATTATCTTACTTTATGGAATTGGTTAAAAGAAAAGAAAACGCAGATAAAGTAAACCATTTCCTTACAATGACATCATTCTCTCTTCCCACAATTTATTTATTTTAAATGAAAGATTAATCAAACCAAAAAATTGAAATTGACAACCTTAACAATTTTATAATGCTATCAAACCGATCGTTTAAATTCGATAATAATCATTTAAAACACTCTCTTAAACAAGATCTCAAACGTCTTGATGATTTGAATCACTCGACTTCCCTGAATCAACCAGCCATGAGTTGGTTACATCCAAACCAACCTATAGTGTATAATCCAGAACATATTTACAATTTAAAAATGGAATCTGATGAAGATTATATGGATTGTTTAGAATTAATTATTGATCGGTGAATCTTTTAATGTTTTGAATTTATTTGAATTAAAATTTCAGGATTTATTCCATTTTAGGTTCTTGCTTATATCTTTTAGATGATACATCTAGTAAAAATATTCATAAAAGTGTTGTTAAACCAGAAAAAATGACGCTAAGTTTAATAGTAACGAACGTGTATGAACAAATTAAAAATTTAATTAATTTTAAGGTAAGTGATAAAAAGAATGCAAAGTATCAGAAAGAAATTAATTAATTTAGAACAATAGCAAACTTGATGAAACCACAAAATTAATTGCACCTAATCCTAAAGAGTTATCGAATAAATCAGATAAAGAAACCCAAATCAACACCAACATTGTTCAATGTTCCTCATGTTCCATCTCATTAAAATGTATTAAATTAATCGCAGATCAATTATCAAAACTTGGAGAAAACAGATCTGTGTCCATAGCAAAGTAAATATCAAATCCGTTTATCGTTAAGAAGTTTCTAAAATGTTATATTGATTTAAGAGATAAAATGAAAAGCCTAATATTTACGTCTACTCAAGAGGAATCCGTTGATTTGTTAACTAATGCCATAAACAAAGACGTTCGAGATTTGACTTACAGAAATTCAGAACTAGAGGCGAATTTAGGTGGTCTAAAAAATCAACTGGAAAATTTAGATTTAGCTCTTCAGGAATCTTTAAATAAAATTAGAGAATTGGAGGAAAATATAAACAAGTTGGAAGAATTTAAATTAAAAGGTATAATAATGAGGTGAATTGACTTATTATTTTTGATTTATTTTATTTGTCAAATTTTCACATGAACAACATTTAAATTTTAAGTTCATAAAAAATAAGATTGATACAGTACTCCAAGAGATATAACACGCCATATCGAGGTAATATTTTTTTATATCAAAACAAAGAACATTATAACACTTAACCAACCATGCGGTTAAACCATTTTTTTTTCTTTGTATCATTGTTTTGATAAGAGTCGAAAAACCCCAACTTTATCTATAATATATAATATAATCGACAGCAATAAAACCACATGCTTGTATTTTCAGAACAACAACAACACTTAATTTTAAATAATATTATCAACAAATTGCTAAAAAATAAAAAACGCGCACAAGACGAAATGGAATGGCACAAAGTCGAATATAAACAGCTTGAATCAGTAGTAGAAAGTCAAACTGCTAACATTAAGGAATTACAGGAAGAACTCGAAAACTTTAGAATGAACAACAAACGTTTATTGTCTCAGGAGGAGCTCTTAAAATCAGAGAAAGCTCTTTGGAAAGCACGGTTTGCTCGCGCAGAAGAGACAAACGATAATATTACTACACAGAACAAAGAACTTAGAATCAACGTACAACGAATCGCGGATTCCATCGATTCCATTGAAAATACCTGCAAAGGTATCGAAGAAAATGTCTCGGAAAGTTGGGTTTTAGTAGAAGACAACATGAATAGTTTTCAAAGTTTTTTTAATTGTGTTGAGGTAATATTTGTTTAAATTTTTCATTTAAATAAGCTTAATCGTTCAAATGCAGGATGTGGTTAACTCCAGTACGATATTAGAAGAAAACTTAAATAATTCTATGCAAATAGTTAACAGTAAAAATATATCGGGAGATATGGAAGGTAATCACGTTTTATTTCAGATTCCTGTTAGTTTTTATAAATTCTATTTGTACTTTTATTCTAGTTAAAGGCGATCCTTTTTTGGATATGATGAAACAGATTAAGGACAACAACGAAAATATCGAAAAGATGCAACGACAAAATGAAGTTCTGTTAAAAATTGTAAAAAAATTTGAAGAACATTCAAAAACTAGTAATTAATAAAATTAATTAGTGTTTAATTCTAATTTTATTTTATTTTGCACCGGTTTCCGCACTGAAATTTGTTTATGTGTAAGGTTAAATCGACAAAAAAATCGTATTGAAAAATTGAGCCTTTTAAAAAGTGTTTTTAAACGATCAATACCTTTTAGAGGCCATAAATAAACCATTTATTTAACGAATACTTTAAGAACATTTCCCTATAAAATAAGCTGTGTTGCTTTATTTCGTTAGAAAATCAAATAATACCCAAGAAAAATGTTTAAATTGTACCTAAAAGCTTGTAGTGTTATTGGTTTAACACCTACTTTTAATTCCATAAACAAAAAATTATCAAGAAATATCCCACAAAAAGTGCTAGTATCCGCTGGGATTTTGCTAATAATTACTGATTTTGGGTATAATTTATATATTAAATCGATTTTGGTTTATCCCAAATTGTATTTCACCATAATATTAACAGATATTTCACACCTTTTTCTTTTAACCGTGGTAATCGTTCACGCTACTCTAAACATATATTTTTTTAAATTTAATGATTACGAAAACCTGGTGATAAAATTATATGAAATCGATTCGTTAGTAAAAGATTTTCATAACAAAGAAGATAAAATTCATTTTTACATCGATCTCTTTCTTCAGCTATTCATGGCAGCTTTAGGAGCCACCTTTCATTTAATGTACTGGTCAGCAATTTTCGGCGAATCGATTATAAAATTTTACTTGCTTCAACACATTTTGGACATTTACTACGGATTTTTAGTAAGATTATTAGAAAAAATTGCCAGAACAGCAAGAAATAATTTTCGTTTGGTAAATGATATATTAAAAAATAGTCGAGAAAAAGCACTAAAAGAAGAAAATTTACGAAATTTTGTTAATTCAATAAAGATTTACGAAGGAACCGATGAATTAGTGTCATTATTTAATAATTTATTCGGATTGACGTTATTTAACATTTCCATGTTTTGCATGATGGACATTTTACATTCAATCAATTTTATTTTACTTACTCGTGGAGACAAAACTATTGGAGTTAGCAATAATGACGATGTTCTAGTTCATTATTATTGCGCAAAAGCCATAGCAACATCATTTGTAAGTAAATTATTTATTTAATCATATACAGTTTTTGATATGGTACGGTACATTACTTTTGAAACACTCTGTATATAAACCTTTTTTTTTAATTTCAGTTAGCAATTACGATGTTATCGGGAATTGGTAACAATATAACAAAGGAGTCTAAAAAAGTAGCCGGTTGGTCTTACTTATTAATCCACACTTTACAAGATAATTCACAAAAAATAAAGCAACTCAAAAACGACCTTATTATTATGGCACAAAAATCAGGAACTCAACCAGCTACTATTTCAGCTGGAGGATTTTTTAATATGGAATATTCAGCTTTGTTTACGTTTATTTTAAACTGTACTTCTTATATTATAATACTTGTACAATTTGTAAAATAGATAATAAAAAAATAAATATTTTTTTTAAATTTCAATAACTCGATAATAGATGTCGCCGTTGACATTAAAAATCATTTTTAGTGTTAGCGGATGACGTTTGAGGTTAGATTACACGTCCGAAACGTGCGGTAGTGTAAAAGCCGGATAAAAATTATTAAATCGAAGATTCGGATGGTTTCTATTGAAAATGGGCGATCCGCAGGTAGCTTAAAAACTATAGAGAACATTTACAACCCCATTTTTATATTTCACTTTCCGTAGATCTCCTCAATATTGAAGGATGTTTACTTCAAAATGCAAGAAACCAGTCTGAAGGGGCGCAAAGAATCTGTCGATTATATTATTGAAAATTCTCCAAATGGTAACTAATCTAAAAACTTTTTTAAACTTATTTTATGTAATGAGTTTAAATTATTCATTTGGGATTTTTATAGATTTGGATGAAAACAGTGTCAAGGAAATATGTAAAGTACTTTACATGGTGATTCCATTATATGAAGGTAGTTATTCCCAACATTTGATTAAAAAATTGCTACATTTCATTGCAAATAAACAAATCAAACCAACTATCAAGTTTATGTTACCCGTTTATTTAAACATAACAAATCAGTATAAAAGTTTAATAGCAACGTAAGTTATTGATTTGAAAGCAATAATTTTCCTTTATAGGTAAATGTTTTATTTTAGAACAAGCACCTCCAAAAACTGCTTGTATCTTTTGAGATCTACTTGTATATTGTATGAATATGCATCTAAAAGTGATAGAGAACTTTTACAAATGGTTTTACCAAAATTGGTTGAAATACAATCAATTTTATATACCAGCATTGCTTCAATTGGAACTAATAAAAGAACCTCGAAAGCTATTGTAGCTGTAAGTATACCTATATGTAAAAATTCAAACATTTTTAAAATTTTCATTACATTGTGCAATATTTATTATGAAAAAGATAAAATATTTATAGATTGTTTGTGTTGTTGTATTTTTTTTTGGGTATACTTTATATTATCTTTTGATAAAATGATAAAAATAACAAAAATATTCAATAACATTTTAGTTGAAACATTCTTGGCAAGCCATTCCAGATTCAGGAAAACTATACTTAGACATTCTTAAGTCAATGGAACAATCTCCAAATGTTATTATTTTATCTTCTGCAGTTTGCCAATATTTATCCTCAAATAATGAACTAGAACAAATTAAACCATACAAGGTATTTATCTCTACAGCCAAACAAAAACTGCTTTGAATAAATATTTGGAATAAAATATAAAAAAAATCTTTTGAAAGTCACTTTATTAGATATTTGTGGAGATGGACAACTTTAATAAACTTGAAAGTTTTAGGTTTAAGCTATTCCAATTTTTCAATTCTAAAAAAATGTAATTTTTATATAAGTCTATGTTTATATAGAGAGTTTATATAGTTGGATGTATAGTCTATACCACCAGAAGGGAGAGTGACTCATCGCGTGAAAACGTACGAAATAGCACATTCATTCAACTTATCGGCATAATATCTGTACCGTATGCAGAAAATAATAACGGAAATCGATGAATCATTCGCGTTTCTCGTGATATCACCTATATTTATTATCGCATAGTTTTCAAAAACACAAAATTAATTAATTCAAGCAGTTTTTCACTTGGCAATTAACCTTTTCCAAGAAGAAACGAAATTCTAATTACATTCACATTTTTAGCCATCCCTTATTGACACCTTCATAAAATCTTTTGTAACTTGCAAAAAGAAACCTCAAAAAACCTATGTTCAAGCTTGTTATCCATTCTTAAAAACGATGACTTACGATGAATTTTCAAAATCTTTACTGCCAGCTTTACAAAAAGCTCTTCTCAGAAGTCCTGAAGTTATCGTGGAATGTGTAGGTCTAGTTTTAGGTGGCTTAACAATCGATATTAGTGATTGTGCTTTTGATATTGGAAAAAGTTTAAGCGGTAAGAAGTTAAATTTTGATTTAAACCTTAATTCTTTATGATATTACTTTTAGTTAATTTACATTCTACCGATGATTTAACCAGGGATGATGCAGTTTTTGCTTGCAAAATGATGGCGGAAAAAATCAAAAGCGTTTCCGTACTTGATAAGATTGTTACTCACATTTGTGGGGTTTTTAATGGATCTGATGGGAAATTAACGGTTATTACACACAAAATAAGCGTTTTATTAGGTGTTGGAAATCTTAGTTATCACGACATTAACGGTTCAAATTCAATTCAATTAACAACAAACGTCATCAATCAATTTGTAAAGATATTTGAGACTGAAGTTAACGAAAAGGTTCTTTGCTGCGCTTTAGATGTTTTAGGATTATGGTGTGCTAATTATTGTGGCGATAATCCAAAAAAACTTATTGATTCTATTAAGGTAATAAATACGTTTCAATTAGGTTGATTTATAGAATTTCATATTATTTTAGTATGGTATGGACAATAAGAATTCTACTCCAACTTTAAGGATATCATACATTAAATTTATGACCGTGCTATTTAAAGGCAATAGGATTTCGCATTCTTTACCATTAATTCCAACTTTACTAAAAAGTATCGATAGAGCTGTTGCTCAACCAGCCCAAGCGCCGATTGTAACTGAAGGATTATTTGCTGCTTGTTTTATTCTGAAAGTAACAGCTACAGAAACACCTAAAGACAATTTACACAACTTTTGGAATACTGTTTGTGATTTAGAAAAGCAATTATTTCTTTCAGAAAAATATCTGTCTTTGGCAACTGAAGAAGGTAAATAATTTTGGATTTGATTAATGAAATGTACACATTTTTATTCATCAACTTCTCTTTGCAGCTTTTGAATGTATTTTTGAATTATCTGCAAAATTACTCCTTGACTATCAAGAAAAAATTAAAGGAGATCCTGAAGTGTTATACAAAGCAATGCTTTTCTGTCTAACATCTGGATCTTACGAAAATTCTCGTCAAAAATGTTTGAATATTGCCAAGAAGGAATTATCTAAATTGGGAGGAGTTGCACTTATTCGGAATTTACTCCAACAATTCACTAAATTTGCGAACAATAAAATCCAAGTGAAAAACGAGAAAGATTTCGACCAAATTATTCCATCTAGTATGTTTATTACTTGCATCACTACACTATGTTCTCAAGTTCCTACAACATCAGAAGACGTTAACTTGATTGCTGTCGATGCTTTGTTGCCTTGTCATCATCCAGTAATTATGGTTTCAATGAAAAATTTATGGGAAACCATTCTTAAACATTTAAAAGTGTGCCCAAAAAATTTGATTGCACAACATTCAGGGCAGATTAAAAAACTTTTTATTTATGAATATGAAGATTCTCAAGTAAATATTCTATACATGAAGTACATAGACTCAATTTAAACATTTATTTTTATTTTTCATTAGGTTTATGAAAATGCTTTAACAAAAATAACATCTATTAATGCAAATGTGATCTTTGACGATATCGTTATGTATTCTATCAGTCATTTATCCAATCAAAAAATTTTGGAAATTACTAAAGATGATTATTTCATTTATCTTACGCCTGAAGGAGATCTTTATGATAAAAGCGTTTTACCTGGGTGAGTTTTATTTCTATTTTATTATGTGATCTAAATGATTAATTTGAAAATGTTAGGGATGAATATAATAACGCAATGAATATGAAACGCGAAAGTAAAGCGTATAGTTACAAAGAACAACTTGAAGAGATGCAACTTCGACGAGAATTAGAAGACAAAAAGAAAAAGGAAGGGAAAGTTAAGGAACCTCAGTATACACCTAAACAATTAGAAGCGATCAAAAATCAAAAAGCTAAAGAACAGGCTATTCGAGAAAAATTAACTGAGGTATTATTGACCATATAGGTATCCCAAAATTATAGAGATAATGGCAAAATCAATACCAAGTATCTATATAATTCTGATTTACCTATATTTTAACTTTAAAGTTATCTTTATTCTTTGGGACTACAACCTGTGGTGGGTTTTTGCCTTTGAGTTTAGCCTCTTTCATCTGCCTCTGTCCTCATGCCTCACATCCCAACCCCATCTTCTTCAGGTCCTACCATATATCATCTTTCTAGGTCTTCCTACATCGCCAAAGACTTTTTTTGATTCTTCTTTCATCCATATACTCCTACAATCTTCATCATACCATTTCACATTTCTGTAACTCGTTCTGGTATTCGTTTGCTACTTTTGTAATCACATCCCATTGTTCTTCAATCCTTTCCTAGAAGTCTCTCTCTCGACTTCAGCACAGTCTCCAGTTGTTGCTGGAAGGACTCTCTAACTTTTTCTCACTCTGCATCCTCTTTGGGTCCTATTTTATTCTTCACACTCCCAATTATGTATCTAAAAGTTGACAACAGCGAATGTGGTTGCTGTCACAATTTGCTCTTCTACGTAAATTGATACCTATGATTGAGGAAGCGTATCGAATATTTATCAACAGCTTTAAAGTTAAAACTCTTAAAAAAATATGCTTGCTATTTATACTTTATAATTTTTAATATTTATTTTTTTTAGTTAAACACGACACTTTTAAAAGTCGTTTCAATGCTTCAAGCTTCGTTCTTGGGAAATCCACAATATTGTTCATTTCATTTACGGTCTCTTTTGCCGTTCATTTTGTCCAGTATGCAATCACCGCTAGCAGCCCCGCACCTTACGAAGTTGTACCTAAATTTGAGAAAGGCTGTTTTTAGCGAACGGCTTAATTTGACTGGAGAAAAAGTCGCAAATTTGACGTTACGTCTTGAAAAGCCTAGTTGTGATTTAGATCCCGCTTGGCAAGAATTTCCGTTAGAAGAAGCAATGAACAATTTGGTTGAATACATTCATTTTAAAACTGTTAAATCAAAACTTGGATTACCGGTTGCTCCGTTAACAACTCCAGCTCTTGCGTATTCTTTCAGTTTATTGCGAAATATAATTATTGCGGTGTTTCGGAAAAATGAAACGACAACTCATATGTGTTTGGAAATATTTTCTGAGCATGTTAAAATCGATAATGACGATGAACTTTATAGTCCAGTTCATTTACCTCGAAAACAAATGTTCGAGTTATTAATAGACCTTATTGGTAAAACACAAGCTCGATTACAATCCCAAGCGGAAGTAACACTTTTAGACATCGCAAACGCATCTTCAACTAATGCGACGATGGATGAAATTGTCGTTCTTTTGGAATCGTTAAAAAGTCAAGTGCAAGTCGTTAGAGATGCTGGTTTAAGAGGACTTTTAGCGATGAAATCTTCCTTCCCAACCGCAGCTGTAACTGAAGAGGATATGTTGAGAATCAGTAAACAAGTTTGGATCACCAAGTTTGATGTTATCGAAGAAAATAGGGAATTGGCCGAAAAGCTTTGGCAAGAAGCCTATTTAGATTTTCCGCCATGTTTTTGCACACAATTAATAAAAGATTTGGAGTATCCAGTTGAATGCATTCAAATTGCTATTTCTGAAGCACTTGCTGCTTTACTTAGTGAAGATCGAGAGCAATTAAAGTGTATTCTTACTGATTTGATTAAACTGTATAAGGATAGGTTAAATGTAAGTCGTTTGAATAGATTTTGTATAAGATGTTCTTTAATGTTATATATGAAGAGATTCAAAAATGTTTTCAGTAAATTTGTTTTGTATTGTTTTAAATACTCTACATTAAGTAACATCTGTAAAATAATTATAATTAAAAATGATACATTTTTATTAATTTATAAACAGCTTATTGCCCCAAAATTGGATGAGTTTGGAAGAGAAATCGAAAAACCTATCGACGTTTGGCATCCGCGTAGAGGTGTAGCCCTAGCCTTGGGCCGAATAGCTCCACTGTTAGATTACGATGTCATTGGGGAGTTAATAGAATTTTTCGTATCCACCTCTTTAGGGGACAGGCAAGAAAAAGTTCGAAAAGAAATGTTAGCTGCTGCTTTAAAAATTGTTGATTTACACGGAAAAGTAATTAATCCAACCTCTCATTTTCGAAATTTTTCATTTCATTATTTTTTTTAGGACACAGTAAGCACTTTACTTCCAGTTTTTGAGAACTTCCTAGATAAATCTTCAAAACAAGCTCATTTCGATGCCGTAAAACAAGCAGTGGTTGTTTTAATGGGATCTTTGGCAAGACATTTAGATAAAGATGACGCTCGAATTAAACCGATCGTTATGAGGTTAATCCAAGCTTTATCGACACCATCACAACAAGTACAAGAATCCGTTGCGAATTGTCTTCCCTTCTTAGTTCCATCAATTAAAGATGAAGCTCCCGGTCTTGTGAATAAATTGCTTCATCAATTAATTAAAAGCGATAAATACGGTGAAAGAAAAGGGGCTGCGTATGGTTTAGCTGGTTTAGTAAAAGGAATGGGTATCCTAGCTTTAAAACAACTCGATATTATGACGAAATTAACTGATGCTATACAAGATAAGAAAAATTATAAACATCGTGAAGGTACATAGTTCTGAATCATAAAATATATTTTATTTTTTTTAATGTACTTTCAGGGGCATTATTTGCATTTGAAATGTTGTTTCAAATGTTGGGGAAATTATTTGAGCCGTACATTGTTCATGTACTTCCTCATTTATTGCAATGTTTTGGTGATTCTAGTCAATACGTTCGTAATGCAACTGATGATATGGCTAAAGTTGTTATGAGTAAACTCTCAGGACACGGTGTCAAATTGGTCTTACCTGCTTTATTAGGAGCTTTAGAAGAAGATTCATGGCGAACAAAAACCGGTTCTATTGAACTTCTCGGTGCGATGGCTTATTGTGCTCCAAAACAATTATCATCCTGCCTTCCTAGTATCGTTCCAAAATTAATCGAGGTTCTTAGTGATTCCCATACAAAAGTCCAAGAAGCTGGCACCGAAGCTTTGCGCGTTATCGGCTCTGTTATTAGAAACCCAGAAATTCAAGCGATCGTTCCGGTTTTACTTCAAGCAGTGCAAGATCCATCAAATAAAACCTCAAATTGTTTACAAGTTCTTTTAGATACTCAATTCGTACATTTTATCGATGCACCATCTTTAGCTTTAATCATGCCAGTTGTACAAAGAGCTTTTATGGATCGATCTACAGAAACAAGAAAAATGGCAGCACAGATTATTGGAAATATGTACTCTTTAACTGATCAAAAAGATTTAGCACCATATCTTCCTACAATTATACCTGGACTTAAAACATCATTACTCGATCCAGTCCCAGAAGTAAGAAGCGTTAGTGCACGAGCGCTTGGTGCGATGGTTCGTGGAATGGGAGAATCCAGCTTTGAAGATCTCCTGCCATGGTTAATGCAAACTTTAACATCAGAAAGTAGTTCTGTTGATCGTTCCGGAGCTGCTCAAGGTTTATCAGAAGTCGTTGGAGGTCTTGGAGTTGAAAAACTCCATAAATTAATGCCCGAAATCATTGCTACAGCTGAACGCACCGATATAGCCCCTCATGTCAAAGATGGTTACATCATGATGTTTATTTACATGCCGGTAGTATTTACCACGGAATTCACTCCATACATTGGACAAATTATTAATCCAATTCTAAAAGCATTAGCTGACGAAAACGAATACGTTCGAGATACAGCCTTAAAAGCCGGACAACGCATCGTTAATCTCTATGCAGATTCAGCAATTTTGTTATTACTTCCAGAGTTAGAAAGAGGATTATTTGATGATAATTGGAGGATTCGCTACAGTTCTGTACAATTATTAGGAGATCTTTTGTATAGAATATCTGGCGTTACTGGAAAAATGAGTACTGAAACTGCAAGTGAAGATGATAATTTTGGAACTGAACAATCTCATTTGGCAATTATTCAAGCTTTAGGCGCCGAACGTCGAAATAGAGTTCTTGCAGGGCTTTATATGGGGCGTTCTGATGTCGCTTTAATGGTACGCCAAGCTGCTCTTCATGTTTGGAAGGTTGTTGTTACAAATACACCAAGAACATTAAGGGAAATTTTACCAACTTTATTCAGTTTGTTATTGGGTTGTTTAGCTAGTGATAGTTATGATAAACGACAGGTGAGATGATTGAAAAAACAATATTAATTTTCATCAGACTGGTGAAAGTGCAAATATTAAGTGTGCGTATATTATTTTAGGTTGCTGCAAGAACTTTGGGTGATTTAGTTCGAAAATTGGGTGAAAGAGTACTTCCAGAAATCATCCCGATTTTAGAACACGGATTAAAATCGGACCAACCCGATCAAAGACAAGGCGTTTGTATTGGTTTATCTGAAATAATGACTTCAACGTCTAAAGAAATGGTGTTAACGTTTGTTAATTCTTTGGTGCCAACTGTTCGAAAAGCACTTTGCGATCCTTTACCGGAAGTTCGTCAAGCTGCCGCGAAAACTTTTGATAGTTTGCATTCCACAGTTGGTTCACGAGCTTTAGATGATATTTTACCACCGATGCTTAATCAATTAAATAATTCTGATGACGCTCAGCTTGTTGAATGGACTTTAGATGGGTTACGTCAAGTTATGGCAATTAAATCTAGGGTTGTATTACCGTATTTGGTCCCTCAATTAACAGCACCTCCACCAAATACAAAAGCCCTTTCCATTTTATCTTCAGTGGCTGGTGAAGCTTTGAATAAATATCTTCCAAGAATTTTACCAGCATTGCAAACAGCTTTAGCAGACGCTATTGGGACTCCAGAAGAAACTCAAGTAAATAAACAATTTTTAATAACATTCAAATTTTTGTAAACATATTTTTGTTTAGCAACTTGAATACTGCCAAGCTGTGGTTTTGTCTGTTATGGACGAAACTGGAATCAGAACAGTAATTGATACATTACTTGAGAGTAGCCGAACTACCAACGTAAAACAACGTAAAGGAGCCGTTACACTTTTATGCGCATTTTGTGCTAATTCGAAAGCGCAATACACCACTCATGTACCGCAATTACTTCGAGGAATTGTTCATTTGTGTACTGATAGTGATAAAGAAATTTTAAGGACAGCTTGGGAAGCTTTAAATGCAGTTACAAAAGTAAATCAAAAAATCACCGCCTTGCTTATTATAATATAATTTTTTTTTGTTAGTCATTAGATTCAAAACAACTTTCCACTTATGTACCTGATGTGCGTCAAGCAGTAAGATACGCAATTTCCGATATGAAAGGAACTTCCGATACGTTACCAGGTTTTTGTCTACCAAAAGGAATTTTACCAATCCTACCGATTTTCCGCGAAGCAATTTTAAATGGAGACGGAGACGAAAAAGAAGCCGCTGCTCAAGGTTTGGGTGAAGTTATTAAAGTAACCAACGCTCAAGCGCTTCAACCGTGTGTTGTTGCCATAACTGGACCTTTAATTAGGATATTAGGGGATAGGTTTAGTGCAAATGTTAAGATTGCTGTTTTGGAAACGTTAGCCCTCTTATTAGCTAAGGTAATAAATAATGTTTTTATTTCATCCATATAAATATTAAATTTAAAGGTTGGTGCAATGCTTAAACAATTTATACCCCAACTTCAAACAACGTTCCTAAAAGCGTTAAACGACCAAAACCGTACTGTTCGATTAAAAGCAGCTGGAGCTTTGAGTCATTTAATATCGATTCATCAAAAACCAGAAACATTATTTTTGGAATTACACGGAACGGTTAAAAGCTGCGAAGAATCGGCTATAAGAGAAACAACGTTACATGCTTTAAGAGGAATTGTTGCTCCTGCTGGAGATAAAATATCCGACTCCTTAAGAAAACAAATTCACAGTACTTTAATTGGATTACTTAGTTATCAAGAAGATACCACTCGCTTAATAGCAGCTGGTTGTCTTGGTGCTTTATGTAAATGGTTACCTCCAGAACAATTAAATGCCACAATTACAGAACATATTTTAAGTGAGTAAAAATAATTCTCCAATTACGAATTATGTCCATCATAAGTTTGTATGTTTTAAAATTTTGTGAATTTTTTTTTGTAGCTGATTCATCTTGCGATTGGATGTTAAAACATGGAAGAGCTGCAGCTTTATCAGTATCTCTGAAAGAATGTCCCGAAGTTATGTGGGTAGAACAATACCAACCCAAGATAGAAAAAACAATTTTATCACAATTAACATCAGATACAATGGTGGTTACTCAAACAGCAATAAGATCATGCGGTTATCTTCTACAGTATTTGATGATGAATGATTTAACACTTCCAATTAATGTACTTGGACCGTTTGTAAAGCAAATGAATAACAATAGTAACGATGTAAAACAGTTATTTGCAAAAGTCTGTATTCATTTGGCAAAAATAGTACCCGCCAATAAAATGACGCCTGAATTTCTGAAGTTATTACTTCCAATGCTGGTCAATGGAACGAAAGAAAAGAACAGCTATGTGAAAGCGAATTCGGAGATCGCGTTGATTGCCGTTTTACGATTAAAGGAAGGTGATGAAATGAATCAAAAATGTTTAAGTATTTTGGATATTGGAGCAAGGGAATCACTTCAGGATGTAATCAGCAAGGTGTTGAAGAAAATTATGCTTCAACCGGAGGGCAAAGAAGATGAACTAGACGACACCTTACTGACTTGATCAAATGGGTGTTTATCGTACGATTTAAGTCTGATAGATGTTGTTCGTTCGATTTTTATTTTCAACTTCTTTAACTTTATTATGACTATTAGCTCTTTAATAACGTTAGGATTATTATTGTACATTTTGTATCTTTACCATCAGAATACAAACTGTTTATTTAACACACAACCCTTGAAATTTTGTTACAGTGCTCCCGTGCGTTATACATATAAAATAAAATTTAGTATTGAAATAGTTGTTTTCTTCTTGTCGTTATTAAAAATATACGCAGCGCCATCTTTTGTTGCTTTTCGATCTTAACTTATTGAATCCACAACATAACCTAACAAATACATAACCTTACTTTTTTTTGATAAATTGATGAAATTAATTACTTCTAGTTGATTTATTGAGTGCAAAAAATGTTTAGTGTTATTAAAATTTCTATTGCAAGGACAATTAGTAATCATACACGATGCGAATATAATCAAATTGCAAGTTATGCTAGATGGGCACATAGAAGACCGGTACGTGTGTTGAGTCAAGAACAGCATGAAAATGAAAACGCTAAAAATGTTGTTCAGAAGTATAAAGATGACGAAGAGGAAATTGAATTTGAAAGAATACCACCACCAAAATATAATTCAAAGAATGAAATGCAAGGGTTAAGTTTGATGCCAAAGAAATCAAAACCCACTCATAAAAATAGAAGTAATAAACCGAACAATTCTAGGTTTGATATGTTACAAACCGTGGTAGATGCAAAGGGAGAACTTATTTATACAAAAATGGATAATAATGATTCTCGAATTTCGTAAGTACCACAGCTTTTCTTCTTTAATTTGACCAACTTAGATATTGTATTTTATGTACATAATTAATAAGGAATTATTTTTAGACAAATAATGACTGCAGTAAAGATTAAGAAAGAAAGAAGCCGTAAAAATCTTATACTACTTGAAGGAAAAAGGCTTGTTAAGGAAGCATTGGAAAATAAGTGTAAACTAAAATATTTGTTATTTTCAAGAAAGGATGATTTGGACAGTTTTAAATCTATTCTTCCTAAAAGTGGCGCATCACTTTATAAAATGCCTCTTCGAGAGATGCAATTATGGTCTGATTTAACTCAATGTCCAGGAGTAATGGGTAAACAAACTTTTATTTGAATCTTGGTATATAAAAAAAATCTAAATTTGTAAAATTTCTTTTTTAGGAATTTTTGAACACCCAACTGTTGAAAATTTCTCCACACCAAAAAATTCAATACCTTTAACGGTAATTTGTGATAACATAAGAGAACCAGGCAATTTAGGATCAGTTTTAAGAGTTTGTGCTGGAGTTGGATGTCAAAATGTTATATTAACAAAAGGTAATTTATTTACTCTTAATTTTTTTCACTTAATTTTTACTACTTTCTTAGGTTGTGTAAATTTATGGGATACTAAAGTAACAAGAAGTGCTTGTGGAGCTCATTTTCAACTTCAAATTCACACAAAACTTGAATGGCCAGAAATAAAAGATAAATTGTACTCTCAAAGTAAAGTATTTTTGGCTGATAATAACATTGCAAAAACATTTTCAACAAATTCCACCAATTTATTCAATTCAATCCAACAAATACCACTTTTACCATACTACAGTGTTCCATTTACTAAAGATGATTATGCTGTTGTGGTTATTGGAGGTGAAACAGAAGGATTAAGTGAAGAAGCTTACCAATTAGTGAAGGAATTTCATGGTGGAAGACTAAATATTCCTTTAGGAAATGGGGTTGAGAGTCTAAACGCTGGTGTAGCTGCAGGTATAATTTTATTTGAAATTCGTAAACAAATGGTATTATCTAAGAACGCACAAATGGTCGCATCAAATATTGGATGATAAATAATAAAAAACAATTAAAAGAATTTATTGAATTTAAAAATTATTAACAAATTATTAGTTTGCTAAACTTAGTAACAACGCAGTTCCTCTCTTCACCCAAAAATCTGATGTTTTTATGCCAACTTTTAAATCAACAGCTACAATAAAAGATGGCTTACCTTGTACTCCTTCTCGAATTGGAAAGTAATAACAAGGGCATACATATAATCCTAAAAATTAAATTATTAATTTAATAATTAATATAATAATCATATCCCAACATTTGTTGAACATTGAAGTATACCTTTAGTTTTCTTTTTCAATGATTCAACAGGTTTGAAATGAACGACAGGCATTGATGAAACTAATTGCATCGGTTGTGGTTCTATTAAACAAGCAAGCTTTTTATCCCAACCGGCGCCTTCCAGATACATTCCTTTTATGTATACACCACTTGAAGGCTTTTCTCCAATCGTATTTTCATCAACATTTAGAACAGTAAATTCCCAAATTAATGAATCTATTGGTATTTGCATTTGACGGGCTGCAGTCTGTAGTAACAAAGAAACGTTTTTCATTTTTAAGAGAAACCTAATCAATTTCAATCTTCGAAGTCGGCCGAGATTACTTCTGTTGATATAAAAAATAATCTCGGCCGACTTCTAGGACGTTGGCTGTCATAAGTATTTTTATTGTTCCTGAAATTTTCTAGTTCTAGTAATAATGCTAGTGTTAGTTCTAGTTTTACTTCCACAATACTTTCACTTCATACATTTTGTATGTATGAATAGGGAAAAGAATGTGAAAAAATTCCTTTATTACTTGTAAGACTGCAGTAAGATATCCTGTTGGAAACGTAAAAGCTGCCAGCCAAAATAGTATTGGAGGATGTGTAGTTTCTGCCCAAACGTGAAAATGATCAACTCTTTGAATAAGATCTCGTGTCCATGATCCTAACAGTTTCAATGAAGAGTACGCTAAAAATAATATTTTTTTTAATTTTAATATTCAAATAATTTGTTAAATTACCTTTTAACCATTGCGATGGTACTCTTCCTTCGTACATACACGTAAATATTTCTTCTAATTCAGTGGACATCACAACTAATCCTTTAATACCTTTCTGTAAATCGTCCAAGGAAATTTTAATTTTGAACAATAACACATTATACCTAAGGAAAACAACAACAATTATCATTATTAAAGTATTATTTTAAGATTCACCTGGATATTTCTTGTAATAAAACAACATCTAAAGGTTGTTTGTTTACGCCCATATTTTTATAACATGTTTCATAATCGATTAATTCCGGTATTTTTGTACGGACATCCGCCGCAAGTTGAATTACTTTATCTTCTTTTGATTCCGAAGCAGAACCGGCTGCCTGTACTTGCAAAGACATTAATGTTTCGCAAATATTTCTCGATTCTGTAATAAGTGATGTGATATCGGCGTTTGGATGTTGACCAAAAGCTTCGGGTCTATCAACGTTTGGTAAAAGAATTATGTAGTCTTGGTACGATTGTAATGTACCATCATTAGGAATGTAATATGTAGCCAATGAAGATAATCTAAAAATATGTTTTTAATAATTTTATAATAATTAATTTCAGTTTGGTTACCTATAAAATGGAGTAGTTAATGCTTCGTCACAGAAATACATATTAATATAAGTAAGTAATAATCTTCTGTCCCAATCATCAGTTACATGACCTCCATAGTTAACCCCAGCTATTAAATATTTTAAAGCATCCCATGGAGTTATTTCATATTCGTCCAAGTAAATTGTTAACAATGACTCCGATACAATAAAATCGGAATCGTTAAAGCTGTAAACAACGTTCCAACCAAGTTGTTGAAACTTTTTCCTCTCTAATAAAATGGCGTGGAAATAACATAATGAAAATAATAACTTTTTGTATTTATCTTTAGCTTGGCATGAATTAAATTGTTCCTCTGTCATTAAGTTATATAATCTTTTCAAATTCGCTTTTAAACCCTGAAGATAATGAATTGTAATTAAGAATTACACAAGTTTATACAATTGATTTTGAACATATGCAGAATCCCACATCAATCCCACCCCTACATAGTTTTCTTCAGTGGCATCTTCTATATTTCGATAGTTTAGAATAGACAGACTTAGGATGTTACTGTTTTAATGAAAAACCATGGTATAGTTTGCAAAAGAAATTACTTAAGTTATAAAATTAATATTTTGCAACCCAACCTTGCCATAGAGGCTTTGTCCTCTCTTGTTCAGAATCAATTGTAAAGGCGGATTAAATTTAGCTTATTTACTTTTGGAGGTTCTGTAGTCATTTTAATCCCAGCTTGTAAAATAGAAATGGGAAAATCTGGGTGAGGACTGGAACTCAACCAAAGCCTAAAATCTTTATGCACCTTTCCAGATTGTAAAGTTTCCACAATCTTATCTAATTTTGGCATCCAGCTCAATGATAAATGACAATTTGCTAAAAATACCCAATTACCTTCGCTAACACCGGTTTGAATCATTCTGAAAATTAAACATTATTTTGGTAGTCTTAAAGAGGAAAGATTTTACTTGGTAGCTATGGGTGCTTGACCTTGACCAAGACTCAACGACATAAATCTCGAACCCATGTTAAGATTTTCGGACAATTGGATTAAAGAGTTGGTGGGATCGACACCGGGGGAAAGGACAAATATCAGAGGAGTTTGTGGAATAGACTCTTCGAAGACTACCTTTATGTCTAAAACGGGGGGTTCCACAAACTTACCTCCCAATTGATTAACGATGAACGAAGATGTACAAAATGCTATCCTATCTTGACGTAATGCTCGTATAAAAAGCATTTTTTGAAATTCATTGCATACTTCTTCCCATTCGCCGGCTAAAGGTAATACTTCTGGTTCTGGATTAGTATACCAAAGGTACCAATCCCTTGGTAATTGCTCGAACGAATCTATAACACCATGAAATCCTCCCAATTTATCTAATTCTGTTACGTTATCCCATGCTGTATCACTTAACCATTGCGCACAAGGATTATCCATTTGATTTGAGCGGTCTAAAACAACACCTCCTTTTAAGAGAAAATTATATTCCCCCACTACTATTTTTCCTTGTGCTTCTAATATTTTTATACACATATGAAACGAAAATAATAACTTATGCCTTTCAAAGATTGCTCTGCAAGTGTTCCTAAAGAAAATATTTTCATTAAAAAAACTTTAAAGCCTGGTTCGTACAAAACGAAAACCAAAACGAGACAACCATTTTTTTCCGCTCAACAATAAATTAGATTGTAACAAGCGAAGACTGCGATTGGTTAACTCGTTTTGGTATCAGCAGTTCACGAATAATCTTACTTGTAAACTGAATAAGTATGATATTCATTCAATCCCGTTATTCTGTCTGCTAATATTTGTGATTTTGTACTTTTTTCAATGGATTGATTAAATAATAAGATGTAAGAATCCAATGCAAATTGATACATAGGATCAATTTTTCCCATATCATTCAAAACAAAGAATAATATAGCTGCTCGTTCAGCACATGGTCTATAACCCTATTTTTAAAAATATAAAATTAACAAAACAATTGTAATTTTATTTATATGATGGTGGGTGAATTCAACATCCAGCCAAACTTCAGGAAGTTGACATTTTCGAAAATTAACGGCTATTGTAAAGTGGACAAGACATAACTAGTATTACCTTTCAGAAGATTGTTACCTGGATGAATCAACCACCACATTGATATTATTATTAATTATTTTGAATACCTCTCTTGCAGTATCAATCTGTACTTCAGTAGTTTCTGAAATTTGCAAACTTGATTGTACAGCAATCGAAGTAGCTTTCGATGTTTGTAAAGTTTGAAATAATTCAGCATCATCTAACAACGACCCTCTAGATTCATTCAATAACCTCAATAATTCATTTTCTAAATTAATTAGTGTTCTCTTTCCTGTTGCAATAGTCATAACTAAATTATCTTTTTGTTCTTCTAGTTGTGGCCGCTCTTTTCGAACTACAATTCCAAGTAATTGGGCTTCAAGACCTTGTTGTTTGACGGAGAAGTTAATTAATGTGGTTTTTGTTGATATTTCTGGTGGGTAGTGAGGATTAGTTAGTTTAGTCGAGATGAAAAATCTAAATCTGTCATCGTATGTGACCATTTTGTCGTCTAATTTAATTATATTCATTCCACCTTGTTTTACCACAGCCCTGTCTAATATTGGATTTAATGATGGATCCATACTTTCCATTATGTTTTGTAGAAGAATCGGTTTTCCAAAAACAACTGCCTGTTCAACATATCTCATGAAATCTGGCATTCCAAAATCGATTACTTTCAAATCGTTCTTTGCTTCCATATTTTTTATCCATTTAGATGCTTGGCATTGTGGATCTATGGCTAACGGCCATCTTGTCCCTCGAACTGCTATAATACCGTTTTCTGTGCTAAATGCATCCGAGGGAAGACCTTGTATGTTCCATTCACGTATAGATGTTGGGTCGCTTAGAAATCCTATAATATTAAATGTTGGGTTGAATGGTATTTCTTGTGTCTGAACTTCATTTTTCCATAATTCTACCAATTCTTCTCGATAATTTGATGTGAATGCTCCTACATAAGAAATAAATCCTACACCCATGACACAATCTCCCGGGAGATAATCGTAAAGCGTATCTAACGTTTGCACAGTTATATTCCATCGATCTCGCTCACTTGCCAAATTATCAACTAACATAGCAGCTCTTTCTAATTTTAATTGTAACATTTTAGCTTTTCTATCTAATTCTTCCTTTTGGCGAAGTTTTTCTTGGTATTCTTGCTCTAAACGCGCAAGCATTGCTTGAATTTCAGCTAGTTTTGCTTGAGCTTCAGCTAGAAGTCTTTGTTTTTCTTTTAGAGATTCCATCGCTTCGTCTAGTTTTGCTTGTTTTGGCGCTACAATCCTAACATATATATTTTTAAAAGAAAATGTGGGACAATAAAAAGTGCTTACTTATAAACTTTTGCGTATTTTTCAATAGCGATTACCCATAGACAAAGAGATTTAGCCGCTAATGAAACAGCTCCAATTTTATCTGGCACAAACTCCTCGTTTGTAGTATATACAGCAATTTTCTTTAGTGTTTTATCAGTTACGTGGTTCTTATCAAATTCTCTTAAATCATTTAGAAAATTATTGTCACCCAATTGTCTTTTGGCCTCGTCCCAAGAGGTATCAACCCCTTTTAGTATCATCACAGCTTCCATAACGATTTTCACTTTTGCCGGTGGCTTAGCATACGATTTCATTTCACTAATATCTTTTTTATTAAGAGCATCGAGAGCGGCAATGGCGTCGTTTAATGCAGGCATTGCTAAATCTAAATCAGCTTGTGCAACATCCGCTAATTTTTTACATTGCACTGTATCTTCAGCTATTTTCTCACTAGTTTTAGCAACATCTTTCTGAAAGTTTAAGAAATAAACTTAATTGCACACGGAAACTATTAATATGTTATCAATACCGCTTGTTCGTCAGCTTCTTTTTGTTGATTTACAATTATAACCAAATACTCATCGCATTGTTGTTGAAATTCTACCACTTTTACCGTGGCTTCAGCAAGCTCTACAGACATAACCTGAACTTTATCTTTGCAATCGTCAATTTTCCATAATCCATTTCTTAACTTATTAGCTTGAGATGAAACTTCAAATCGTTTAGCAGCTAACATTCTAAAATTGTTTGTAATAGTATTGTTTTAAAACAAAATTGTTGCTTACTTTTTGTAGCCAGCGACCAATTCGATGTAATTAACTGGTGTTACATAAGTGTGTCTTTTAAGTTCTTCTGCCATTTTTATTGCATATTGTGCTACTGATGCGTGAATGGTAGCAAAAGTAGCAGCCATTGAGGTACGTAATTTGTCTTGAGATGAAACCAAAACTGATTCTTTTCTTTTAACCTATAACAAATTTTGTTTAACACACTCAATATTTTTAAATACACGGAACAACATGATAAAACGTTTTATTCTTATGGCTTTTATAGTGCTGATTTTGCTATTTTAAAGAACTTAGTGACAATTAAGATATAAGCGATCGGTATAAAAATGTATGGATTCAACTCTATAACATACATAAGAATCAGGTATAAACAAATATAAATTAAAAACTTATTATTAAAGAATACGTACCGCTTTATCACCAGTTATAGTTTCAACAAAATTAACATCGTTGATGTACTTATTAGCTACTTCTAATAATGCTTCTTTTGGCCAATCACAAAACCAATCGATTGTGGAACAATTAACAAGTGCTGGGTATTGTCTTAAGCGATTGCGAAATGCTTCACCAATTGGGCTCATACATAAAATAATGTGCAAGTTTGCTCTAACTCGGTCAATAAAAAAATTGTAAATACATTCGTTTGTTTGAGGAATGTTATTTTTTACGACCGCACTGAAAAGTTTGTTTTTTATTTCATCAAATTCGTCAGTTTTATATAAATTTGCTACTTCTCCTGAGCTCAACATGTTATTAATAATTTCTAAGAAACTTTCCTCCATAACTTGAGTATCATTAAAAAGAAATGATTGTGGTTTAACATCTACACCTGTCATTCCGTAAAGTTTTTTAAGATCTTCACGAAATTCTACTACTTTGTAACTTCTAGTGACTGTGATTTGAAAAGTACTGTATTCGCAGATATAAGCAGCTATTCGAGATAATGATTGTCTTCCGCTACCTCCGATTCCTACAAGTAACATATTTCCTCTCGGTTGAGAAATAACTCGAACAATTCTGCAAATGTGATCCATCGCATCTCTAAACAGCACTAGATCCATTCTAACAACACCAGGGGAGACATTATATTCTTCCATCTGTGTATCTAGATACTTTCTAAGTGCGACCGGGTCTCTGCAATCTTCGTACAAACCAAACGGATTTACAAAATCAGCAAACATTGGTATTTCTCTGTTTGGACACAAAGCATGGAAAGTTAGCTCAAAATATCGTCCTAATTGTGTGTTTATTTGTTCGTTATACCATTCCCGATCTTTGTTATCAACAAGTCTATCATAGAATACCCTAAACGATTCATGTATCCATAGCCTTAATGCCAAAGGTTTTGTATTTACAAGATCTTTATGAGCACGCAACATTCCTTGGAATATCTTTGAGATATCTCTCAAGTTGAATAAGTAATGTGTTTTAGTTGGTGTTGGTAACATTTTTAAAACTACCATTTCATAAAGATCTATAGTCATATCCGTTATAATACTACCTATGCGTTTTACATCCTCCGAAAAATCACCTAAGTGTTGAGCAAGCATAGTTCCAAATATTCTAACAATAGTTTCATTTGTTGGAAACGTCATGTTAATTACGCTGAATCTACTCAATAATCGCGGTGATATCACATTTCGTCCACCACCTGGAGGCCCCATTGAAGCCAAAATAAGCATGTTTTCAATATATTTTCTGATTTGCTTTGCACGATCGTAAACGAACCCATAATCCATCCATTGTCGCAACAATTCCAAAGGTGGTTGAGAACCGTAAGTTTCTTTTGCTGGCATATTTAAATCATCCATATAAGCTACTAATAATTTTCCGGCGGGTGGTGCAAATTTTGATTTTGTTCTTTTTTCAACTCGTCCTTCAATAGCATCCTGTACATTTAAAGATGTTGTTTGCGCCGACATGTTGATATTCAACTGTAGGTATCGATCAGGATCCAAATCATTGAGTACTGATTGAGCTGTGGAAGTTTTTCCGGTACCAACAGGGCCACAAAGTAACGCTGCATAGTTTCGTTTCAATAAATTGCCAACAATATATTGATATCGAACAGTGTCAATTGTTGGAACGATAATTCTGAAGAATGGTATTCCCGTCTCATATTTCCACCCCAATGTTAACCTCTCCTCCCAAGAACAAAACGCTTTCAATTTGGGTTCTACATAATATTCGTATATGGTATCCTTCAATGGAAATATTCCTTCTTTTTCGCGTATATAAGTATCCATTTTCTTTCTGCCATCTTCATTAACTGTACATGCTACTGACCATACTAGACTGTAAATTAAAATATTTAAATCCGTAATTATAAATATTTTTTGTTTATAATTTACCAAAATAAAAACCATAATTTCGACATTTCATCAAATTGTTCATCATTAGTTGGGTCTATTCCGTTTTCTCTTGTGGCGAAAATTTCTAATAATCGACAAAGAGCTTGAACAATACTCAATTCTGTAGTCACAACAGTTTCGATACATTGTAAACGTTTAAAATCGAGCATTATTTGAAGATAAGTGTTAAAGTACTTTTGCATAACATCTTGGTACTTTGTGCCTTGCTTTTGCCTTTGTATCCATGATTTTACGTACGGGTGCCACCCCCAATCTTTATAATCGTTATAAACCATTCCACAGCGACTAACAGTCGCAGGAGATGCCACAGTTAAATCACCAACTTCAAATAATAACGATACTTGCTCTGGCATAGTAATGCGATCACTATTAATTAATGTAAGAACTTTATTATCATCCATTACGCTATTCATATTTTCTATCCAAACTGCATCTACTGGACCATCAAATAAAATCCATTTCTCATCAGGGGTTTCCTCTAAATGTAAACAAAATTGGTAAAGATAATGAATATAGACGTTATAGTACCTGCACACGTAATTCTCATTATTGCACTAATAATTCCATCATGCCACTCATTTGTACTCAAATTATACTCTCCGTACAATTCACCTAAATTGAGAGCTTTTGGATTTATTGGATAAACTTGAACAGCCTGAAATCCCGGTTTATTCTTTTGCTTCATTCGACCTTTGGTGTCCTTTAAAGCACTCCAAGTAACACTCTTTGCCGTTCCTGTCGCTCCTAAAATCATCACAGAGTGTCTAGATCCTTTCGTCTCATATAGCTGAATAACTTTTATAACGCCTGATTTAATTGTTTGTAACCCGACACTTCTAAATGATTCTTCAATAGCTGTTATCATTTCTTCGTAATCAACTTCGGGTAATGTAACTCCGGGAAATATGTCTGACATAACTCCATTGAATAATGGTAAATCATCAGAAGTTAATTTAGCAATGTTCATATCGGCCATAGCTAAATATACAACTTGATCTTCTGGAAAGTTTGAGTGTAGCCTGCGTTTTTTCCCAGCATACCGAAGTAATGCAACCATAGAACGCAAACCGAAATCATAATGATCTTGCCTACTCAGTTGTCGCATTGCTAATTGATATAAAGTAAAAACTTTTTTAGCTAGAGATCTAGTACTCTGAAATCCATCGCTAAAGAGGATATTTTCCGCAATAATGGAACTGTCCGGAACCATCATGGAAATAGGTCGAAACATTGATTTCAAGTTATCCGGAAGTTCTGTTCTGCCAGCGTAACCCGGGTTCATAGTAATGAAAATGCCACATGTATCTTTTAATCCTATTTCAGTGCCTTCAAAAGTAAATTTTGTTAATCTTTGAGACATTGCTGATAACACGCATAATATTTGTTGCGCTACGACCGATAACACTTCGATATTGATTCTATTAAACTCATCAAAACATCCCCACGCTCCCGTTTGTGCCAACCCCGAAAAACATTTACCCATGCTTTTGAAATCAAGGCCTTCCGAACAATTATTAACAATAACCCACATTCCCATTGCTTTTCCTAAATCTTTCACAGTTTCCGTTTTTCCAGTTCCAGCTGGACCTTTCGGACTTCCACCACGAAATAAATGTAGTGCGGTGGTTAATGTTATATAACATCTAAAATTGAGAAATATTTTAACATAAAATACTGTAAAACCTCGATATAACATTTGGGTTTAGTCGTGCGTCTTCAGAAACTTTCTAGGTCTTGTGTTAGTTCTATTTTTAGTAGTTGAATAACAACTAGTACTACCAGTAGCATCAGAACTAACACTTGACCTAGAACTAGAAACGTTCGGGTTTAGCCGTCTTAAGAGACGTACGACTAAACACGAATATTTCTAGTTCTAGGTCTAGTCTTAGTCTAGTTACCTATCAGTTAAGGGGGTAATAACTAATCTCCCAGAATTTCCATTGTATTCATATCCATACATAAATCTAGTATTGGTTTGTCTAACTACGCAATCATCAATTTCTCTATCCCAATAAAATCGAAGTTGTGAGAACCATTCAAAGGCGTTAGTATCAGTGCAATCTTAAATGAAAAATTAATGTGTAATTATATTATTGTAAGTTTATTGACATTACTACGGGATATTTAATACTTACTGGCTTTGTACATTCTATCAATTACATCTCTCGAATGAATCTCAATAGTAATTAAAGCATTGGTCTTCAATCTTTGGATTTTAGGAAGGTCCTTTCTACTCAACTCAGAAAGTTTTGCCAAAACTTTATTTTGTTTTTTCCGTAGTCTTTTTAACGGTTTCTTGCTTTCAAGAATTTTACAATGTATCAATGCTCGTGTACATACACTAGTCCATTGAATCTAATTTTATAAAGTATTAAGATACAAAATTGTGAATTAAAATAATCAATCTTACTTACCAAACTACAAGCATTGCATAGTTGCCCACAATTCGATAATAACCATTTATCTCGTTTTGTTAACATCTTTTTTAGGGAGCTTTTACACGGCTTAAACTCAGTTCTTAAAGTGTTTCTCATTGCAGTTTCTAGATCTCGCAACCAGTTTTCGGCGGGGCCATCAATCGTTACAAATTTGGGAAATTCCATGTATTCACCATCATCAGCAAACATTCCAGCAGCTTCGCTTTTACCAGAAGTTATGTTTTTCTGAAGCTTGATTTTGTTCATATTGTCAAAAAGCTTCTTAAGGTGTGGTTGAACAGCTTCTGGTTTCTTTGCATTTCCAAGAATCTCCAACATATCGTCGTTAGAAATAAAATAAAATCTTGGAAAAACGTGACGTTTGGTTTCTAAATACTTTTCTAAAGCCCTTTGTATTTGTTCTAATAGATCGTTCATTTTAATGACTTGATTTAATAAATATGGCGGTGGTCTGAAAGTACATGCTGCAACAGCAGTTGGGGCGTTATACATTGCAGATGTTATTTCTATCCATTTTTTTGTGATCCTAATGAAATCCTCGGATTCTTTTGGTAATTGTTTTCGAATATCTTCTCCAGTAAAAATATTTTCTAGATAAAGCCATTGTCTCTGAGCATTCAATGCATTTTCTAAAGATTCGCTAATGTAAGATAGTAACCGTTCCCAATAGTCCACTTCTTTTGCGAATGGTTCCACAAATCTAGTACTTTTCATGGTTGATATTTGAGTGGCGTTATCTTCAAGTGCTTGAAAGCAATCATCTACCGATTTGATGCGACACACACCTTTATCTTTATATGGGGCCATATCAATTGTCATTGTCTTCCAAAGATCTTCTATGGCCTTTATTCCTTTTTCAATATTTAGTTCCATAGTTGCCGCATTACTAATATCGTTTATCTCATCGGCGAAGTCTTGCATTCTCATTCTAACGATAGCCTCTAAATTAAAGGATGGAGATTGCTCATCAAAATCTTGACCAATCACTTTCCTAACTTTATCCCAATGTCTTTTTCTCATAGATGGATTCTTCAAATCACTTACTAATGGTAATGTTCTTCTAAATGCATCCACCCTTGCTCTGGTATCGTCCACTATCGTCCACCCTTTATCTTTAAATTCTCTGGACATGCGAGTTAGTTTCCTAAATAATCCCTGAGCTGTTACTTCCATTTCTTCAGTTTCTATTGTCCAGAACCCTCCTCCTTTATACTTTTCCCAAGCTATATCCCATTCGCGTGCTGCTTCCCAAACACCTTGAAGTGCTGCTAACTCCTAAAGATAAAAAAAATTTAATAGTACTTATTTGGAAGAAAATACGAAAGCTTTACTTTTTCCAAAGCTGCCAATTCTGCAGAACTGAACAAACTTAAATCGAACAGACCTAAATCTTTACGCAATTGAGCTTCTTTGTCTCTCATAGCCGATATTTGAGCTCTCATATCATCCAGAAAACTAAGGGCTTGGGTGGCGGTCCATTCTGAACTAAATGGACCTTGTGCCATGAAGTTTTCCAACATAGTTGCACCTTCTTTCTTAAACTCCTCCGCAGCTTCTAATAAACCAGCTCTAAACTCATCCTAAAATTATCACTACATTTTAAAACTAAGCTATACTAAAACGTATTTCCCAAATTTGTGTTGGCATTAAATATATATATACATGGTAGTGTTGTGATGAGTTGTTTACTTTAACTTTTCTTTTTTTTTGGCTTCCTCAATAAGTACCTTAGCGTAGCCAATCATTTTATCAGCGTCTTCTAGAAGAGTTACATAATCGGCCCACACAATAGGTATTTGCTTTTCATCTTCAAGCACTTGTTTAGGAATTTCTACTTTGTACTTATCCAAAACGGTAATTTGATCAGCTATTACAGGAAATTGTGCTGCTTCTATTGGCACTTCATCCGAAAGTTGTTGGAAAAATACCACGGAGTATTGCATTTCATCCAAATTTTCCGGACGATGCATTATTCTAAAACATATTTAATGTTAACAAATAAAACAAATACACGGCAACTTTCTCTTACAATTTGCCATTTTTTTTAGTATATAGGAAAACGTGATTAATTTTATCTACTGTCATTTTGTAAAGCAACGCACACAATTTTCTCTGCCAATCTAAACAATGTTCACTGATTTCGCGTTTTAATTCCGATGAATCAACCAAAATAAAATGAACTGCAGTCATAGTTTCTTGCATTTGTATGTTATTGATAACTTCCGTATATCGTCCGATGTCGGAGTCAAATTGAGCGGCACCCGGTTTTTGGGATTCATATCTATTTAGAAACATTTCTTTGTTGACCTCCCACAATTCTTTAAATGGTTCCCAAGTCACCATATACTGTTGTATTAGTCTAACGTTAATTCTAACTTCTGCAAATTAAATTAATTATTTTTAATTCGTACAATTCTTTAATTTTAAAAGATAATTGCCTTCGTTTAGTGCTGCTTGTAGTCGCTGGCATTCGAGATCCTCGTCAATTAGTTGATGAAATGGTTTTAAGAAATCTATTTGTATTTGAAATTTGTCCACTAATCGTGGAAGAGAACATAAAGTGTTGGTAATTGAGGGCAAAATATCCGATACAAAATAAGCTACATCACTAAGGGATGGTTCAAAATTTATCTGAAAAATGAATATATTATTTTGCTTTAACTACTCGATTTTATTACTACTAACTCGATTTTGCTTTAAGTTAGCTTCTAATTTTAGCACTGAATTTGGCCCCGTAGTGCCATCACCATGTAAAGCTTCGTACATATTCTGCAAAGAGTTTCTAACACAAACTTTGACTGCTTCCTCTAAAAGATGATCGAACCTACACATGTATTTTATCCACTCATCTGCCATCTAAAAATATAATATGTTCGTATGAAGTTAATTTCATTTATATTTCTTACATTGGCTATATGAGATTCAAATCCTTCATAAACAACGATTATATAACGAGCAATATCTTGATAATGTACCACCAATTCTTCAATAACTTTATTACGGTAAAGATGCATGTCTTCGACAAGTTGAGATAATTGCATAGCTTGGCTAATTTGCAAATTTATCATTGGTGTATCACATATTCTTTCGCAAATTGACACAATTTTTAAATTACATGTTTTATAATCATCCAAAAATTCTTGTAACTAAAATTAAAATAATGTTAATAAAAGACTAAAACGACACTGAAATACAAAATTACGTCAGATGTACAAGCACTACATTCGGCGATATATTCATCACAGACATCAGTAGCCCAAGTGAGTTGAGAAAGTCCGGGTGCTATTTTCTTCTCAAGAGAATATAACAATTGTTTAAAAAGTAATCTTTCTGTTTCAGAAAGCGACGTAATTATTTTATTGTAATCCATCACAACCGATAACACGTTTTCATATATGAATCTTATAGTTTCTTCCCGTTTAGCTAATGGTACAACATGTGGTGGCACTTCATAACCCATATTTAGCCAACATTTTAATTCAAATATGGTGTTTATTATCACCCGGTCAACATTGCATTCAATAAGCCCCGGTTTAGTGACACTTCTACACATTAACGTTACATTTAGTCTAGCCAATACGTCATCTCCTAAGCTTGAGACAAAAGATCTGTAAATTGATATCCGCAACTCGTCGATAGAGGACATTAGATGATCATATTGCATAAAGACTTCGTCTGCAATGCTACAAGACGGAAGCCACGCGGCTGCATCTAATATTTTTCTCATTATTTTCAAATTACTCTTCTTACATTCTACCATCATCGCTCTACCAGCGTAATATGGAAATCTAGCTGGATAATCTTCCATTTCTTCAACTAAATCTAGTTTGGTATTTTGTATTTCTGCTCTGAATATATGATAAATCTAAAATTTACAAACATTTAAAGAAGACTGAAGAAAGGTTTTATATTTTAACTTTAATTGTTATTTATACACTTAATAAAAAAGTTATGTTTATGGTTTTTATTCTTTCAACGTTTTTTTTGAACCGAGCCCATAACGCGCATGGTAAAATAGTAATATTAACTTTTGACTACATTTGTTTTCAAATATATTGTGCATAATCTGAGTACTACGAGTTTGATGTTTTGGCCTACAAAAACATCACCATCATTGCAGAAAATTAAGCTATATTATCAGTTTGGAGACATCATTAATTGCTAAACACATTTCAGAATATCATATGTGATGGCAATAATCGAAACTAACCTAAAAATAAACCATACTTACAAATAAAGTTTTTCTTTCAAACAATCCTTTTAATGTATCACGATGTATATAATTAAAAAAAGCACCCATAGCTTCAACACCATCTTCAACTGTTGTAATTTGTTCAAAAACACTATTAACCAAATTTTCTATTACAATTTCTATATCTTTCATGCGCCCCCTAAACTTTAAAATTTCATCATACCAAGCCGATGTTTGCACGTTTAATATTAAGTGTTGGACAGCTTCTACATCTTCTATGCTCTCCAATAACATAGCTTCGATTTTTTCGCACCACATTTCAAATTCCTCTCCCCGACTTCCCCCAAATTTCGGTTTTGGTATGACCTCAATCTCGTCAAATCTACCAAAGGTAATCATCGCTTCACATATTTCAATCATGTCTTTGCACCGTTGGATGTATGAATCCAAATGATTGAATATCGGGGCTTTATCGAGATCCCAAGGTAATTCGGTGTGTTTTGTGTGGCATTCCGAAACCAATGTATAAATTTGAATATATTTTATACAGGTTTCGATACAAGTTTGAAACATGTCGATTGCTTGTCTTGTACGTCTCTCCTTGAATACAATGCTTAAGTCTAAATACGTCGTACATTGTAGAATGATTTGATTGGTTAACGCTCTGCATATGGTTGTTATTTTTTCTACGGTATTGTAATATGGGCTTTCTATCCAAATAAAACGGATCAGATGGAGAATGATTTGTAGTTTTGGTGGAATTAGTTCAGGTGATTCTAATTTTCGTAAGTCATTACATGGTTTCTTTAAAACTTGTAGATATTCAATATTGGATTTTGCTTCAATTAAGTTTTGATTAATTTCTTCTGATAAACTAATAAATTGTTTAGCGTATATAGATTGAACCGCTGCGAGAATATCGCAGGTATGTTTTAAGTCTTTATTTGTTAATTGGTAAGCTAGCCCAGAAAGATTCTCATCTAAAATTATGATTAAATTAATTAAATTAAAAAAATTATGATTTACTTACATCTATAAATCCAAAATTCATATTCATCGTTAGGGCATAATAAATCATCAGGTGCGTTTTGATCTTGATCTTGAATTACCACACGTATCTGTCTTGTCCAATAAACAACGATGCTTTCTAATCGCTTTACAAGTTCTTTATCTTTACTGGCAACTTCAACTGGTATATCTAATCCTTCTTTAGGCACGTAAATAACGGTCAAACCCAACAGTTTGTAATACAAATCAGTTAACTTAGCTAATAACATATGCAATTTTGCACAAAAATCAGATTTTACACCTAGATAAATCATTAAAGAATCACCTACGATCAATTATTTTGTTGTTATTAAAATTCAAATAAAAGGATACTATCTGGCCAAGTAGTAACATGGAAAAAAACTGGAGCATAAACGTTTTCTAAAGTCTTCAAAATCGTCCCCTCGATATTATCATCGACAGTCGCAAAAGTAATTTTATCATGAAACGTTTCCACATCAAAAATTTCATTTGGTTCGCGTAAAAAATAAGTTAAATCTAACACGGGACAGTCTGGATATCCGTACATACACTTTAAATCGTCCGCTTCGAAATAAATACATAACACTGGTTCTTTAATGTTCAAAAACCACTGCCTTATAACGTCTTCGTTCGCCTCATTCCAATCGGTGTCACGTAAATCATACAAAGTTGTAATGTCTTTCACAAAACGCACTAACTTCTCCAAATCTTCTTCGGTATATTCAGGTTTTACGTCTTCTTCTACAGCTGTTACGGCCTCTGCCTCAGTTACTAAACATTTAGGGAAAATATAGTTTGTATGTGTTTAATTAGATCTTTAAGTACAACAAGGTAAGTAAAATTTTTGTATCCTTGGATTATTTTTAGGAATCTTAGGTGGCGAAAAAAAAACACTAATCGTCAAAATAAATTGTCAAAATATACCAATTTATTCTAAGCTTATATTAAATCTTAAAACTACTCTATTTTTATTCTAAATTTATTCTAATTTTTATCTTAATTTTAGCTAATATCCTCTGGCATTTATTATTATTTAATATTATCTTAGTTTTAATTTTAGAATATAAGATTGTTCTTACCTGTAGGCTCTTCATCGGAGAATAAAGAATCTTTCTCTTCTGGCTGCTGTTCATCGGGCGACGCCATTGCTGCAACCAGAGGAGAAGATTCTTTATTCGATTTTAATGAAGACAAAATGCGTAACCCTGTCTGTTACGGGTTACGCAAAACTAAATATTTACACGTTGCTTCGGACAACCTTCCCGGGATACCGATGTTTCCTTCAATACGTTACCAAGTAACGACTATTACATATCATAAAAATTCAATATTGATGTCAATATACGTCAATATTGAAAAAAAAATGGTTCTTGCAAGGATTTATCTATTTTCTAGACAACAAAGATTACGAATGGGTGTTGTTTTTAGTGTTTTAAATGCGCTACAAGTGTTGTTAGGTATTCTAACAACGACATGGTCACTTTATGTAATACTGGGTGTTGCTCCTAAATTGTACACTGAAAAACCAGAAATCGATTTCGTTTTTACATGTACTGGAATGTACGGTACTCACGTGATTATCCACTTTTTGGTTGGAATGAAAATTTGTGAAAAAACTATTTTTAAAGCACACAAGTACATTTATACCTAAGTATTAATTAAATTATTATTTTTGATTTTTTAGAAAGAGTACTAAACAGCATCTTTTGATTTGGTGTTTAATAGGATGCAACACAATTTTAAACATTATCATCCTCTCTATTGTTGGGGTGAAGATATCTAAGCACATCGCGAAATCAATGCGACATTCGTTGGAAAAAGGGATGCAAAGCTATTTAACATCACCTATGTGGAAAAGAACCATAGATAATTGGCAATTTCATATGCAATGTTGCGGTGTTAATGATTATAAAGATTGGTACGAATTAACTTGGTTAGATAAATATCATATTGATATTACACAAACAGAAGTTCAAAGGTAATCTTTATTTATTGAATTTCTCAATTACAATACAATTTATTATTTTAGTTTGCGTTTGTCACAAGATCGTTTCCATTTTCCGGTAATTCCTTGGAGTTGTTGTCGTAGAAGCTTTCCTATGCAATGTCTTCATGATCCTCTTCAACAAATACAATCAGTTCATCTTTGGCATGAACAACCAAAATTAGTACTCGAGTCGATAAATACAGAAGGATGCTTAGATAAGCTAAGAGCTCCTATTCGGTGGTCTTTAATTGGATTTACCGTAGTTTGCACATTTTTGGTTTTATTTCAAGTACTTATTTAACTATATAAGGGGGTGCAAAAATAATCATTCAATTTTTTATTCTCTAAAAATCAGTGAAAGCCCGATCGGGCGCAAAATTAATCTTACAGCTAGTCCTCATCAATTTTCTAATACCCTTGTTATAGAAGATAGGACTTTAAGTCAATTCTCGACGCTTATTGTCTAAGACAAACTTCTGTCATCCAAGACAGCGTTTCATGTTCATCTGCATCATGAATGTCTGTACGTCCTGCTTCAAAGGCCCTACACCACTATACTTGATAATGGAATTACAAATAATCACATTGATGTAGATATAAATAGTTTTAGAGTATTCGAAAATCGAGTAATTACTTTTACACCACCCTTTAAACTAACAAAAATCTTAATTTAAACTAAAACTCATTCTTTTAGCTTGCAATAATAATAGTATCACGACTTTTGTATACATCATGTAAAAATTCGATTATTTTAAGAGATCCGGAAGGCGAATCACCCGGTTATATTTTAACACGTGGTTGTATCGGGAAAGCCCACAAAACAATTTCTGAATTGGTGATCGATTTGAAATCTAAGGAAGATCGAAAAAAGACCAAAGCCGAATCTACGCCAAAAAAGAAGCTTAAAACCAAATTTATTGCTGCGAAAAATCTCAGGAAGGTTACACTAACGAAATTATCGCCAAAAGCACTTCGAAATAAAATTCAACAAGTATCAGCTCGGCAAAAGAAAGAAGAAGTAATTTCTACGGAAACTTATGATACAACGGAGGAAGGTGTGATTTCAAGTGAAGATGAACAAGCGTTAATGCTTAAATAATTAATTGGTTTTTTAATATTAAGTTGAATTCTGTATTTGTTTAAGTGTTCATGTAAACAATATTTTAATAAATAAATAATAAACGTTAGGAAGTTTAAAACTCCGGATAAATGCGCAGCTACAATGCGCAGTTCTATGTATAAACATCTTAAATAGTAAGGTTAAAGACTATAATCGTTAAATACACGGAATCTTATTGCTATAAATTAAGCAAGAATGGCTAGTAAAATTATAAGTGGAATAGCATCGATTGAGGTGAATACAAGCGACCCTTTCCAATTATTTTACCTGTGGAAAGAAGAAGCCTTTAGATGTTTATCTAAACCCAATACGTTGAATGTTATGAACTTAGCTACAAGTTCAAAGTAAGTAGCGGTGTTTTTAAATATGCTATTTAATACGATTTCAAATATTCATTAGAGATGGTTGTGTTAGTAACAGAAATATTCAGATTTTGCGTTACGATCCTGATGGATTTGTATTTTTAACTGATTCTAGTAGCAGAAAAGCTAAAGATATTGTAAGTATAAATAACTTTATTTTTAAGAAAGAAAGTTGTAAATATTATTATTTGTAAGTTTGGTTTTAATCAAACGTAATTAGTAAACATTGATAACAAATTAATAATTAAGAAGGAAAATTACAATTTATTTTTTAGGCAGATAACCCAAATGTAGCTTCAACATTTCTATGGTGTTATAGTAACGATGGAGGGGAAATCATCACAAAGCAAGTAATTCCTCCCTGTTTAATCTATATTGTTTATTAAATCTCCCGAGTTTTAGATAAGATTACAAGGTGTCATAAACAAATTGGATCTAGACCAAACGAAAGAACTTTATGACGCGGCTCCTACTTTTAGAAAAATTCGATATAACGTATGCAAACAGGGATTAATAGTTGATCAGAAAGAAATTAAAAAAATACATGATAAAATATTAGAAGACGTCGAAAATGGACGTATATTAGAGATGCCATCATATGTGGCGTAAGCAAACAAACAATTTAATTGCTTTAATGTAAATAATTTGTATTATAGCGCTTACAAATTGCTACCATCAGCAATGGAGTTTTATTACGGATATGATAACTTTACTGCTGATAGAGTATTATTTACTTATCGAGGAAATAATTGGAATTATGTGCATTTATCTGCATAAATAAATTTTAAAAATTCTATTTCAAATTTTGAGTCAAAATAATAAAAAAAAACATGGAGGTTAGTTTTTAAATAAATCCCTTTTGTTTGTCCTATCCCTTTTACTAAACATTATGACCATTATGAAAGGCAGGTAAGATCAAGTTTCACGAATGGATAACCGCTACTGTGCTAGGGAATCTCTTCAGTCATACAATGCTTACACTGCCGTGAATACCATCGTGTTCACGACGTTTTAAATATCCGGGTTTTTTAAAGAATTATTTCATATTTGTTAAAGAGTTAAGTTTCTAAGAATTAATTAATTGTTTTCGATAAAAAGTGATAAGAAAATTTTAATACTTGTTATATTTTGTTAAATGCGTGTACATGTTTTTTAACATGGCACCAGCCCCAATACGTGAAAAATGCTTTTTACTGCTTGAGGATGGGACGATTCTTTCGGGAGAACATTTCGGTGCCAAAAAACCGGTTAATGGCGAAGTTGGTGAGTATATTTTGCGCAATATATTTACCGGCAGATAAAATAACCCGCATTTTGTTGACCACGTGTTTATAACCAACTAAAGATAAGAAAATTTCGACGTTAATTTCATTTTATTGATCATTAAAATTTGGTTTTTAGGATAAATGCGGCATTTTATTAAAAATCATAGGTTTTTTTAAAAGACCAAGTAGAGATAAACGTTTATAATTTAGTTGTAAATTTGTTAAATATGTTTTAATGTTTGTAGAACTGAAAAAAAATAAAGATACTATTGATATTTTAAGCGCATGTGCTCAAGCGACGCAGTAGCGACTGACCTTGATTTTAAATGTAGTTTAGAAATCTGTATTTTTCAATAGAATTATTATGAAATGTGTTAATACTATAATTTGAGTCTAAGTTATAAAAGGAATTGTTATTTCCTACTTATTTGTATGAAAGGGATGTAACCCATAAACCAAATTTGATGATTAAATGACAAAGGAAGAGTTTATGCATGATAAAATAATATCTTTTTTGTAGTTTTTCAAACTGGAATGGTAGGATATCCAGAATCTTTAACAGATCCAAGTTACCATTCACAAATTCTAGTGCTTACATATCCAATAATCGGTAATTATGGTGTTCCAGGAGATCAAAAAGATGAAAATGGTTTGCCATAGTAAGGAAAAATCTTTATAACATTATAGTTTTAAATTAGCGCAAATTTGCAATTTTTTAAATTGCAAACATTACAACCGTACGTCTCTTAAGACATCTAACTAGACCAAGAACTTTTAGTTTAGGGTTTAGCCGTCTTAAGAAACGCACCGTTAAACTCGATCAAGATCGTTTTTATATTTTGAACCTTAAGTCTCAAACTGCCAACATTACAAAACACGAATAGAATAAATTAAGCATTTGCTAATTCCAAGTGTGATATAGTTGTCCAAATTTGTGTGCATTAAAACTATTCATTAAAACAGAAAATTAATTAAAACAAATTCTAAAATTTTTTTTCTGGTCTAGTTGGTTCGAGTCAAACCGAATTTGGGCAACAGGATTGGTCGTGGGTGAATACTGCGACTACCCAAGCCATTGGCGAAATTCAAAAACTTTATCCAAATGGATGGAACAAGAGGGAATTGTGGGTATCTCCGGAATTGATACAAGATCGTTAACTCAGATAATTCGAGAAAAAGGAACGATTTTGGGTAAAATAATATTTCAACTGCCGAATAGTCACGAATTATTTGTCGATCCCAACCTAACAAATTTAGTGGAGGATGTTTCTGTTAAAGTAATCAAACCATTTTAATTTTATAACTTTAATCAATAAACAAATTTTTTTCTAGGAAGTTGTAACATACAATCCAAACGGATCTCCGCGTATCTGCGTAGTGGATTGTGGATTAAAATTCAATCAACTCCGGTGTTTAATTAAAAGAGGGGCTAGGGTAGATGTTGTTCCTTGGAATCATAAATTAAATGTTGATGATTATGATGGTCTTTTCTTAAGCAACGGCCCCGGTGATCCATCTATGTGCAACATTACAATTGAAAATCTAAAATTTATCGTTAATGGATCAAAAATTAAACCAATTTTTGGAATCTGCCTAGGACATCAATTGTTATCATCAGCTATAGGCTGTAAAACATACAAAATGCGGTAAATAATATTTGTTCTTATTTAATAACCGATTTAACCATGAAGCTAATTATTTTTAGTTATGGCAACCGTGGACATAATTTACCTTGCATTCACACAGACACCGGAAGATGTTATACAACATCTCAAAATCATGGATTTGCAGTAAATTCAGATAATTTACCCGCCGGTTGGAAGGTTCTTTTTTACAATGCAAACGATAAAACAAACGAGGGTATAATTCACGAATCCTTGCCATACTTCAGTGTTCAATTTCATCCTGAACATACTGCTGGACCTGAAGATTTAGAATGCCTTTTCGATGTTTTCATAGAAACCACTCGATTATATCTTTCATCATCGTTCGTTAATATTAAAGATCACCTTACAAAAACGTTAAGATACGATCCTGTTTATCAACTGATTAATGATCATCCTAGAAAAGTATTAATAATTGGTTCTGGTGGGTTATCCATCGGTCAAGCTGGTGAATTTGATTATTCTGGGTCGCAAGCAATAAAAGCATTAAAAGAAGAAAACATTAAAACGGTATTGATTAATCCTAATATTGCGACTGTTCAAACATCGAAAGGATTAGCGGATAAAGTCTATTTTTTGCCATTAGTGCCTGAATACGTCGAGCAAGTAATCAAAGCTGAAAGACCTGGAGGTGTTCTTTTAACTTTTGGTGGTCAAACAGCATTAAATTGCGGGGTGGAACTCCAACGATTCGGTGTTTTTGAAAAGTACGGTGTAAAAATTCTTGGAACTCCAATTCAAGCTATAATTGACACAGAAGATAGAAAAATATTCAGTGAAAGAATAGCTGCGATTGGCGAGAAAGTAGCTCCTAGTTTAGCTGCGTTCTCTGTACAAGAAGCTCTAGATGCAGCTGATAAACTTGGTTATCCAGTTATGGCGAGAGCGGCGTTTTCGTTAGGAGGATTAGGATCTGGTTTTGCAGACAATAAAGACGAACTGAAATTATTGGCAACTCAGGCATTAGCTCACTCTAGCCAATTAATTATTGATAAATCTTTAAAAGGATGGAAAGAGGTTGAATATGAAGTTGTTAGAGATGCTTACGATAATTGCATTACCGTTTGCAACATGGAAAATGTTGATCCTTTAGGGATCCATACTGGAGAATCAATTGTTGTAGCTCCCAGCCAAACATTATCAAACAAAGAATACAACATGTTGAGAACAACGGCGATTAAAGTTATTAGACACCTTGGGATTGTTGGTGAATGCAATATTCAATACGCTTTAAATCCTAACTCAGAAGAGTTCTATATTATTGAAGTTAACGCGAGATTATCGAGAAGTTCAGCTTTGGCGAGTAAAGCTACCGGATATCCTTTAGCTTATGTTGCTGCGAAATTAGGTTTGGGTATTCCTCTTCCAAAAATAAAGAATTCCGTTACTGGAGTTACTACAGCATGCTTTGAACCAAGTTTGGACTATTGCGTTGTAAAAATGCCTCGTTGGGATCTTAGCAAATTTTCGAGAGTGAGTACAAAAATTGGTAGTTCAATGAAAAGTGTTGGGGAAGTTATGGCAATTGGGCGAAGTTTTGAAGAAGCGTTCCAAAAAGCTTTACGAATGGTTGACGAATCAGTGGCTGGATTCGATCCTTATTTAAAAAAGGTTTGCGATGAAGAACTTAAAGAACCTACGGATAAACGTATGTTTGTTGTGGCTGCTGCTTTAAAGAGTGGTTATTCTGTTGATAAGTTGTACGATTTAACAAAAATAGATAGATGGTTCTTACAAAAAATGAAAAATATTATTGATTATTTTACCGTTTTGGAATCATTTGGTAGGAATTCATTGGAACACGATATCTTAGTAAAAGCCAAACAAATGGGGTTTTCTGATAAACAAATCGCATCTGCTGTTAAAAGCACTGAACTTGCTGTTAGAACTAGAAGAATGGAACAGAAAATATTGCCGTTCGTAAAACAAATTGATACAGTTGCCGCTGAATGGCCAGCAAGTACAAATTATTTATATTTAACATACTGCGCAAAAACCCACGATATTAAATTTGATGAGCAACACGTGATGGTCATCGGTTCTGGTGTTTATCGAATTGGAAGTTCAGTTGAATTTGATTGGTGTGCTGTAGGGTGTTTAAGAGAACTTAGAAATTTACATAAAAAGACTATTATGGTTAATTATAATCCAGAAACGGTCAGTACAGATTACGATATGTCGGATAGACTTTATTTTGAAGAAATATCGTTTGAAGTTGTCATGGACATTTATAATTTAGAAAATCCTACGGGAATTATTTTGTCAATGGGTGGTCAATTACCCAATAATATCGCAATGGATCTTCATAGACAACAAGCAAGAATCTTAGGAACCTCACCAGACTCAATAGACGGCGCAGAAAATAGATTCAAATTTTCAAGAATGCTCGATCGCATCGGAATTCTCCAACCGCGTTGGAAAGAACTTACAAATTTAAAATCTGCGATTGAATTTTGCGAAGAAGTTGGTTATCCATGCCTAGTTCGACCATCTTACGTTTTAAGTGGTGCCGCAATGAATGTTGCTCATTCAAACCAAGATTTAGAAACTTATCTAAACGCTGCGAGTACAGTAAGCAAAGAATATCCAGTTGTAATTTCAAAATTCATCTTGGAATCGAAAGAGATTGACGTTGACGCTGTTGCTTGCGATGGGATAATTTTATGTATGGCCGTTTCAGAACACGTCGAAAACGCGGGGGTTCACTCGGGAGATGCTTCTTTAGTTACTCCACCGCAAGATATAAATCCAGAAACCTTAGCAAAAATTAAAATTATTTGCAAAGCAATCGCTGCATCATTGGAAGTTACCGGCCCATTTAATATGCAATTAATAGCTAAAGATAATATGCTCAAAGTAATCGAGTGTAATGTAAGAGTTTCAAGATCTTTCCCCTTTGTCTCAAAAACTTTAAATCATGATTTTGTGGCTATGGCCACCAGAGTAATCGTCGGAGAGACGGTTGAACCGGTTGATGTTTTGGGTGGATGTGGAAAAGTTGGCGTAAAAGTTCCACAATTTTCATTCTCAAGATTAGCGGGCGCCGATTTTATGCTTGGAGTTGAAATGGCATCTACCGGAGAAGTTGCTTGTTTTGGCGATAATAGATACGAGGCGTATTTAAAGGCAATGATGAGTACCGGATTTAGTATCCCTCAAAAATCGATTCTTTTATCAATTGGAAGTTTTAAGGTAATTTGCTACAAGTTGATAATTTTTTGTAATACTTATTTAATCCTATTTATGTCATTGTAGCACAAAGTAGAATTACTGCCAAGTATGAGAGCTCTTCAAAAAATGGGATATAAATTGTACGCCAGTTTAGGAACAGCAGATTTTTATAATGAGCATGGAGTTGAAGTAAGTAGAATTTTTTTTAATTTAATAATCGTTTAATAAAAATTAAGAATGCTTTTCAATCAATCAATAGTTGTTATTGTGTACTGCCTTATATATAATTACTTACATGACTCTTATTATGAACCTGGCTAGAAGTAGGTATTTGCCGATTGATGAACCTCTTCCTTGAACCCTCCAAAGGTCAAGGTCATAACGTGCTCACGTGGATTGGAATGCCGCTTCATAACTTCTTCTAATTGATAAAACTTCTCCAACATTTTTCATTGAGCTTCCAATTTTTGTACTTATTCTTAAAAATTTACTCAAATTTATTCAAATCATGATATGATATTTTTGGAAGAAGAATACCCAAACCTAATTCAGCAGCAATATAAGCTAAAGGACAACCGGTAGCTTTACTGGCCAAAGCTGAACTCGTGACATACGTCTTAAAAAACTCAAAGTACCGCTGACCTAATCTTGAGATCAAAGTCAATTATAACCTAGTCAAGGTCGGTACCATTATTTTGACCTTACTCCTTCTCTATATAATATTATACTACAGTTCGGATTATCAGTTTGTGTCCGATCATTGTGTTTGGAAAACTTCAAACATTGTAAAACGCAAAGTATATTTATGAAATATATTTTAGTCCAGTAATATAGACTAAAATTTAGAGTCATAGATTCTAAGAGACCGATACCACATCTTATGTGATTTTCGTCAGCCCTCTATAAAAGCATCTCAAAACAACATAAGTTACAAAACTTCATATAGCATGTAGTGCAATTGTACATGAGTGTGAATGATTTGTAAAACAATAAGATAAAGTTTTAAATACGTAATTCCTTGTGAGTAATAGTATGAGAACATCACACAATACAATTAAAAAAAAAATTAGTCAACTAATTGCAGCGGTAAACATTACAGGTGATAGATAACGGTTAATGAATAAATACTCGAAACGATTTTTAAAGCATTTTCATATCGGTTAATTTAATTAATTAAATTTAATAAGTACATAGTTTTGGAGTGTCTCATAATTTTATTGAAACATGAAAAAAAGGCAATCAAATAATAAATATCTTTATTTACATTATATACAAATTTAAAAAATATAGAAGATAATCTACAATCTTTCTCTACTCACTTAATACTGGTTTAGTGGCAAACACATTTATTTTTTTATTAACGCCTAAATTTTTTCTAATTACATTTTTTCATAAATTATCGAGATGATTAATGTACTTCGGCTGTTTCCATCAAACGCACTTCTTTTCTTCTCGTTGGTGACGACGCCGAAGGTTCATTTTCTAATATCGTTTTTTGGATCCCCATTTGAAAATTTTTGGTAACATTTGTTAGATCAATCGTTTTCGGTTTCATTTGGTTTTTAAGTAACACCCCGGTGTGTCCACCATGCATCGAATTCCTGGCGGGAATTATAGGAGTAGGCGGAGTGTACTCTCTTTGTTCGGTGGCAATTTCGTCGGCCTCTCGAATTTTTTCGCTAAACTTTTGACTTTCCCCACCGTCGATGTCGTCTAAGAGTGCGTTTAAATATTTCACTTGATCCAAATAGATTGAGTATTGATTCCAAGCTTTGTACTTTTGGCTATATTTTACTATTTGAAGGAAATGTTCCATGAAAAAGACCAAAAAGGTTTTTTGTTGGAGAAAGCTCTCTTTTACGGAATATGAATTCTATGAAAAAGTAAATGTGTTTATTTATTTAATCTTAGTTAGAAAGAACAACTTACCATAGAAAATTTAAGATCTATTGAATCAACGGATTCTCTCTTCTCGGTTGCTTTGAGATTCTTTACCTTTTCCAATTCTTTCCTTTTCTTCTCACGTTGTTTTTCCATGTTATCTAATTCCCATCTTTGTTCCCTTGTGAGGCGACTTGGGTCAAATCTCCCAGTTGGAGTGAACTGGGAAATTGTTCTCATGGCGCTTGGAGCAGCTGCTCTCTCGGCTTCTCCTTTCTTTGTTATCAACTTATATAATTGATCAAAGTCCAATAATGGGTAAAATGCATCATTTGTGTAATACACGTTTCTTAAAGCCGCTATGGCGTATAAAACAGGATTTTCTATGATTCTGTGTATTTGTTCTTGAGCTTTGTATAAATGTGCGCCGGGAATGTTGCAAAACATATTCTTTTTCTCAATAAAATAATCGGGCATTTCTAATTTGCTTAAGTACTTGCGAAGACCGTCCAAAACGTACATCATTTTGTTGCCTAAACGATGTTCAGGCCAGTTTCTGTAGTTTTTCTCGCACTCCCAATACATTAAATTTCTAATATGATCCACGGTTAAACCTTTATGTTGGGTAATAGGTTCAATAAACATTTTATGCAAGATAATCAAAAATAAGAAACATCGTACTTGACCGTGAAACATTCGTACTTGTATGTGCCTCTCAGCTCTGGGAAAGATAGTTTCCCACTCGAATTTGTAATCTTTATTATCCCCTTTCTTTTGAAGAAATCCTCTTGGAACAACTATCGAGGGTTGACTGCAAATGTCTTTGAGCATGTTTTGAGTAGGAAATACGTAAATTAGATTATCATCTTTGTGTTTAATTCTGGGTCTATCCCTTTTATGGAATACTTTTAAATCGGGGAAAGGATTTTTTACCGCGGGTAATATTTCACATTTAGCGTCAACTTCTTTGGAAATGTCGTACATACAACAATAAATGGAAGTGGCAGTGTAAGTCGCTTTCCTAATTTCTTCGGATGAAAATCCTAACGATTTTCCTAAATTCGCAGGAAAATCGGTTTCCCTAAAATACTTCATAAAGGCTTCTGAGTTAATATAACGATCAACCCGAAACATATCATCCTCGTCATTTTCTCTATCTAAATTTTTACTTTTGACTTCGATTATTGTACCAGGTGGTAAACCGACGGAACTACTTCTTTTTTCTGTAATATTTATCGGTAATTCGGTTCTTGCTTGATTGACTCTACTGTAATCGTACTCGTCAGAGTCACTATAAGATGAAGTGCTTGCTTGTGATTTATCGTAGCCGTTTTTTAATGCCGCTTGACCGTGAGCGTAAGTCGATGAACCCGAATTTAACGATGTATAAGATTCGCACCGTTCCAAGGTTGGAAAGTAGAGCAATTTTAGCTTCACAAAACCTAAACACGTACGAAAGTAAATTTTTAATTATTGCGATATTTATCTCTTAAAAATGTACGTTACAATTTGGCATGGCAAATGGATGAGATATCGCGTCTAATCTAATCTTTCTTGTAACGTTATTATTTGATGATTAATCTTTTCGAATGCTTGAACAACGGTAATCAAATCAATTGGTTTCCGTGATAGTATCGGCGAAAAATACGCTGCCACTTTTGTAAAAATCGTTTCCGATGTTCAGTAAAACGTTAGAAGGCAAATTTAACCTTAAGATGAGTGTGTAAGATAGTGACTTCGAAGTAAAAATCGATAATTTTTACAAAACAAAATTTAACTAACCTGCGTGCGTTGAATTTTCCACGTTCACTCTATGAGTTGGCTTATCTATTCCGCTGTAATGATCTAAATCTTCACTTTCTTTCAAAATTTCGATCTTATCATGAATAATAAACATCCTCATAGGAACTAACGGCTCAGCAACATCTTTTTTTGGACCATGTTTTCTTTTAAAATGAACCCGTTGGTTTACTTTGTCGTAAAGGGTATCTGGCATAACGCATTGTTTTGAATGTTCCCGGATTAGTTTATCGTTAAGATCTTGTTCTGGTTTCGTAAGCAACGTTTTTGCTTTTAATATTTCACTAAAAAAGAAAGATGAGATTGTTAATAAAAACAATTTTGCACATCATCAATAACTCAGTTAAAAATTATCGATTCTATTGATCTAGCTAACTAAAAATATTACGTATTTTTCTCGGAACTGATATGATACTTCCGAAATCTATTGTCGCCAATTGTACTGGTTATCGGTAAAAATAATAATCTGATTAAAATATACTTAAAAATGTATTCAAGAAATTTGTAAAAACCAATTTATGTCACTGTATAATTTATTGATGTGGTGGCTACTTCAATGTATTTTTTTCGTTTAAACTCATTCATCTTTATACACCTGTCATTTTTAACAGCACTTATTTGTGTTGAAGTGTTTCTAAATTTGATATCTTTTCTTATGATTTTAATTGTAATATATCGTCATATTTATATTTTAATCAAATCAATGCAACTAAAATTATGTTTGTAATGTTTCAAGTACTACGTAATTACACAATCATTACACAAAGAAAACTTACTCTTCAAAATTTTCGTAGAACATAATCGACATAAGAATGTTATTGAGTAAGAACATATCAAAATTTTCATTAAAATCCTTTCTAAGTTGTTCGATACTTTTTTCGTCGAATTTTCGTTGGGAAATTTCCACAGTCTCTTCTTGCGTCGACATGTCGATTGTAGTCGGGCGCCTTTGCTGCGTCCCAGGTTTTGGACGTCCTTTACTATTGGAACACCCCATTTTTGTTTGCCCAAAAGAACACAGATGCTAACACTACACTCAAATCATCATCCGCGATTTGTCCATCTCAGCACACTGCATTCCGCAAATTGAATCTTATCTCACGCCATGTCCTTTAAAAGTGCAAAAGATATCTTATCATTAATTTTTAGATTAACGATTAATCACGGTGGTTACTGCACGACTGAATGAATTTTTTTCCGATGGACGCCATATTCTCAATACATTGAAATTTACTTTTTATTTTGTTATCTTATTCATTTCCATTCAGCTATGAACATAAAAACGTTTTGTTATTTCCGTTTAGCAATTTAATTAATACTTATTTATTTCTAATATCTAATAACATAATTAATATAATGGTTTTTTGGAATGATTACTTTACATTTTATCTAAATTTAAACATTTAGATAATTTTCTTTGGAGTACAAATTTGGAATAGGTAATTATTTTTGATTGACACGTAGATTGGTGATAAACGATTGCGCCAACACAACGTGTTGTTTATTTCAAGAACTTTTATGTTGTCCAAACAACACGTTTAATATGTCTTGAAGCAATTTTTACTTTTTAAAATAACCAATTTTAGGAATTAAATGCTTCAAGATTAAAGTTTACACATTTTTTAATCTCACATGTTGAGATAATCTGCGTTAAAGTATATTTAAGTATACTCAAAATATTACGTCGTCGCAGCCATATTTTTTTATTGCTCGCAAATTGATTGAGTGATTATCATTGAATTTAGATAACTTGAAGTAGCTACTGTCGCTTAGTAGTTTACAATGGATATAAACTATTTTACTTAACACAAAAATGTGCTTTATTTAATTTTACGGTTATACAGGAGCATGCGATTTAGAGATGAAATTGAGCAAAAGTAAATCAATATTTCAGAGGTGCTCGCTTTTTTGCTATAAAGTTGTGATAATCCAATTAAACGCCTACTTCCTTTGCAATACGTCAATATTTGCAATTTTATTTGATCCTTCCAAAAGTATCTCTCTTGTACATTAATAATTTTCTAGGTTGAATCCGTTCAATGGACATTCGACAGCATAGATGACATTACCAGCCAAGGAGAATTAAAACCATTAGCCGAATTCCTTTCAAAAAAACAATTCGATTTAGTAATTAACTTACCAATGCGCAATGGTGGTGCAAGACGTGTTTCGTCCTTCATGACTCACGGTTACAGAACTAGGCGATTAGCCATCGATTATTCTATTCCTTTAGTAACTGACGTAAAGTGTACAAAGTTGTTGGTAGAGGTAAATATTCATCATGCATCTTTTTACTTTTTATGGATTGATGTATTCTTTCTCAGGCTTTGAGATTAATAGGAAAAGAAGCTCCGCTAATGAAAACTCACTGCGATTGTATGACTTCTAAACAATTAATAAAACTTCCTGGTTTAATCGACATGCATGTTCATGTTAGGGAACCTGGGGCTACTTATAAAGAGGATTTCGAAAGCTGTACAGCAGCGGCTTTAGCAGGGGGAATAACATTAATTGGAGCAATGCCGAATACAAATCCGGCGATTGTAGATACCGCGTCTTTCCAATTAGCTAAAAAGATTGCAAAAGAACACTCGAGATGCGATTATGCTTTATACGTTGGTGCCTCATCTGATAATTTTAATACAATCAATGAGTTAGCGCTAGATGCGGCTGCTTTAAAAATGTATTTGAACGAAACATTCACCACTTTACGATTAAATGATGTCTCGATATGGATGAAGCATTTAACTAACTGGCCGAAAAGATCTCCTTTGTGTGTTCACGCCGAAGGAAGTACTACAGCTATGGTTCTACTGTTGGCTAATTCTTGTAATAGACCAATACATGTTTGTCACATTGCAAGAAAAGAAGAAATTCTTATAATAAAAGCTGCGAAAGAAAAAGGGTTGAAAGTTACTTGCGAGGTTTGTCCCCATCATTTATTTTTGTCAACTGAAGATATCCCGAAATTGGGCAGTAAAAGTGAAGTGCGACCAGTTTTGTGTACCTTAGAAGATCAACAAGCTTTATGGGATAATATGAATATAATTGATTGTTTTGCAACTGATCATGCTCCACACACTATAGAAGAAAAGACTGCTAAAAAACCGTTACCTGGATTTCCAGGATTAGAAACTATCGTGCCATTACTTCTTAATGCTGTTAACGAAGGAAGGTTGACCATCGAAGATATTATCAATAAGATGTATAAAAATCCAAGAAAAATCTTTAATTTGCCCGATCAACCAAACACTTACATCGAAGTTGATTTAAACGAAGAATGGACAATTCCCGAAGCCATGACTTACAGTAAATGCAAATGGACTCCGTTTGCTGGTAAAAAAATTAAAGGAGCTATCCATAGAGTTATTTTAAGAGGAGAAGTTGCATATGTTGATGGTCAAGTATTAATACAACCAGGTTATGGGCAAAACATTCGAGAATGTGATCTAAGAAAACCGATTATTACGTTATCATTGGATACAAGCAGACCTTCTTCCGGATTTGATCGCCCAATCTCGCCGGCTGAAAGCGATGGTCATACCAACGAAATGTTCTCCAGACTTCTTTCAGATCCAGCAAGTCGCGTTCACTTCGCCAGTGATGATAACCGAATGCACAATAATATTTCACCAATTCCATTACCATTCCCTCGTATAAGAACAGAAAGTTTCTCCAACCAACATTCTTCCGACAATGCTCCCCAAACACACAGTCATGGATTAACAGGAAAGTGTATACTAGATGTCGACATGTTCAGCAAAGATCAACTAAACGATCTTTTTAATCTTGCTCAAACCTTTAGAGTATATGTGAGCAAAGATCGACATTTGGATCATATACTTAAAGGAAAAATCATGGCGTCTATGTTTTACGAAGTTAGCACAAGAACTTGTTGTAGTTTTTCTGCGGCTATGCAAAGATTGGGAGGTGGTGTTATTTACATGGACGAAACTTCTTCTTCTGTGAAAAAAGGTGAAAGTCTCGAAGACTCTGTTGCTACTATGGCGGGGTATGCCGATGTAGTCGTTTTAAGACATCCTGTTCCAGGATCAGTTAAGGTAAGATTTTAAACCAATCGTGTTGCAGATAAAGATAACATTTTTTGTGTATTACAGAAAGCAGCCGCTCATTGTCGTAAGCCATTAATAAATGCTGGCGATGGTGTTGGAGAACATCCAACTCAAGCTTTATTGGATGTTTTTACAATTCGCGAAGAAATCGGTACTGTAAATGGTTTGACAATCAGTTTAGTAGGAGATTTAAAAAATGGTAGAACCGTACATTCTTTGGCTCGTCTACTCACGTTGTACAACGTTCAATTGCGTTACGTTAGTCCGCCGAATTTAAAAATGCCTAAGCATATTGTAGACTTTGTCGGCTCTAAAAGAATCCCGCAAGAGGAGCATGACAACCTTGAATCCGTTTTACCTGATACAGATGTTTTGTACATGACACGAATTCAACGAGAGCGATTCGAGAGTCAAGAAGAATATGATAAGGTAATAAAATAAAAAATCTTAATAGTCAATAAGGTTTTGTTTCACACAATGAGTTTAAGTTTGTTTACTTTTAATTACTTTCTTATCAAAATACATTCCGGTTTCCCACATTCTTAAAAAAAACTTGAGTATAACGTTCCAATTGATATTGTATTCCAATTTTTATTACTACTTACTCCTAAAGGGAATCATTTCTATTTTTAAGTTATCTGTGTAAATTGTGAAATATTGGTTTATAACCTACATGGCAGTAAAAATAAATAACTCTTACCAAAACTGGCCAAATAAATAAATAAATGAAAGATACGTTTTTATTAGGAAGGCTTTACTTTTCTGTTATTCTATAAAATAGCAAAAATTCATTAAAACACGTTCAAGGCAATAAAATCAACTAATAAATAAAATGGAAATTCAAACATTAGATAAGATAAATATATGTCTGCTTTTATAACATTTTACAAATACGTGATCGATCTAAATTTACTCAACGTCATTTGTTTTGTTTTTATAGGCTTGCGGCCATTTCATCGTCACACCTCAATTAATGACCAGAGCAAAAAGACGTATGGTGGTTCTACATCCGTTTCCAAGAGTATTCGAAATTAGCCCGGAATTTGATTCGGATCCCAGAGCTGCTTATTTCCGACAAGCTGAGTATGGTTTGTTTGTTCGTATGGCGATATTGGCCATGGTTCTTGGAAGGTGCTAATAATTCATTATTGTTTTAAGATGGATTTTATTTTATATGGGAACAAAAAAAATCAATAAAGTAGTTTAAGCTAAAATGTTTGTTGTAGTATCATTTTATTTATTTGTCTGAACTGTTTGAAACTATGTTATATTCTGGTGTAATGTAGATGTTCTCATACATTATATCATTATATCGGGAAAATGTCACAAATTAAAAAGAGATTGTGCTAAACACTGTGTATTTAGCGTTATGGATGGGATAAGTAGGCGAGATGGTAGTGTATTAGAATAGGGAGTGGAGACACATTTGTGGAGTGATTTCGGCGGGATTCAAAGAAATAAAATATTGGATTTACTCCGTAAATATTTATTTGAAACTCTATTACTTCGTTCAAATGATAAGGTCAATCGTTTAACTGCGTGGTAAGTTTAAGAGGTTGAAGTTTTATGACTAATATTTAACATTTTAGTTATTTCCGAATAGATAACAAAAAATAGATAAGATAATAAAAAAGAGAAAACTACTCTAACGCTTATAATTTATGATACACGTGATCATTGATTTATGATAAAAGTTATGGAAGTATCTTCGCTATGGTTATCGATGCATCCTGAAAAATATGAAGTACTTCTATAAAACCTAAGCTGCGTTGGTCGACGTCTGATGAAATGAAAACTTGTAAGGCTACTTCTAAGGCTAAGATTGGCCAGATTGGCATTCAGAAATTTATATCAAAAGGAGAGCGAATAACAATAAAATTGTAATTGCCGACAATGAAAATGAAATGAAAAACACATAAGGCTGAAATGATAGACTTAAAATTATAAAATGAAACAAAATATAAAGAGACTAAAAATGCTAAATGATCACAAACACGATTATCTGCTCACCATCCATATCTTAGCAAAAATTCTTGCGCTTTTTAAAACTAATTTTCCATCGTTTATCGATACAAATATTGTTAGGTGTCATATAAAATACGAAAATTGAGTACACCAATTATTTTAATATTTATTTCCTATATGCATATTCATTATTTCCATTTTATAAAACAATTAGAAATATTAACGTAAAATTACTATAAATTTTTTCGATTCTAAAAAAGTGAATCAATATTATTCGCTACTCTGATACAATTGTAATGATAAATAAAAATTAAAAATGTTCTTTTATTTTCTATCTCGTGGTTGGAATCTTAAAAACTTTTTAATCATGTTAATGCAAACTAAGAAACTTATTTTTTTATCTTTTTTATCTGCCTTACATCCACTTATAACGTAATATTTTCTACTTATAATAAAACATTTAAAATCTAAGCTTTTGGTTCTAAAAATTAGATCTCCGGGAATTATCTTGAATATCTTCCAACAAAGTGAAGAATACTTCAAATACAATCAGGCGCTTCTTCCTGTAAAATTCTAAATATATCACGTCAAACCGTAATCGGAAATTCTAGAAGTACTTCAACAACCACTACGAGAGCACCACGACAAGAATATTGAAGTCAAAGTGTCCAATAGCAATAACGAACTATGCCAATCGAAGCAGATATCGTCTTATCATGTCATGTTCGTCTTACTTGAGGTCGCATTACATGTTACTTTAGATAATTAAAAATATATATAGGGAGATTATTGCGATGAAAAAAGTTCAGTAGTGGTTTTTATACATTTATTATAAACAACAGTTTTATAAGAAGAAATATCTAAAATATTATAATAATATATATAATAAATTTATACAATATCACACAATTTTAATTTTTTAATTTAAACTGGCAAATCAGAGTTAGTACTATGTTCCTCTTGAATATGATTGACTATTTCCAAACGATCTTCTCCCTTTGTTAGTTGAGGGATTATTGATTTAAGTACATTTTTTGATTTTTGCAGTCGGGATTTATGAACTTTTCTAAATGAACATAGTTGAAAAATATTTATTGTTTATTGTGTAATTCATTTTTTTTTAATTACTTACTGTTGCCTGCAATCTATGAATACCGCCAAAACAAATAATGCTGCTATTACAACAGCTGCCGCTAAAACAATTATTACAACAGTGGCTATTGTTTCTTCTTCAGCTTCTTGTAATGTTGATGCGGTAGTTATTTCTACAAAAATAATTTAAATTGAATTCGTTTAAATAGAATCTGGATGGAAAAACCCATGATATTTAAATATAAACGAGTCCTATTATGTTATTTAAAATTACCATATTTTAAACTAACGGGTTATTGTTAGAAATTGTAATACCCGTGTATTACATTGTACATAAAGATAATATAAGCAGTTTCCATTCGAAATCGAAACATATCAAAGGTGAAGTTGATAGAAATCGATAAATGAGATCGTCATCCAGCAGGAAATAACTCATAAAGAAAAAGAATGTTTAGTGTTTCTTAAAATTGTATACCACATAATTCTTAAAGTAAACATAATCATAAATAAGTAAAATTGATAATGAAACAATGATTAATTGTTATTTATAATACATCCGGTGGTTGATGAGAAATGCGATTACAAAAAGTGATATCCCACCGATTAAAGGATACCTTATTTACTAATCATGATCAATTATTAAATATTTTATCGTTTAGAGTTTATATAGATAATCTTTAAAGTTAATTAAAAAAAGGTATTTATGGGATTTTAAAAGACGTTTCAAAACATCTATTTTTAACGTTAACATTAATTTATTTTTTTCATTTGATTAAAAAAAACGCGAGATTATCAAAAGATTTGTTTTGAATTGAAAACTCGTTCTCTCTGAGTATTGCCCTGCTGTTCATCAGAACTAAGTAGCAGATTATACCCCGGGGAAGTGTGTTTTAAAGTGTTTAATTTAATTTCAAGTATTTTATTTGGCAAATGGATATGTTTTATTTGGCGAGACGAGGTGAGATCATGTTGAAACAGACGATAAAAACATCGTAAACCATAACAATTAATCGAAGTAATTAATTGATTCTAAAAATTAATGTTTTATTTTATATATATGTTGAGAACGTGCATTTAAGATTAGAGTTAAATCAGCTTTTGTAGTATGGAAAGAACGGAAATAACGTGTTAAAATTCCAGAAGTAATAGATAAATACGACAGTTGACATGATAACTAAATAAAGCCTTCATATCTACTGTCTCGTTACAAAGTATTTCATAGCATTAACAAAATAATTAAATGGAACTTTTAATTTTTGTACAATTTTCAAAATTTGACAATTGATTGTAGATATCCAAATTTTTATTCAAAAGTGTTTTTTAACTACCAAAATTACTGTTCACCTCTTTAAGGGAATATAATGATTTATGCCGCAATCGAAAGCTCAACTTTTTATACAAACCACAAAGAAAAAACAAACATCTCTTTTTTTATAAACTAGTGATGGAACGGATAGTGATTTTACGATATTCGGCATATCTATCCGGCCATTATGGTTATAATTTCTGGTACATTTCTGAAGTGATACTTTAATTACTAATTGGTGATATTTCCACAAGGATCCTTCCAGAAATTAATTTTATAGGGAATTTTGCAAGTTATCGATTTAAATTGCAACATCGAAAATTTTACCAAAACTTCAAATATCGTTTTCTCAAAAACTAAACGTTATTTTTCAAAACGTGTTGGTTCATTGGAAAGAGGACACTTTTATTAACATTTTGAGAAATTTTCATACTCATATTCCAACAAATCGATTTTATACGAATTATTAAAATTTAATCGGCGAAAATTGCAAAATTCGCAAAAATTGTCGATTATTTCAAAAATTTATTTCTCAAGAACTAAAAGTGATTTTTCAAAACGGGTTTTTGCATTAAAAAGAGGATACTTTAATTAATAATTGGTGATATTTCCACAAGGATCCTTCAAGAAATTAATTTTATAGCGCATTTTGCAAGTTATCGAAGATAATTGCAACATCAAAAATTTTATCAAATATTGTTTTGTTAAAAACTGAAAGTTATTTTTCAAAACCTGTTGGTTCATTGGAAAGAGGACACTTTTATTAACGTCTTGGAAAATTTTCATACTCATATTCCAAGAAATCGATTTTATACGAATTTTTAAAACTTAATCGGCGAAAATTGCAAAATTCGAAAAAGTTGTCAATCATTTCAAAAATTTATTTCTCAAGAACTAAAAGTGATTTTTCAAAACGGCTTTTTGCCTTAAAAAGAGGATACTTTAATTAATAATTGGTGATATTGGCCGGATACCGGATAGTTGCCGGATATTCGTTCCACCACTATTATAGACCAATTATAATAATTAATATTTTAATCGAAAGCTTAAAGTTGTGTTGGGTTGAGAAGTTTTTAGCGTCCTTGATATCACCAAACATCACGCATGATGTTGAAGCATCACATTTAAAACATTGTGGTATCCTCGAATATTGCTCCAAAATCGATTATGGTGTAAAACTTATCCCTGACATATCTGAACACTATTTTGACGCCCTAAAACATTTTATCCAACATCCCTTGTAACATTATTCTACATTTGTAACACTATACAATACCATCAGAAAAATTTTGGTAAAGCAAATACTCGACAATCTTTGTTTTTTGGGGGTACCTATAGAAAAGCATATCAAGTTTTAGAGATATTGTTAAAATAACGTGGTTTTACTATCTATTACTTTGACAAGAAACACAAAATGCCAAATATATAAAATCTTAATACGATCAATTCTAGGGTATTGATACAAAACTTGGAAAATGTCCAAGAATGACGAAACATTGCTAGCAACATTCGAAAGATAGATCCTGCGACAAATATTTGGAGGTGTCGTGAAACATGACCATTATATGATGTGATATCATTATGGATGAATTATTTATCATTGTGGCTCATCCACAAGGCCACATGACACAACAAACAATTCTTATTAATTTAGCAATTTTAAATCTATACATTAGTTTTTCCTTTTATACTAAATTATGTGTAATAATTTTTCAATATTGGATTGTCATGATTCAATTTAGTATGATTCAATAACTTTTTCTTGGGATACTATGGCTATTTAGTTTTCCTAAAATAACCATTTGTCTACATGAGTTATCTACTTATTATTTCATTGATGACAAAGGTATTTTTTTTTGGACTGCCACAATAAGATTTGATAACTGGAGTTATAAGTATTTATTTCATTAAATTAATTAATTAATATTATAAATAATTTTAATTGAAGAAAGTGATAAATTTTTTTAGCACCACAACAACTACTAACACTTGAAAATTATAAATATTAGTATCTCAATGGTAATTAATTATTGTTAATTATTTCACAATTTACAATAAGCGTAAGCGAAAGATATTCGATATATGGTTTGCGTAATAATTTTTCCATTGAAAAATATGCGCGCGTGTTATAGACGATATCATAAATAAATTAGTATTAAATCAGTAGATTACCAGGAAATGTATGTTATTATTTACGAGAATTTAGTTGAGAACTGTATATATTAAAACGAAAAATAACTAATTTATGTGAACAAAGAGAACAAATTTTTTGGGTTCAAGTTCAACTCCTGATAAGGTGGTGACTCAAATTATTTTACACATTAAGCAAGAATGCGTTTAAAGAAAATTTATATATTAGAAATAAAACGAATAAAAAAATTTAAATTCTTCGTTCTTTGTGGTTACAATAATTTTTAAAATGGCGCTTTGTTATTATCGTCCTCTATAAACAGTTATTATCCTTTGAGATTATAGATTCGTGTACAACACATAACAGCCTCTTTATACATAATTTTTGTTCATACACGTTTAATCATTTTTTTTGGGTAGATTATTAAAAATAATAATGCATTCAAGGATTTGCAATGTGAATAAACATTTTTTTATATACAATCACCTGAATGTTTTAAAATAGAAAATTTGTTGTTAGTAACTCGTCAAGGTAAGCAGAAACTTTAAGTAATACGTTTATAGTTGTCCAATAACGAACACAACATCGATTAATTCTTTTCAATGAAGGTCGCTTAACAATAAAAACAATTCCTTTTAAAAAGCGGATAAAAACTCGATTTAAATCTTACCCATGCTCCAAACTGTCCCGTTACTTTCTTCCATGTTAAAAATAAAATAAATTACTAGATACACTTTTAATACAAATTTTCTATTTCGTACTTAGACGTTTCAAAACCAAAATGTTCATCGATGCAGCGCGGGCGTATGACTTTTTAGCGGCAAATTGTTTGATGTGTGCTGCAAGTTTCGTGTATGGCTTCAACAACACGTGCCACCAGTGATTTGATTATAGTGGGAGAAAAATAGGGGGGCGAGGCAAGGTACCAAATGGTACCATCTCGGATAACTTAAAAGTCTATACAATGCAGCTTTGGGAGTAAACCCAAAAATATTTTATGGGAATTTCAGGTAGTCGGTAGACGAAAAGAATGTTAGGGGAGGAAATTAAAAGGAAAAAAAGACAGCTGTAAAATATAGAAAAAAAATGTAGTTGTTTCAAAGAAATAACCCATAACTTTTTTATGTAACGTTAAAAAAATGTAATATAATAATTTGTACTATTTACTTTTATATAATTAAAAACAACATAAATATAATGATTATTTCAAAACTTGTTTATACCATATGTGAGATTTGTAGGCATCATAAGCATGTATAATAAACAGAATCGCTCCCAGTAACTAAAATTTACAAAAAAAAAATTAAAATTAAGATTTATATATAAATGCTTACAGTAACAACAATGACTCCTGCATTCATCGCTTCAATTAAAAGAATTGTTGGAAATATTAGATATATTATCGATAGAATGGCATTGAAAAACGTTTCCTGGAAACAAATCATGTAAAAAATGATTAAAAAGAAATATGGAAATACTCAATTATAAATAAATTAATTTTAATAAAACGAAGTTAAAGAATGACATTTTTATTACATTTGATGCGCGTAAATTTACGCTATCATTGTTTCAATTTTCAAATTACTCCGAGTAATTAATGTAATTACTCAAAAATCATTTCAAAGGTCAACGCGCATTAATAAACAATGTAATGAAGTTAGAATCATAAAAATAAATTTAAACAAACTAATTTAAAAATAATTATTTCAATGACTACCACAGTCCACAACAATCAACGTTTAAATTTAGCTAGAATCATTAGAGTAAACTCAAAATCCTAATAACTATATTTATATTTCCCTAAATCGGTATCTTGGAGTTTTTGGCAACAGTGTGTATTCTCAAAGAACTTATTCCTTAAAAGCTGGCTCTATTTTCAAACTGTAGTTTACTGTTGTGATCATAATAAAATGAAGAAAAAGAAGTTTGATTTTATATTGGTTGAAACTCTAAGGATTTTACATTACTGAGACAGAATTCAAAGTGATCTTGCAGAACACAATCTTACTAACTGAAATTGCTTCCCATGACAAAATCGTACATTCCACAGAATATTATTGTCAAAATGATATGAAGGAGTTTCCCTGTCTCGTAGTGGAAATGTCGACCTGTTGAGATTTAAAACTTGCTACCACAACATTTCTTTGTGTCCAGACAATGTTGATTATTAATGAAATTATATGTTGATTAAGGAAGTCTAAGTGGTTGACCATAAACAAGTTTGGCAGATGAATAACCTAGGTCTTCCTTAAGGGATGATCTGAGGTCTAGGAGAAGTAAGGAATGATGATTGTACCACCTGGTAGCGAATTATTGCCCCTGATCTTGGGTGATAATGCTTGGAATGCCAAATCTGCTGAAATAGTGCTGGAAGAGAGTGTCCAAAATGATACCAGAAGTGATGTCGTTAAGAGAAAAGGTTTCCGGCTTACGGAAACGTTCAGTTATGGTGACTACATATGAGTAATCAAGGAACGTTTGGTGATTTTGCAAGTTTATGCATTTTTATGTAGTGCTTTGTCCACAATAAATATAAAACAAGAACCGTAAAACAATGTTGATTTGTTAGTATAACTTATTAATAAATACAATTTATATAGCAACAACCCAACCCTTCTGTGGATTACCAAGATCAACACTAAAGTCTAGATTGGATCCCATTTTGATAAAATTCGACCTAAAATTCCTAACACTAGAAAACCACTAGAAAGAAAATATGTTTCCTAATATGACTTATTGTTAGTAAAAGAGTATGGATAACTCATTGATGAATTCGAATTTTGCTACTTAATGTCTCCATATAGTTAGAACTTTGAATACTTTTAAATCTACATCGGTTGTAGAATCCTCAAACGTTTCAATAAAGGATATCTCATTTTGCAGCGAATATTTGTGTGTCTTAACATTTTTTAACCAGCAATTACAGTGTTATGATTTAACAAATTCATCCATATTTATTCCGAAAAATCATCCAATAACTGGATCCAATCACTGTTGACTGCGATGTTAACTTCGAAACTTATAGTTAATAATAGACTCTCTTCAACTGAAAATGCTCTTAAAAGAAAAAATAGACAATTATCATTCTTTAATTTCGTTTTTAAAATATTTCATTTAGCAGATTACTTCTGAATCATTCTGCATAAATCCAAAATTAGCTTAACTAAAATTAAAAAATAAATAAATACTTACAAATGGTGATTGACGGATGGTGAAGAATAATTTTATGGAGTGAATATAAATAAAAATTAAAAATACTATAGAGAGGATACATATCGAAATGATAACCAAAGATATGTTGTAGATGGTTGAAGGTTGGCAGTACCCAGCAATGAAAAACGTTGTTAAAATTCCTAAAATCTAAAATAAAATTTTTCTATTAACTAAATACATAAAATTAATCAGCTGTTTTATCCCAGTGTCTTATATCAGCAAAAAAATAGACTATAAATAGTATATACATATCATAATTTAATTATTATTAATTCAAATGATTACATATAACGTTAATAAAATAAATAACGAGTTCGCATGTGGCGGCAAGTTTCGGCAAAAACTATTAATAAGCAATTTAAAACAGCGTCACACGCCAAAGAAAAATCACCATTCCTCTCTTAAAAATAATTCGGCAACTATAAGAACTATATTTAAATACGCCTTTTAAAAGTTTTAAAATTTTTACTAATTAATAAAACTTACCACTTCGGTTAGTTTCAAAATTCCTAATTCAGTTCTGAAGAAATCGAATCCACTAATAACCGGTCTAATGGCAGGTGAGGAAGAATCAAAACTTTGCGGGGTTTCCGGTGTTTCAGGACCCGCTTCGCATTGTGGTCGGATGATATCGTCGATTCGAAGACTTCGAGTACTGAAAAGCATCCTGAAGCGGCGAATTTTCAGAGTAGAAATGAAATAATTTTAAACTTGAATTGATTAGCACGTATAAATTCAATGTCTACCCCCACTGAAATTCAACCGCGACAGGTGGTTATTTTTAGCCGATTTTCAATGTCTTCTTATTGAATCTTCATTACTATCTCCTCCATTTCTTTCGAAAGTTAACCGAAAAAGTCGGGTGGTTGAAACAAGATGAGAATGAGCTAATTTATTTATTGTTTGTTACTGATAGATGACAGGATGTAAATTTAATACATCGTGTAGCACACGACAATCGCGCCGCACCGTTTTTATGGAGATTTGTTATGAGCTTTGGCCGATTTAACAGATTGGCATTTATCCAGAAAGAATTTTAAAATTACGGCACTAAAACAGAAATACTTTCTGAAGTACAATTGATTGTACGCACCAAATGGTTTGCCAGGGAACATTATTTTTCGATGTTTTCCAACAAAACTGGTTTGTACTTATACATTTCCCTGGCAGCTTTTAATGTAATTTATTAATGTAATTAGAGCTGTGTTAAAAATGAATTTAAATTAAATTATTACTACTAAAAGGAACTAAAACTGTATTAGCAGTTTATCTATCAAAAGAAAGTAAACATTTACTTTTTTCGCTGTTTTCATTATATGTTCTTTGAATGAGGGCGTTCTATCAAGTGTAATGCCTTGTGTTCTCGATTTTCATTCTAAGCTTTCTGTCAACGTTCTGTTTCTGGCATATCTGCTATCTGTATATAGGTTAAGGAGGAGCAGGTCGTTCTTGAGTTTTCAGGGTGAGCTCGCATCAGAGCCCATAACAATTCAGAATGTTCTGTCATTCAGCATATTTATCAGCAGCTGTTGGAGGAACTTACTTTCTCTCCATATAGTGTCGTAGGCAGTGGACAGATCAATAAATGCAGTAGAAGTTTTGACCTTTCTGTGGAATCTCGCTTCAATATAAGTTGAAAGCGAGATGATTTGGTCAACGCTGCTCCGTTTTGACCTGAAACCTGCTTGTTCGATCGGTATTACATCAAACACTGTCTGGCAGATGCTGTTGTCGGACTGTAGATGAATGTCTTTTGGTGTACTAAACGTTGCTGCTATGTGAGTGGCCATGGTATTTATGTTTGCTTTTTGTCTTTGAGAATTTCCTCAGCAAAGTCCATGCTTGACAGCTTGAGGTCTGGAGATTCAGGTTTTCTCGCGTTTCTAACATTTCTGTTATCTAGCAGCATCAAGGCTGTGGAAGAGCCACCTCATGGTCGTCCATCTCAACCTTTGATAAAGGTTTATCACTGTTTTCACATAATTCTGGGACATATTCTCTCCAATATTCTCTGAGGATTCACTTCTTAGTGGTACTTGTTGCCGCTCCAAGAAATGGTAGAACTAGATTTTGGTAGTGTCAGGTTAGATTTTTATAGAGTAGTGTTATTTAGGATTTATCGCAAAAATTACTTTTAAAGGATGGTTGTGATGGATAATATTTTCTTACATAGTTGATTTATAGTGGAATTTTAGTTATTTAAAGAATGATACACAGAATTTTATTTCATGTAATTTTATTACATTAAATTATAAATACAAAATGTTAGGAAATACAAGCAAAATTAACTTTATCGGTAACCTTGCAAAAATTTGAAAGATTTGTAAGCATCGTAAGCATGAATCAGTCCCAGAATTATTCCCAATATCTATAAAAATTTGTTGAATCACTTATCAAATTTCTGTAATTTTTTTTACTTACATAAGTACTGGTCATAGCTGGAAATACTTGAAAAAATGGTGTAACCATATAAAGCGGATATAAAACCGTGTTTACTATGAACCCAAGCACCGAGCATGAACTTAAATATCCACAACTAGCTAAGATATTAAAAGAAGTTTCCTGTAATAAAATTTAAAAGAATGTAATATATCCCATAACTTTCCCATTTCCTTTTTATAAACTTACAAATAAAGACTGGCGCATTAAATACACGGATTTTTCTGAAAATATATAACAAAATAATAATAAAAAAACGGTCATGCACGACCAAGAAGCTGTTGTTATAAATCCATAATAAGCTGATCCCATTGAACTTGAATAAGCCGAACCGAAATTTAACGCCAAAGATTGACAAAAAAAACCTAAAATCTACAAAAAGTTAAAAATTACTTTAGTTGTTAAAAAAACATTGACAATTATACACACCAATTCTGCTAATTTAATCATACCAATATCGGTTCTTAAAAATTGTAGATTTAAACAAGTACAACATTTAAAACAACAACAACATGTGAAACCGCTTCCGCCGGAAGGCGCGTTCCCAATTTTAATTACTGTTGGACCGCGAATCATAATTGATTAATTAATCGAACCGGATATTCGAAACTGTTTAATAAATAGTAACAAATACGTAATGTAATATGGACGTAGAACACCATCAATAACTTAGAGGAAACTAAGGAAATTTAAAATGTCACAGACCCCTTGCTTTGGAGTTTAACATCTATTTTTGGACACCCTTAAGTTAAATCTCCCTCCCTCGTTACTTGTTGAAAAATAAACTTAAGTTATAAAAAAGTTAGAATATAAACAAGCATTTTTAATTATTTAATCTGATTTATTATTAATTGATAATTTTAATTAATTAATTAATTATACCACATGGTGATTTCTGAAATTAGAATGCCAAATGTAGGCTACCAAACTCACACCTATATTAGGATTTTATTTGTGTTCAAGATTATTCATTCTTCTTTTTTATTTTTACTACTATTTTGTTAATAAAGAAACATTAATGATATGTTTCATATCATCGCTGAAATTAATGTTGATATAATCGCGCTAAGTATACTTTAAATTGCATTCAATAAGCCTGTTTTTGTTAATACCTTGAACTAACCAGATAAACAATTGTTTCAATGATTTAGTAATGAAGAATTACTACTGGGACTATTACTCCTATTTCCAGGGCAAAAAAGCAATCTGCTGATCATGATGTTAGCAAAAAAATTTTCATTATTTAGAAATATATCATTTTAGCTCTTTTAATGCAAAAAAATTTGGCATGTACAACTCTTCTGTTCCCATCCCACTTTTTTTTGATTTGCAAAAATGTTTTAAAAAAATGTGATGTTCTTTTTTATGCAGCATTCTAATAGTTTTGATTGTTCTTCAGATCAGCTATAGTAAAAGCAGAAATTAGTGTTACAATGTTTAATTAAGTAAATTATAAATTTGGAGTGAATAAAATCAGACCAATTCTATGTATCTATATTCTATGTACTTTGACAGTGCAGATTCTCATTAAATATGACTAAAATCGCGATATAAATGAAAAAAGTCATGCGGGGAAAGGAGTGTCCATGTAGACTGGACGTCGCATCTTTATTTTTTTTGTGTAGGTAAAATAATAATATATACAGTCCACGTCAAAAGTTCGATCAAAAACGGTTCGAGATATTGTCATGAGTCAAAACATGTTGATTTATATTTTTATTATCACAACTATACCGTGAATGAATGTTAGGTAAGGTTACTTTTATTTATGAAGATCTCAAGTAAAAAATGGTGTTGTGATCATTGTGCAATGCCAGGTAAATTTTCAACAATAATGACACCTTCTTTCTTCTCAAGCCTCTCGTAACTATAGATAGTCGGCCAATTAGTGTCAATTGCAAAAAAACCAAGCCATATAGGCTACTCATTATTTCAAAGTAACTTGAAACCCACATAATGATACCTTACATTTTGTTCGGTCTACCAATTTCAGTCGAACAAAGGATATAATCATTGACGGGCAACCTTAATGACTTAAAGCAATATGAAGATGAATTCAGTGTATTGTGTGGAATGACAACATAGATAACAATGCCTTGGCCGCAAAAATCTCGGCTTAATTATAATGAAAACCAATAAAAAAGAACCCGCAGGCCGAAAATTTTCAAATTCACTCATGTTACGATGTTACGTAGAAATGTTCAGTGATTACAGCAAACTTTATCGCTATTTAAGATAGTAGGTAGCCCACTAATAAATTTTAGCGTCATTTAGGCTATGATATAAGCAATATATCTAAGTTGTTATTAAAATTAATGAATTAAAGTTCATAAAACGTTTGCCGAAGTGATTTCGAAAATTAGGCCACCAAAACAACACATACTCATAATAAAAGTTTAATCAAATTTTAGTATACACAAACATTTATTCGAAATGCAAAATATATATCAAAATACAACATCGAGTATAGTATATTGATTTCATTTTGTATTGTAACTTATAAATAGAAATAGAGAGATATAAAAATAAATAACAGTAGCGCCAATAAACCTAGTTAAATTTTAAGTTGTACATTTTATGTTGTAATTTTTAAGATTCTATTTGACTGAGAAAGGCACATCGTTAAAAGTAGACGGTTATATACTTAACGTAAATAAATAGCGTAAATATATTATGAGTTTGTTATGGTTATAAGAGATTTTAAAGCCCTTTGTAACTTCTGTACCCGAAAATTGTATTTCCTAAGTACAAAACTGAAATAATCAACCCAATTATCTATAAATAAAAATAAACATTAATTTTTGTTAGTAATAAAAAATATATTTACTTACTCCAGCGGCGAATAATGGTTCATACGTGTTAGAATTTCTGATTTTATCCACTTCGATCAAGAAAACGATGCTTGCAATCAAATACAACAAAAATGCGAATAAATGGTAGAGGAATATCTACAAAAAATAACAATTTTAAAAATTAAAAATGTGGTTTTCCGTTTTTGATAACACTAATTGCGGTTTTCCTGTTATTAATACTTACATAAATGGTTTTCGGTAGAATGGAGGCTGTTGATATTGAAACAAGACATGATAGGAGTAATAAAAACGTTCCTATCAAAAATGTTACGGCCATTAACAAGAAGAAGAGGTATACGTCAGTCTTAATATATGTGTTCTTGTAGTAAGCTACCAAGCCGACAACCACAACTCCTAAAATCTAAAGAAAATTTTATTAAAATAAATTTCAATATTTAAAAACAAAAGTAAAAAGGTCGTTATCTAATACTAATATGTATATGTATAACGTTCTACTTTTAGTTCAATAAAAATATACAATAATCTAACGCTGAACAACAACTAAAGCTAACACTCGCATTAGAACTAACGCTAAACTCAGAACTAGACACATTCGGGTTTAGTCATCTTAAGAAACGTACGGCTAAATCTAAATGTTTCTAGTTATAGGACTAGTGTTAATTATACTTTTAGTTCAATAAAAATTTACAACAATCTAGCGCTGAATAACAATTAAATATTTTGTTCGTTATATCGAGATTTTACTATAATAATAAAATAAAATTTTTGAAAACTTGTAAGAATGCAACGCGAAAGTATTGCAGTATTCGATGACATTTTTAGGTCAAGACTTTAGGTTAAGCCTTGAACTCGTTCTTCAATGAGAAACTCACTTAAAAGTCCATATGCGTATTTACAACATAATGGAAATAACAATCTGACAACTATTTAATGATTAAAATCATTAGCAAATAAGACATTTTTAAAATAATTGTACCACTTTTCTTTCGTTTTTTAGATACATCCAATATGAATCACACATTGCGTAATCTGTATAAACTATGTATTTCATATTTAAGTAAATTCTCACAAGGTATTACTCATTGCACGTGAAGGTTACCAACTAATTTGGTATAAACAAACTGAGAAGTAAGAATTCAAAAGAAAATACACAAGAAATCTTTTTTTTATTTATAAATATTTGCAGGATTACGTAATCTATATCAATTTTGAAATACTTTGAAAAAATAATCTCTCAAGTATTATTCATTTCAAGGTTACAAAAATAGCTAATAAATACCTCTAAATACTGTTAAACTATAAAATAATGTCCTTTTGTTCTTAAACTTTTTCTTTAAAATATTCCGAAAATATCGCGACGAAAAGTAGTAGCAATTCGACGTTTTAAATCTCCTTCTGGCCCGAACACGTGTTCCTGATTTTACGGTATTTTTAACCGAAGAGTAAGCATTTCCACTGAATTCGCGAATGATTTGCCGCAACACGAGGCGTTGCCAAACTGTCTCGTCATGAACCAAAATGATACCCCTATAAAATTATTCTTTCTTTTCACAGTAAGAAAGTTACGATAAACAGAGTTGTTGTATTAATCGTAAATGTGACTTTCAATCGCTTCGTCATTCGACAATTCCACATCAACACTTCGTTATTTACGCCTTTTAATACAGAGTTTGTTGTATAGTCAAAAATAGTACTTTGTTTATTTTGGTTTGTGTGCTGTAGTAGTAAAACTTCGCCTTCTGGAGAACTTGGAATCGTTGATGTTGAAATTCATTTTGTTGTTATGTTTGTGTTTTATTATTGTTATCAGTTATCAAGCGTTGCGATATCTGTATATGTTAGGTTATAAAAATATGATTAAAATATTTCGTTTCTAAAATTAAAAGTGATTTTTACAAAACCGGATATTGGATATTATTAAACACACCCTCAAGCACAATTACTAAACGTAAAGTTGTGTCTGAAACATCATTGATCGTGAACATCAACAGTCTATCTAAAAGTTTTGCTTAAAAACTTATTAAAGGAACACTACAACAACTTTGATTTAATTCTCACTAAATCAAAAGTCATTCTGGCAAAATCCAAAAACATTAAAAGATTGAAAATATGTGCCTAACACATATTCTTCTGCTAAAATGAATCTAGAGGTACAAAATCGACACTTCATTTCGCTGGCAGCTTTCCATTTTGGAGGATCTTGGCAAATAGGTATCAAGATCACGAATTATCATTTCCTGCTATTATTGTCGTTGTTGGAGATAAATCGTTTATTACATTATTACTTTGAATACACTGTCTAAATTCAAGACCATTAACACTCATTGAGTGAATTATGCACTGAGATCAACAAAGTAGACTCCATCAAATCCCATAATAATGAATTTGGATGTAAATACTGATCTCATTGGAGACTGCAACAAGAATTTAAAAAATATTTCTGACAGAGAAAAAGAGTGATTTCCACAAACCTGTATTTGAAGTTAAGACAAAGTCTATACAGATATCAAAATATTGAAAAGAATCAAAAAAGAACTTTTATCTACATCTAACCATCAAGCAACACTTTTGTTTCCGGCCTTGGAAAACAAATGCCAAGAATGCCTGCTTAAACTTAATGAAGACAATGTTTGAGCACGGGTGTTCATTCCAAATCATCACATAGAACGATTGTTTCCATTGCAGTACTCACAAATTTAGTTAAAAATAAAAAGAATAGTTATTTGGTCGAGTAAAAATTTTTGTGTAAATTGCGATGACCTTTTGAATCATTTTATATGTATGAGACGCTTGATAAGATAAGAACTAATCTTTTTTTTTTATAAATTAAATATCCTTACCTGGAATAAATTTATTATTTGTGATGACAACTGTACACATAAATTCTGTTCCTATTATGTTCGTCTTTATTTAAATCTTATGATGTCATACATACTCAATGACACATATGATAAGAAAATACTGATTTACTGAAATTCAGTACTAAATGATACAATTTCGTTAAAAAAAATCGAAAGGTTAGTTGTTGGGTTAAAAATTTAAAAGAAAAATAAATAGAACAATGGCCAATAATTTCGAAGGTTTCGAATTGCGTCTGCAAAAATTTGGGGCATAAACAAGTCGTAATTATAGGCAGACGCGAAGATCACCGCACCCAAATCTACAGAAATAGGGTCAGAGACGATGAGGATATTTGGAGTGGGTGGATTTCTTCAGTACTAGTTACACCAATGTGCACTGTTTGAAAATATCGCTTGACGTCACCGTGGACTAATATCTAAAATTACTCCTGAACACATGAAACAGTGTTTAAATAAATTTTTTTGAAGATCTTAATAAACCTTGCTATTACTTAATAAAACACTATTTAATAATGCCATAACTTACCAATTCAAAAAATTTCAACACTCCAGGCCAAGTCTTTAAAAATCCCGTGTTGATAATTATTGCTGAGGTAGTAGTTGTTGTAGTTGTTCTAGTTACAGTTACGGTGTGCGACATTTTTTTCTGATAAGTACTTTTAATTAATTTTTAATGGTAACTTAAACAACAGGTGTGATTTTGGTTCGCGTGTGCGTTGAGGAATACGGTCGGTTTCAGACTAACAGTCGCGACCGGTCCGATACGTGATGATTCACAAACTCGCGAGGAGGCGCAATCGATAAGCAACCCACCACAGAGCGGTTGTAAGAAAATCGTTAGAAACGGAAGGAAGGAGGGCTATTTCCTTTGTTTGGAGAAAAAATCACGAAAAAATCAGCTAAATGTCAGACACCCACGCAACTCCCACCCAAAACCATTTAATTTTGACGAACATCAGATGGATTTGATGCCAAAACGCTAATTTTATTTGAAAAGTCTATTTCAATTCATGTGCTCAGTCAAATGCTCGGTGTTAGAAAAACTATGATTTTTTCGAGGAATAATCAATCATAATTTAAAACGCTTTGGTATTAAACGATTTTTAATGTAGAAAAGATAAAATCTTTGGTACTAAGATTATTTTTATTTTACAAAATGTTCACATCAGACTTAATGTTATTGTTGTTTGAAAATAAAGAATTACTGATTACCCGAAATAGTGATTTGATTACATAAAGTTTTATACTTAACTATAAATCTATATGCCTCGATGATTCTCAAATATGGCTTTTTTACAGTAAGAGCTCTGCTTATTGAGATATGAGACGAAATTTTTACAAAAAATATATATCGGTTATTATCTTTCATTCCCCGGCAATAATTAGCCATCATATTTGTATTCCTGAAACTCTAGTATCTCTTTTCCCGATTTTCTGGAAAAAATCAAAAATCTACCTAAACGTACTCCTACATGAATATGTATTTTGAAAGCACTTTTGCCAATGCTCATGTTTAGCTATGCTATCCCATGAAAATATAAAACAGGAATGATTAGTAAAACCACCTTGCTGATCCAAGAGGACCATCTTCCATCATACTTTATTCATAGTTTTCTCTCTAAAACACCTTCTTGTAGTCCATAAGTATAGCCTTCTCTAATGGGACTAACTCAGCAGAATCCCAACGAAAGTATATCATTATTTGATTAATTGTGCAATAAGCAAAGAATTTAGTTTATTGCCATTATGGAAGAGTACAGATTTAAATCATTGTTTCAGAAAAAGAGGATTCATGTTCCGATGCTTACTTAGATAAATTTCTTTGATCAAAATATCTACATTAGTCTGATTTACAATCATCACTGTTTTTCAAATATTGAGACTCTAAATCGCACTGTGTACTGTGGTACTCACAAGAACTCAAAACACATCTAATAATAGATTGTGAGCTAAGATAAATCCACTTGGAACAATAAACAAAATCATGATAACTCATCGTGATGTACAGAGGTTTTGTTTGCTTTCTAATATTCGTTTCTGAACTCAACGTCTAATGCAGCAAAGTTTAGTACCAAGTACCAATGCGTTTCTTCCTATTGCAAACATTTTTAGCTTATAACTCTTTTTACATACAACATTAATCTATCATAAATTTAAACAACCCAATTAGTTGTGTATTTAGTTGCCTACAAATTCTGTATAGTAAACTGACACAGTTCGAAAAAGTTTCAAAAGAAAGATAAAAAAAGGCGAAAAATGAGAAAGTCGATTTTGGATAATGGAACTCCTAAACGACAATAAAATATTTCTTTATCATTATAGAATGATTGTTCAAGATATTTAAAGTATCTTTCCCTTATGAGATTTGATTAGCAGTTTATAGACATAGATTTCGTTTCGTTTAATATTCCGTAGAAAGAATACTTTTCTCATTTCAAGATTTCAAATGATTCAAATTTAAGTAAGTTTATTTCATATTTATTCTCTGTTACAATAAAATTTATTATAAAAATACACACGATACATACAAAAAATAAAATTTATTATACACAATTAATTTTTCAAGTACAAGGTGAGATGAAAATGTTTACAAAGCTTTATGCTAATAGTAACATGTTCAGAATTAAGTGAGAATTCAATTAAGTTGTCACTGAGAAATCATATAAAACTAATATAACTAAAATTGAAACAATTTAAAAAAAAAACAAAAACAATCACAACTTCTAGCACCTAACATATAAATTTTCAAAAAATTATAATTACTTGAAAGGAATTCTTACAAAATTTATTAATGTTACTACTTACAGCTGCAATAAGCTATATATAAAATTATATCTCACCCTGTATGTATAATTTATTAGGTACTTAAGTATGATGAAAAAGTAATAAAATAAATTTTGAAAACTTAAATATAATATAATAAAGTCGGACGGCGACACGACTTTGTATTTTAAACAACTTTTCTAACATACGCAGTGAGGAAATCTTGCAAAGTAAAAATTAATAAAAATAAAATTATAGATTACACTTGTCATATTAAGGCTACGCCGAAGACTATATCGAGGTTATTCAAAAACAAACAAAAAATATCTCTAAACATAAATAATACAAAAAAATAGATTTATACAATGTTGACAAATTGTTGATCGCTTTGAGGACGTTGAAACGACAGAATGTAATTTCTGTTCTATACTTGATCGTAAATGATAGAGGTACTTTAAACGATGAAATGTGATGACTCAATTCGTTGTCCTGCTACTTTTCCATTCCTTATGAAGCATAAACGTGCCGTAACCGTAAGCAAACGTATTAAGCAATCCAAACACCTATAAAGAGATTTAAAGATATAATTACATAATATATGAATAAAGAAATAAATAATAAAGATCAATTATATTTTAATACAAAAACCTTCAATCTAAATTTTGACATAAAAATAGAATACAAAAAAATATTCTGACCTTGTTTGTGAAAATAAAAAGTGTTAAAAGCGTTAAGTGTTTCTGATTGAAAATAAACTCTAGATTAAAGAATTATTTTTATACTTACTCCTGCAATTAAATTTCGTACTCTGATGACTTGACTATAAGGACTCACCCAAACGGCTAATTGAACAATAAAGCCAATGCAGTAGAAAACAGTATCAATTCCAGTATTTATCATTTCCTAAAAAAACACATAAACTTAGCAAAACAGAAATAGAAAAACATTTAAACTATTTTTATCGATGAACAACGTAATGATGTGAACTAAAAGTTTTTTTTAAATAATTATTGTTAGTAATGGCAGTATAGAAAATAATTATTTCGACACTATTCGTAATATTCAAATTTGGTTATTGCCCCATTGATTAATCACAGTCTGCTTGACTCTGTGGTTGGCTGACGCTATGTTCCTAGAATGGGAAGAAATATTTTAAATATTTCTCAGTAGACAGTCAACGCAACAACTACTTAAAAAGTTAGAGGCCGAATTTGGATATTACGAATATAGGTTATCTAAAATAACTTATACAACGTACTATTATAGGTTATGAGACAAACATAGTTTGACCTATATGCATCTACATTACTTCTATTGCTATTGAGAATCTCATTTTGAAATCACCAAATTTGAAACAACTTAATAGAAAAAGCAACATGTTATAGTACGTTGTAAAAGTTTTTAATATTTTTGTTATTAATGTGAACTACAACAGTTGTAGATAGTTACTATCTACACTTTATTTATAAATGATAAACAGTAAACCACAAAATAGTGGTTTATTGTCATTACACGAATAAAGTGTTAATAATATTTTACCCAAAGACCCTTTCATGCTGTTATTGTAGATTGTGCTCTCAGGAATTAAAGATTTTTAAGATACAGTTGTGTCCAAAAATTTGATGTGTAACTGTTGGTATAGTCCATTATGTTAGCGCTAGAAATAATCTCTCCAGGAAGCGTCAGTTATTGTTAAAGGCTAATACACAAAGCTAAAGTTTAATTAATTATTTTTTATTTGGTTAATTTTTTATAAATTATCAACATACGAAACTATAACAAAAAAGAATTAACAACTGTGTTGAATATTTCATAAAAAGTGATAAAATTATTATGTATGCGAAATTACATTACATGGATAATAAATAATAACATTTTTCGTAAAGAAAATTAAAAAAAATAATAATTTATTTTAATACCCCCTTGTTGGTCCATTATCTGTTGATCTTTTCAGTTTCCATTCTTTATACAATAATATCGTACCGAATATATACACAGCCGTGTTTAAAATTGCAATAACCTAAAGAAACAGTTTCTTTTTTGTTGATTAAATATACATTGAATAATTTAAACTTACACCGGCAATGATATTTTTCACTTTTGGCAAGTGTAACAACTCCACAAGTTCATTAGTGCTCCAAATTGAAATTTGAACCACAAATGCAAGCAAATAAAACACCGTAAATAATCCGGTTATTCCCATTTCCTAAAATTCCTTTCGTTAAAATTCTATTTTAATTTGAAAATTCTTAATTCTGTAATCTTATGTATAATATTCAAGTTGGCACATTGTACCACATTCTGAATCACTCTGTGTAACGAAGGTAAAAATCCTGTGAGGGTGCAACATTCTGATTTAGATAATGTGTTCGGAATCGGAGCCAATTGGCAAAGATTCCACCTCATCAATTAGAGTTAGAAGGTTTTCAACTTTGACAAGGTTGTCTACTAACACATCCGTATATTTTTGTTACATAATTTACGTTCATAATTTCGTCGGTTGATATGAAAAGATTATTTTTGTAAAACCAAAATAAAATATATTTTATAAAAAGTTAAAATATATGAAAAATAAGCAAATAAATAGTGACAAGATAAGCAAACAAATTTTGCATAAAATTATGTACACTATGATTCAGTTAAATGACATTTTCTAACAATAATAATCACTAAAATAAGCCAATTAAAAGTTATTTTATCATTTTTTAAACAATCTAGTCGAATCTATTAATCCGAGATAAAAATTATCCACTTTTTCTGCAAAAGAGTTACTGCAATGTTGATCGACTGTTGCAACAGATGTGTATGGTTGGCTTTTCAGCATGGATCGTGCACATCAAATTATGATAATACCACTTTAATGGTAAATAAAAGTGTGTCCATTTTTATATAATATGTTAATACTTTTAAAATTAGACCACTTAACTGAATCATCGTGTATATTTAGCCATTATTAATCCTCAACCCATAGTTAATTTATTAATAAAATATTAAATTAAGTCATTTAATACTCACCGATAACAACCAGTCAATCGGAAGATTCAACGCCTCTCTTATACTTAACAAATAAACAAAGGACCATATTAGCGTGCTTATAAAGCTGATGGTGACGGCAAAGAGGAACCAATGAGTACCCGATAAGTAAGCGGGTGATGCACACGACATACAGATAATACCCAATATCTATAAACAAAAGAAAAAAAACAGGAAGTGATAAATATTTCACATTAGAAAAATCGACGGTCACTTATAACATTTGAATGTATTTTGAGAACAGATCGTAAAACATGTTTTCGTTCTTCGGTTTTCAGTTGAATTTCAGTTGAACCGAGTGTTAAATAAACAAACATTCGCAAAAATATTCAAGAAATAGAACGGCGAAAAGGTCTCGCTGCGTAAGTATTAGGATTATTACTTAAAGTTCAAAGTAATTTTATTGATCTACTAATTTCTTTCTACTAGGTCATTACATTTTTATAAAACAATTTGTTACAAATAACAATTTTTCTATTCGTTTCTCATTTTATTCGAATACCATCAATTTAAGTTGATGGTTCTTCTGTTATTACGATTTGAAAAACATGTGGAAACCGGCAAGAAAACATTAATATTACTATTTAATGAGAAGTGTAGATGATGCATCTATTGAAAAATTTAAATTTCCATTAACGTGAAACATCTTTCCTATTCTCTACGTTTCACTACGTGGATAAGAGTAATAATCAAACTAATGAGTTTAGCATTAACATGAGAATTTTTGAGCCGCTCACCAGCTGATGAACTACATGTATCTATTATTTAAGATTGACCTTGATTTTCATTTAATTAGGTACGTTGTTTTCTAAATAAAATCGATACGTTCTAAGTAGTAATTTAGCTTGCATATTTTTAGTACACATCATCCATTTACATCAATACTTGCATTGCCTTAAATTGGTAAACAACTACAAAATAGACAGGCTATTTTTAAACTATATGGTGTCGTCCATTAAGATGTAGTCATTTGATTTGCATAAACATATTTCACAACCAAAAAAGTGACTCTTATTTATCATTTGAAAGCGCTTTTTAACATTTTCTTTTAGGTTTTGCATAAAATTAAAAAAATAACATTTGTAACACATTTTTTTAGAATTCTCTAACAATTTTAATGGTGAAAATGGTAAATAGAATAACGTTTTTCTCATATTTACATTCAATGTAAAGTTTATAGGATTTTATGATCATAAAAATGCAGTATGCCAATAACGATTGGAAAGATTTAATGAATAAATAAGAACTGATTATAAATATTTGATAATATAAACAGATATTTTAATCATATCCTGTTTAGTAAATATCTCTAGAAAGTTTGTTTGTTTTAAAAAGAATTTCAGATTTTAAAAGCACTTTCTATGGATCATCTAAGACCTTCCTAGTAATTTATTAATAAGCCCTCTAGTCAAATTACACCATTCTAAAGGTAAACACAGGATGTTTTTCTAACATTCTTAAGAGGGAAATAACAAATTACTATTTCCCAAATATTATATACAAATCAACGAGTGTTAACGCTAGAGTGTTAATTCTTAGTAATGCTGATATGTAGCAGAAACATTAAGGACTTACAATTAGTCGACTAATTTAAGATATGTAGCAGTTCCTAAGACTTAGAGAATTGAAACATCATCTATTAGCACGTATATACATATAATACGTGTCAGAAAGAACAATTTAAAAATCAAGACCGATGAAGATGAAATGTATAAATAAAGTACATATAACCTTGAAAATGTGCTGCAGAATTTTAGAAAGAAGGACATAAAAACAATGTTTTTCCAGAGGAACGGTTAATTATTTCGTTAATGACAACAAATATACTCATTAGTTTGAAGAAGACTGTGAATGTGATTATGATATTGTTCATCTGAAAGGTGGGTAAATGATTTTCAAGAAGATAAAGAAGAGTTGTTAAAGAGAATTGAGTGGAATACACAGGAAAATATTGATCGTGTAAGAATATCTATTATTCAGAGTCGAACTCGATCAAGTAGAGACCGCTCTCAAACACTCCGAATTCCTCGTGGAAGTTTAAAGTACATTTCGAACAAACATCTGAAGTTTCGTCATTACAAAGTTATGGTGGTTCAAAGGGTATTTCCGACAAACCACCGTCAACGTGAACAATTTAATGTACGTATGCTGCAAATTTTAGAGTAAATGCAATTATGATGTTGACAGATGAGACTCATTTTCACTTGGACGGTTTGGTCAACAAGCAAAATAATTTTCACTATTATTTTACACAGCTAAAAAGTGATATATGGTGCGAATCCAATTTTTTTCAAAATGAGAGATAACAAGCAGTGCCTCACTATGCCTTTAATTCGTCATCTTGAATAAAATAAAATTGCCACTAGCAGCATCTGGTTCCAACAGGACTGAACTAAAAAACGGCGAGGATTTCACACTCCACGCCTATTTTGGGGCTATCTAAAGATCAGAAATAAAACCATGGCAATACTAAATGAATCCAGTTGTATTATGGTGTTTTCCAAACCATAGCAATCCAAATCATAGCTACATCATTAACACTGAATCTCTTGCCATGAATGGCTAATTTTCGCATTCCAACTCCTCGTTTTAAACCAGTGCAGGTAAGACCTCAAACTTTTTTCTGTAAGAATCAACTAGGTATTGCTTCATCAACATCTTGAAAGAAAAGTAGTTAAAAGATTTCGTTATTTACAAAGCTGTACCAGTCAAATTTTATCCAATATAGAAAAAATATTTAATATACACCATGAATATCAATAATATTCGAATGATTAAAAAAAACGTTTGAATTAATAGAAGTATTTAATTAATACTGTTGGGTTAGTTTTTTTACAACAAGCACCAAGTACAGGAAAAAAGATTTGATTATACACGATCATGCACCATGCATAGTGGTATGTCGCTATCATTAAGAATTATAGGCATGATCTTACATCTATCTTTGGTATAGGAATGTCAGAGCACTAGTAAAACGAGTTTTTCATTTTATCTTTCCACGTTAATGATTCTTTTTTAAACGTGTTTCAACCGAGACTGTTCCTTACCCAACTTCCTTATGTACTTAATGCATTATTTTTAACTTTAAATTGTGTTTCATGGTACAGTTTCAATTTATCACAAGTCTGTTGACAAAACTTAAAAATAACTTTAAATTGAGTTTATTATTGTAACGTAAATATTGAAATCCTTGAGTAGAGCTCATCCAAATTTAAATCAGAGTTAAAATTATTCTACCAGGATCTTGACATTTTATTAAACTAGATCTACAGTGGAACGTTTTGAATTAATTCAATTAAAACGCCGGAATCAGAAGCCACCGTAAAACAGCTGTAAAATTTAATTGAATCCAAGAATAAGTGCCAACTAATACCGTTCGGACTACTTAAAGAAATCACCTGGATTTGATATTCATTGTACGAAGTGGTACGAAGTATCTGTTAACGGTGAATAGTTTTACTGTTGTCCAATGAGATTTTGGTTAATTTTTTTTATTTAATGGCAACACTTCTATGTGTTACAATTTGTTGTTGTCTTTCCGGTCAGGTACTTTGACCGACATACGTATCGACGTAATCGGTACAAATACGTGAAAAAATGCGGGAAGGCATAAATTGAAAACGAATTACTTAATATTACAGTTTTAAAGGACGTATTTCCGGTAACGGAGCTAAAGTAGGCAGGTCTAGTTTAACCTTGGTTTTGTATTTCATCAAACGCCTTCGCGAGCAACTAACAATAAATTCTTTATGTTTCTTTAATAACGTTGTATAAATTTTAAGATTTTAGAAATAGAAACTATTCGCTTTATTTTTCATTCCGACATAAATATAGGTTTATTTTATGCTCGTCATAAACACAAAACTAATTTTCATTATATAGTAAATTCTCGGATATAAAAGAGTTCGTTATATGAAAAAACGTGATAGTTCTAGTATTATTAAGTATGCAACAATAGACTTATTAACAGAAAGTTTCGGGTTGAGCCGTGCATCTTCAGAAGAATGTGTGGTAATTTCAAATTTTTTCTCCCACTCCGAGTTCTACTTGTTCAATAGAAATATACAACAATCAATATATTTATCGAACTCAACTGATAAATTGGTATAATAGATAAATTATTAAATATGGACCAAATTAAAATAAGTCTTCGATAGAAATTTCGCACGCAAAAACCATAATGTCACGCACATTCGTACTTTGTTTGATAAAGAAAAATTAAAACACCGCTTCCCAACGACTCAGGTAACCTAGATAATTTTTATCAGATGGACTCACGTTTGTTCATTGTGCGCAGTAGAATAACTAAGTTATTTAATAAACATTATGCATATTTATAATGTCCCAGGGTATTGGTCCACAAGACTATTTCCCAGGACATTGGACCAAAAAGATCTAGGCTGTTAGCGGAACTACACAAGATGTAAAAACAAAACAGACGCTTGCTGGTCGAGATGAAAATGGGCTCTCCATGGATCGGTCTCCAGTTGGAGGTAGATGACCTCCTGGGGCAGGTGGGGTGGCGTAACAGGCCGTTACACCGACTAGTTCGTTTCAACCAACTGTCCAAGAATAAAATGGTTGTTGTTTATATGAAAACCATGACATCATTAAAATTTAAAATAAATAAGTATAAAAACTAAAATATATAATCGTTTTATTAATTTGCGTTCATGACATTGAAGATACAAAAAAATTCAATTTATACTATGTCATTAACAGCATTTTCAATTACTCAAGACAAGTGAGTTATGCACATATTCAGAGTTAAGTGTCCATATATGAACACCAGTAAACATACAGCTGTTACGTCATTAACGCCCCCCAATGATGCTACATCCCACTTTACTCCTACTCGATTAAAATAGTAAAGTAGGAGCGATAAAGTGGCGGAAGGTAGGAGAAATTTTACCGTGGTTGCATTTCCTTCAATTGAATACAAATTCAACGTTATGCGTAGGACTTTTCTGTTTTTTCTAGGACAGGAAAGGCGACATACATAAAACTGAACGGATACTTTCACTATATACTAAAAGTCATAGTATATTCCTATGCTTTTAATAGCATTTCAAACCACTCTAACGCTTACAGCATAGTCATCAAGCAACACTTCACCACTTAACATGTGTAATTACCTGCCAGAGAGGTACGTCATCACTTACTAATAGAGCCAGCATATGAGTAGGTGTCAATTAATTATAAGTACACCCACTTTACAAAATTAAAGATAGTTTGGCGCCGATTACTATCTATAGTGAGATTTTAGATTAACTCTTGTTTGCAGTTAATACATAAAAAATAATCGATGAGAGGTATTATACTCGTATTAGAAATCATGAATTGCATTCCTCGACAAGTTAACCTTCGCCGTGCCAAAGAAAGTGCCGTATCGTTTTACACTCTACAGCGTTCTACACAGACTTTTGTGTAATCGTCGTTGGCGGGGATCCAGGAAAGACCCACCTAAAATAACCGAATCATTGTCTTAAAACGGTCCATTTGTTTTTGAGTCATATTTAACTGTTCGTGAACGTTGTTAAAAAAATTACGATCTTTACAACCCATGACTAATCGTCTATTATGTAGCAGATGTAACGAATCAGAATCGTTTTTATTACTAGTCGAAAGATTCTCCAACTTTATTATGGAAGAAAGTGAACTTATCCATAACTTCAAAGTTGCCGCTACAAAGTATTCATCTTGATTGCATAACAATTATGCCTAACAATTACCGAGATGATTCAAATGTACCCTTGTTCGCCTTCAGACACACAATATAGTGACGTAGCAACAGATGGTAGTAATTTATCTTGTGAAATATAGATGTAAGTTCGACGTAACGGGAATAGAATGGATTGTTATTACCTGGTGGGATTGTTAAATTACGGTACATTTAAAGTGTGGATTAATATATTTTAAGTACATTTGGATAAACAACCATTAAAATAAACAACAATTACGTTTCGTAAAACCTAAGGTTAGGCCTCATATAAAAATTTTATGTGCAATTCTGTAACATTTCAAAAATAGACTTTCACAGATGCTATCTGTTCATAGAGATCGCAAAAACAGGTTTCTTTGGTAAGTGGTAAACGTTTCCATTAATCAGTTTTCCTTATTCTTCTGCAAGGTAAGGCTGCCCTATTTCAGATTCATATTTCAAAAAAACCGTTAAGATGAATTTGCAGTCAGCTAGCTCGTTAGCAAAATAGAAGATGGGTCAAGCAATTAATTATGAATTGAAAATGTCAGCACAAAAACTGCTTTACAACATAGACGAAAGTGGACAAAAGCGCATACCACAAATAAGCCAAGGATATTTTCAATTGCATGTTTAAATGCATATAAGTCTATTTTTGCTGCTTTTTCCCCCTTAGTAGGCATACTGGGGGTAATTCGGCGGACTAAATATCAATTATAACTTCCCAGAACTTTCTTAAGAAACAACTTAAAGTGAGTAATCGAGAGAAATTGAGAGCGGAGACCCACAACTTTAGCTCAATCATTTAATCAGCTAAAAATCATTACCAGAGTAGGCAAAAATAATAACAGAAAAAATTTCGTCATCTACGTATGACTCCAATGTTACAATTGCTCGATGACAGATATGATGAAACCTTTCTGGCCACACACCAATCGTTTTGAAAGGACTTATCAGCGCTGGAATAGTACATATTGGCATCACTGTTCCCCGTCTCAAGATTACATAGAAATAAGTCTTCGTTAGAAGTTTGAAACCAGTTAAGTCCATGTTGAACCTCTAACCTGGAAATTTCAAAGATATTGCAAGATTTTAAAAATTTTTTTCACAGTGATCTTCTCCTGTGAGTTCAAACACTGTAAGGATCATAATTTGCTTGTCTATGAGAAGCTGTATTGTCATCGAATGAAAGTGGTACCAATTTCTATATATCATTTATTCATCAATCAATTTCAACTGCAATTAAATGCATACGAAAGTGTTCAATTAAAAAAACGTTTTAAGCTTTCGCCTGATACATGGAAATAAATTTTCACTGCGAATACCACTAACACGTCTCGTCATCTGCCCGACCCAGTTCCATCGATAACATCAACAACCAGACACAGACGAGCGAAGAGTTTTCTACTTCTGCTTAACCGCTATGTCTATAATTAGTTACAGTTAGGTCTGCATTAATATGCAGTGACCGTTTCTTTTTAAATACTTTTATCGCAATCTGTACGGAGTTAGTACGTCAACTCGACCTTAAGTCAACCGTTCCAAAGAGGTTGTGAACATCCCACATTTATTAAACTCGTTCCATATATGACTCAAGAACTCTTCGTAACAAAAGGTGAATCTGTAATTTGTTATGGTTGATTTTTAAATGTATTTAATAAGTGTTATATTTGTATTTGACTAATACAACAGTTTCAATGACCTAATTTTCCGAAACCAAAGTGAAAGCTTGTTGCAAATAAACCTGGAACTGTTCCAGTTCAACTGAACAATATCCGAAAAGATGAAAAGGAAAGTCTTGAACTCAGTTGAAATTACATAATAACAAATGCACTGTTGGCATCGTTGCCATTCGTTACAATAAGGCGATAAATTAACGATTGTACGAAGCAGCTCTCACCTCAAACCACAACGCAACGAGACGGCATTTTTCAATGTCGGACGAACGGAGCAACAGGTGCAGCCAACCTCGAGAAAATGAAGTGGAGTGGCTGCAAAGGTTTCCACATCGTTGTCGTCGTCGCCGCAGCCTGAGGAATTGTTACTCAGACAACATTGGCGTGCCTACGTAATATGGCGTTCTTCAAATACTGAGCTAATAGCAGCCTTATGTTAGACCACGATCGTAAAAGTGCACGTGCATAAGTCTAGTCGGGTGATAGAATACTATTTTATCTTCGGTTTTATAATGATTATGTAAGGGATTACGTTTGTTCGATGTGAAATACTTAAGCATTTCGAGTTATTCTGAACAGTTAATTATTTTCTGTTTTGCAATTTCATACTGCAACCTAGAAGTCACATTTTTTAAGTAGTTTTTCTATTTGTGACAAAAAATTAAACATAGATTGTATGTAATTGATAATGAAAACGAATTTCCATTTTATTTATAGATTTTCCTAAACTGTGTTATTGATATTCCTGAAAAGTTTTCTGCCAACCCAAGGTGAAACTTAATAATTTACATTTCCATGTGTTGTTGTAAATGTCGTACCCTAATCCTTCATTTTGATTGTATGTTATATCTCGATAATAAAATACCATTTCGATTTGTTGATAACTATGAAAATTCTCGCAGCAAATTAAAAAAACATGAACAAAAATTCAACCGGATTTTTATCTGAGATTCCTAAGAATGTAAATGTTTGCCTTTGTTACTTTTTTTAAATAGATTACGTCTACTTTTTCGAATTGGTAAATATTTAAATATAAAAATATTACGCATAAGACGATTACGAATAGGTAGGTTAAAGATTTCAAGGACTGTTGCAAGCAGTTTCAGCGACTTAAGCGCATAGCGAATGAATATATCATACTGGAATTGACGTAACAAATGTGGTTATTATTGGTATTTATATCTATGAGTTTTTCACGTAACAATTGATTGTTTTTGTTTTGGAAATATTATGTTGTAAAAATACTTTTATTTGTTATAAATTTAATAATTATCGAAATTGGGAATATAAATAAATGGAGGTGTGGCATTTTTCCTTTAAGAAAAGATTGCAGATTTCCTTTAAGTTCAATGAATAATAAAAAAAACTTACCAATTCGATGATTTTAATTATTCCAGGTAAAGTTTTAAAATATTCCACATTGAGTTTGATAAAACTCAATCCGTTTCCTTCGTTTGGTTTAGCTGTATTATTATTGGGCGCATTTTCAACGGTAACAACTGTTTCCGTCATTTTTTACTTGTTTTATTAATTTTTTTCAATTTCGACAGAAACAATTTTGAACGCACAAAAAAAAACCGCACGACGAAGAGCTAAGTAGCGCGCACAACGCAACAATCTCTCTGCCCGGAACGCCGTACTGAAAACGTTTGAGTTGGGTCTCTCGACGATGTGTTTTGCAGCTGGTCACCGAGTGCACAACGACCAACTTCGAGGGAAAAGGTGGGACAGACTCTCCTCATAGAATCGACACGGTCGCTTCGAAACCGCTACGACACGAACATTTCGCCATGTACGCCGGTACGAAAGTAGAGTTTGGGACATGGTATGGCGCAGGAGGAAACGGAAGTGGACTTAGTGGACGATATCTTGTTATGGTTCGATAACAGTTGGTATCCAACCATTACAGTTCGTTGGATACGAACCTTTCATCAATTTAACTTGTCAATTAATACATCTAATTCTAAAAGATAATTTATTAAGATATAACTAAATTGTACCCTACTTATTCAGGAAATAAATTAGAAAGAGATAAACAAATCTTCTCTCTTAAAAATTTATATGGTCCAGGCTTGACATAATCACGTATCCACACACTGACCTACAAAAACTTTACAGTACCGTTAGTAGCTTCCAGGTATGCGAAGAAAAATTATGCGTAAGAGGCTCGGTAGTTAAAAGGTTACTCCGATCGAGTTGAGAATACGACACGTGCTTAATTAAACGGCATTTTTGGAAGAAGAACCGGTTTGAATTCTAAAATCGCAAAATTATACGTTTCGTTTACATTTTCTCTTTTCTCTGAGCAACAATTTTATTAAATAAAAAAAGATGAAAATGAGAACTGGCCAAAAAATAGATCCTGCATTCTACCTTTTAACAATCAAAAAACAAATATTGTGCCAATTACTAAAAGTCTCATCACAAGTGTTGTCGCTTGCCCATGGCAACTTTTCTGGTTTTATAACAAAATTTTGTGTGTAGTTAGGATAATATTAAGAATCCCAAATCGTTAAACACCTCTCGACAGGCGTCCCTGATGTAAGCATGACGTGCCATAACTCGAATCACTCCCTCTATATTACAAATAACTATTTACCGACAAAACCCCCCATGATACGACAATTAATACTGAAACCACCACGTTTTCAAAACGTCATCGAAACGGCTCAAGTAGTAAGCAGTTTGCGGTGAAACACCAAGAAAGTTTTCGGTCAACAATTACGTCGCTGTGAGAAAGTCATATCACGTTGATTCAGAATTCTCTGGTGCATCGGCACAAATCTATCTCCAGAGATATAAAATGTCATTAATTTTGACATAATTGACCCCTGAGAAACTATATCAGTCGATCAAGTTTACATGGATGATTCCTTACTTTTGATTTCTATCTGTAAGATAACACGTCAGTAAAGTGATGAGAAAATCACTATTTTTCTTAGCAATGCAATATTAAGGTCATAACAGTCTAAGCGTTTGGTGTTCTTTAGACTATTAGTGCCACTTCAGCTTTTAATCAGTATGCAGAGAAAATCTTTTCTCTTGAATAATCTAAAATTAGAAAAGTTCAAATAATCATTTCATATTCTTCCGTTTGAGGTCAATTTAAATTTTTGAAAATTTGGAATGTTCCAATAATATAGGTTGTATTACAGATTTTCCAGGCCAAATTCTTACCGCTACATATTTTATCCTTTAACTATGAATGAGGTTATATTCAGAAAGACGCGCTTTTTTGTTATTAATAACTCTTGCAGACAACCAATCTTACTACTTAAAATCTAAATTTAGTATCGACAACCAAACATACTGCATATCGATGATATCACAACTATACCATCATACTTTTTAAATAAACACAAATAAATTTATTCTTTGCTAATATTTTAGAAATTATCTTCATTCTATTTTGTTTTTAAAAACTCTAATCACGAAAATTAAAAGTTTAGTAAAAACCCCATGTTATCTTCTTGAATTTTTGCTTTATTTGATATTGATAAATTTGATGTTATTGGTGATCTGTAAAAAACGATTTTTATGTAAATTATTTATAAAAGGTTAAGTGCATTAATAGGTTAAATCCGCCTACTCTTAAACAGTTAAGTTGGTTGCGTCCTCAAACCAGTCTATTTGTCTCAAAAGAGAAAGGCCATTCTTCAGCCTTGATACCAACAAGATGCCTTCGGGTTCAGTCAGTCTGCAATAGCCAGCGAGGCGAAGAGACATTTTAACGCAATATATCCACTTTAATCCTTTGTTGTTCTTTTATGGCATTCGTATCTAGATCTAAAATTAATGGTTCTACTAATTTTAAAGTGTTACTAAAAAGAATCTTTGCAACCAAAAGATATTTCTTTTGTGATACTCAAAAATAATTAGTTAGTGAATTTTTTTTTGTCCAACATTTTGTACTAAATTATGTAAGTATACAAACCAAAATTAATTTAAACTGTTTGATTTATGGTCAATGACATGCGTGGATTCACGCACGTGTTACAGCCAATTACAGTTAACTTTCATAACATTTGAAAATTAATTACTTATTCCCGGCAAACAATAAAATCATGTAACCTTCCACCTCTTAGATCGAACTTGTACTTTCACATCTTCTGTCGTATAACTGTAAAAAGTCTTTTGTTTGTTGTTGTCAAGTCAGATCAAGTTTTAATTTTTCTATATACATAACATTCATGTATAGAGTGATCACAAGCTAATCCTTTAAGTGGAAAATTTAAGGTTTATACAAATCCTATATATTTAAGATGATCATAATATTACTTGTATGTAATATTATGTAAGATAAATTATTATGACATTCTAAGATTAATTACGCTCTATTTAAAAGTTCCCATTTTTTGTTCATAACACAATTACAGTATAACGTAACGTAATTAATTAAAATCATTTTTTTAGAAACCATGGATGATGATTGTGACCACAGTAAAAAAGCAGAGAAACCACAAGAATTATTAAGACCACCTGACCAACCAGATTTTTTAATATTAAATTTAAACAAACTAAGAGAAGACGAAATTCTCACAGACATTACCATAATTGTGCAAACCAAGGAATTTAAAGCTCATAAAGTAGTATTAGCAGCTTCAAGTGACTACTTCAAGGCTATGTTTTCAGATAACATGATTGAAGCACAAAATAGTCATGTTAACTTACATGGAATCACGTCGAATATTTTTCAAATTTTATTAGATTATATTTATACCTCAATCATCAAAATTGATCACACAAATGTTAACGAAATGTTATCTGCAGCCATGTACTTACAAATCGTACCTGTGATCAATGAATGCGCGGCATTTTTAATTGTTAATTTAACTACATATAATTGTTTAGATATTTTAAACGTAGCGGAAGAGTATTCTTTATTGAGAATGCGAAAAATGGTTTATTCGTTTTTATGTCATAAATTAACTGAAATAGCCAGTTTAGACGAATGGACAAAGTTTAAACCATCCCAAATAGCTAACGTTTTATCATTAGATCTTGCCATTGATACGCCTGAACCTGGTGTATTGTATATTATTTTAAAATGGTTTTTAAATGGAAATGAATCAGAGTAAGAATTATTTCCGTATTAAATCAATGGATTCTGCATAAAGAAACAACGTTCAAAATAGAATGTTTTTGAGAAACTATGTTTGCTTCTTTTTGCAAAATTTCATCTAAATTTAGTGTGTTCGATTAAATAAAACTATCTCATAAGTTTGTATCTCCACTTCCTTGTTATTGCCACAAAAGTTAGTAATTGTCCAGACGTGTTTGAAAAAGCAAGCTTTAAAAGATTATTTACTGATGTTACACATGTATGCATTAAACACTATTTTGAGCACAATCTCTGTGGCTATCTTGTCTTTTTTGCTAACAGAAATGTCCTTATATGTGGGGTAGAAACATTTTACTAATTCTCCAACTGTACACCATCAGAAAAGTAAGTTGAGGGATAGATGGGGTACATACATGAAAAAGATGTAAAATGACTCTTGGCTACTTCATTTATAATCCTCACTATCAGTGTATTGATTTTTGACGAGCAAAGGCGGTGTCGATGAGCTATCTGTTACGCATACGTTTCTGCAAAGCTCGTTTCTCTAAATGGATTTACGACAACCATATTGCTATTCTATGGATCGATGTCGTGGAATCCGCCGGCAGCTATTTCGGATGTAGTGTCATGGATCCAAACCTTAATCTGTAGATCCTCAACACCGACCCGAATTAATCGAATATTTTGTAATTATTAATCCATAACTTGGCACACTATTAAAGAAAGGTGGTAAATTTAGGATTTAGTTTTATTTTATTGAACACACTTTACACATTAGATGTTGTTAACTAAAAAAATATTTTAATTTCAGATTAAATGAAAAATTAAAACAAGCCGAAACAATATTATCAAAAATAAATTTTAAACACATTCCTCGTTCCGATTTAAATTGGATACTCGAACAACACTTTGCACCATTTAATCATCGCCAAACGAAACATCCCCTTTACTTAAAAATTATGGATCAAATAGATTCCATAGGAAATTCCATAGGTTCCATTCCAAATTTTCGAACTTTTAATATTCGTGGAATGGAATTGGGTGTTTTAAGAATAGGTGGTTTTGGAGAAAACGGTTTAACAAATCAAATTTGGTACTCACTTCGTGGATGTAATAAATGGATCGAATTAACAACCATCCCACACCATGAACAGTGTAATTATGGAACTGCTGTCTTAGATAATTGTTTGTATATTGTAGGTGGATGTTTTAATCAATCTCTACAAGAAATTATACATCCGTATGGTTTTAAATACGATCCAAGAAATGAGCAGTGGTACCGAATTCCAGCTATGAAAGTCGATAGATGTAGATTTAGTTTAAACGCTTGTAATAGAAAATTATATGCCGTCGGTGGTGCTACAGATGCCGATGATTTAGAATGTACAAATACTTGTGAATGTTACGATGCTGATACACAAAAATGGGAGTTTGTTGAATCTTTGCCATGCGGAAGAACGCAACATGCAGGGACTTCAATAGAAATCAACGGCGTTGAAAAGTTATATATAAGTGGAGGTATATATCGAGACAACGTAAAAAATTCAATGTATTTATTTAACCCTGATATTAAAGTCTGGTGTATTTGCCCACCAATGTTAACACCGAGAGCAGATCATTCCATGATCGCCTACGGGCATAAAATTTATATTTGCGGCGGATGGTACGAAGATCTTGAACTTCCAGCACGAAGAAGAGTCGCCGCCTCCACCATAGATGCATACGATTGCTTAACGAATACTTGGGAAGTCGTCACTAGAATACCCACACCAAGAAATCACGCGGGCGTTGTTGCCGACGACTCCAAAATTTATATTATCGGTGGATTTCTAACTGACGCTATGTTTCATAAAGATGTAACTCCAGTCGAAACTTATGACATAAAAACAGACGTTTGGTCTTCCAATGAAAAACTTCCCCAACAATGTTGGGAACATGCTTGTGTTACAATTTATATTCCAAAAAATGTGCAAGAAAATGATGTTAAGGCGCAAAATGGAAATAAGAGGAAAGTACCTAAAGTTTGATTAAAAATATGACAATCATGTACAATATAATATAGTGAGTCTTGAATTATTTTATGTTTGAGTATATTTATATATTATATTTGAGATTATTTCTACAATTGTCTCTTTCTGTATCCCTTCCTTAACACATTAAAAATTTATACCATAACAATCGAATTTTATTCCCTGTATTCGATATTTAATTCTACTCTATATTAAGTATAGGAATTGAGAACGGTTCAATATGTCTGCATCATATGGAGGTTTTTGTCTAAAAGTAGAATCTAACACTAGATCTAGAACTAGAAATATTCGGGTTTACCCGTGCGTCTTCAGAGTTTTCTAAGTTCTTGTCTAAGACGCCCGGCTAAACCCAAAACTTTCTAGTTCTAGGTATAATTCTTGTACATTTTAATTGACCTAATCTGATTTAATCCACTTACCTTGCTTATAATTTCATCCATTTACCCATTTTGAATTAAATGCTACCTTTAAATCCAATTAATTATGTGTTTTTCATTAAAAAAACTTTGAATTCAACGTCAGTTTTGACAAGCAAGTGCAATATTTGGATATTAATCACCATGGTAACCGAGTCAAGTTGGATAACCTTAAAGAAATAAAATTTTATTCCGATTTTTTTATCAATTCTAACCTAATTTTTATTAATTTTAAAACAATTCGAATTCTTTACGATCATCTCGCATTCATAACAAATTCGTTAATTGTAGTTAATTTAAATCGATTCTAATTAAGAGAAATAAATTAAAAATATCTTTTTTTGATTTAATCCACTTACCTTGTTTATAATTCCCTAGATAAACCAATTTTGAGTTAAATACAGCCTTTTAAACCAATAAAATAAGACTTTTTCCTTAAAAAAAAATTAAATTCAATTTCAATTTTGACAAGCATCTGCAATATTTGGATCTTAATCACCATGGTAACCGAGTCAAGTTGGATAACCTAACAATAATAAAATTATAACCGTTAATATTTCGTTTTATATTTTAATATTTTTTTTAATTTTATTATTTTTGTATATTTCTTCTTAAGTGATTGCCTTATGCAGTATGTTTACTTAACGGACCTTGCATAAATATGAAATATTATTAAACCCAATTTGTGCGAAGGCAACCAATCAAACTCAGAAGCTCTAAAATTTGTCTTTATTTAAACCAAAAGTTTTCTGAGGCAACCCTAATTACAATACTTTCTCTTTAAATACGTCTTATGTGCGAGAATGTAAAAAACGTTTATTTTTGCTTTTTAATGTATATTTTATACAAAATTAAATAAATACCATTTAAAAAAAAAAAATAATTTATTACAGTATAAAAAACGTTTTCGCTATTACCAATTGTACTTTAACAAGTCTCGTAACATTTACACCGCCATCTATGCGTCAAAAATCCTTATTATTATTACATTACCAGCTGTCTTAATAGATGTCACTGCAATCACATATTATTTTCTCTTGAATGACCGCAAACTAATTTCGCTTTTATTGTTTACCATTCTCTGTTTAGTTTTGCGTTTCTCGTTTCGTTATCTTGTTAATATCAAAATCTCGGATATAAATATAAACAACGATAAAAATGAGAGTTGCTGTTTTTGAACGTCATTTGGAGTGGCGCTAAACGCGCTGGCGTCGTCGGTCGTCGTTCGTTTGTTTACCACCGTAACCTTCATCGAACGAAATAAAATGGCGGTTCATAAAATTCAAAGTGTCAATGTTTCGTTGTCTGTCTGAAAACGCTTCAACTTATAGACGTTCGTAGTTTTAGTGAATTTGGTGGCGAATATAGGAAAAATGATGATTTTTGAAAGATGTGTTAGTTGTGACAGGCGTGCTGCAGTGACGGAGAAAACGATTGTGGCGGCGCGATAAACTGTGGAGGGAGAACACGGCGCATGTCGGCGCATCGTTTCTGCGCAGGCTCAAAAATCCACTGGATATACAGTGGTTTATTACGAACAGTCTCAATACTCGATTTGGATACCGTGAGTAGTTGATACACGTTCGAGGCGGTTTATAATAATTAGAAAAAAAAACATCAACGAGAACTAAATTCTTCGTGTGATAATTAAACGGAACTCACCTTGATACATCGGCCTATTTACGGTTAATTGTCACTTTTTTTTTGAATGAACCCGTTTCGGTTTGAACCCGCGAGTGCCATTCTCGTTTTCGCGTATAACGACGAAGAAACTGTGATGGTGCATTTGAAAATAAAAACGAGGGATAAGTGCTAGTAGGCAACAAAAGAAGGAGTGTTCAACTTTTTTTATTGCTTTTTTGTTTTAAGTTGCTTCTTTTGTTTTTCCTGTTTTTGATTAAATACCTACATAAAATCGAATTATTTGAGGTTATAAACGAGCCCGGGTTATAAATCTGATGGAATACGTTTGCGGTGTGCTTTATCTACTACGTAATTCTTATAGTAATAATAGTAATTGTGTGTTATTAACACCCGCAAGTGGTGTGCCATCGACGGATACTTAACCATCGAGGACACAAAAAAAAAGAAAACCATTAAAAAAAATTAATATAATCTGTGTGATGTCGGGTAACCAGATTAATGAGGAACCCCACAAGTCGCCTAGGGAGAGTGGCGAAGATTCGGAAGATGAAAGTGAAATTCTGGAGGAGAGTCCTTGCGGTAGATGGTTAAAACGACGTGAAGAGGTAAGTTTCATTTAAGAAAAATTATTTTATTTTAATTCTAACCTATAATATACCGGCAACCATTTTGCAATTTTGGCATTTCACCCCGCATGCGTTTCTCTCCCTCTCTTTTATGTTACGTCACAGGATCGATTCCGCTTTCGTCCGTCTGTCTGTTGGTGTGACGTCTTCCGGACGAAAATCATATCTCTCTTTCTCTTTTTAATAGACATCACATTGTCTACTATTAGTGTATACTATTTAAAACCACATTTTACTGTTTTCATCGCATATAAGGTACTTAATATATCATTCATAATGATCCGGGCTTCTATTTTTAGACGTTTCAAAGAAGTATTGACCTTCCCAGATGCGGACAACCGGTTCTGTAACAACCTACGGTTTTTTTTTAAATACAGGGTGTTTCATATTTTGTATTTAATAGTATCAAGTATTCAAGAAATACAAAAATAAAAACGTTGAAAGTATGGATGTTAAACCAAAATTTCATGTTAGAATTTTTGATGAAACAATTATTTCAATAAATCATATTTTACTTAAATTATTTATTTTAATTCTGATTATACACACAATTCGGGTTATCATAGCAACACCAAAACTTCGCTAATATGCTGCAAAGTTATCCTGGTAAGTTTACATGATGTTCAAGTGTTACATGAGGATTTACAGGACTCCAGTACGTGCAATTATGGCGATTAATAGAGCCATTTAATTTAAAGGATGCCTTATCACTCCACACGATTTTGTGTTGAACCCTACATCTTCTACACATTTTGCTAGGTACCATTCACAGAATTGAACTCTCCGGTGAGGATCATTCTGAATCGTGTTTGCACTTCAATGGCGTTTTCGGTCGTCCAATTAGATTCCAGGACAAACATCCTCTCTCCCAAACTAAGTTGATTTCCTGCCATGCACCTACAATACAAAATAGGCAGCATGTTAGCGACAGTTAAAGTGTGAGTACATTTTTTTGAGACACCTGTATTGCCAACAACAGTGTCTTAATTTAATTTTTGTATAACATTGTTTAGAAATAAATCACCTTATGTAAACAATTTAAAGTACGAATAATTAACAATATAAATATGTAATCAATTCAGCCTAATATTCTTGAAAATAATTTTACAACTTCAAGTAAATCTTTTCGGGTTAAGAAGTTTTATGCCTCAGCAAAGCATTTTAATTTATCGACTTTGCAACTACAAATCGGAGACTGCTAAACATATTCTATGTTACTGCGTCGTCAGAGGTCGCATAAAATAAAAAATTTCGAAAAGTTTTGCCTGACATAATGTCCGGTTCACATTATTCCAGTACGGCGATCGAAATCAGTGCTGCAATTCCTCACTCATTTCTGTGAGTCCAATCCAGCGACTGGATTGCATGGTCTACTTTTTCACTCCAGCTCGTTCGTTCCAACGCTATTGGCATAGTGTGGACGGCAAATTCAGTGCTGGGTACGTTGAATAGTCAATTGACTCGTTGGATTACGGAACTGCAATATTGTGAATGACATGATCCAGTCCAGTAGTGAACTGGATTGACTCGCTGGATTACTAAATTGGAATAATGTGCACCGGGCATAAATGAACAAGTCTTTGGAGCAATACTAAGGTTCATCAAGGACCTAGTTTTGTCCTAAAGCTTCGGAGGGCGTAAGTTACAATAATAGATCTTTTGGGTCGCTCCCTTCAGCTCGGCAGTAACAAAAACATTTTTATTTGCTTGAAATATTTTTTGCACAGAAATTGAAGATGTGTTTGCAGCTAGCCGCATCATTATGAAATTTCAGCACGCTTAAAAATCATGGAACATATTCAATAAAATGTCAGTTGTGATGTATGAAAATGAAAATAGGAACCTTTTTTTTATGGTAAAATATAGAATTAAGTGTTTGCCATATCACGTTTACATTTATACCCACACCACCGAGGTAAATGTTAACAAGAGTAATTTACTTACATATAAATGTATAGGCCTGGCAGTGAGAATCACACCGATAAGAGGCATTTATGCATCTGTGTTGTATTTTCTGATTTCTTTCAGAAAAATGCTGATTATTGTATAAAATCTTCAAAAATCACTTCATTACATTCAAGTGTCACTTCCATTTTACAGGTTATAACTTTATTGAATGCATTAATGTATAGGAAAAAACATAAAAGCAAAACAAAATTAAAAATTAATGGTTTTTACCTTTCTGTTAAAGAAGTCATCACCATCGCCCACTAAATTCGAAGTATCATATTTGTGTATACTGATATTGGTTTTCAAAGTTCATAAAAGCTTGATGAAAACGTTCATAATGTTCTTCTGAAAGAGCTGCTAGGTTGGGTTTAATGTATTTAAAAGTAAGTGCAGTGACATTTAGCAATCCAAAACCCGGAATTACTCCCACATTAGTTTGGAGCTTTCATCAACACTTTCGCGGATGAAATTAGTGGCTCCCATTTTACATTCGACCTGTCTTGATTTAGAAATTCTGTAGTTCTGAACTACAGAACTCTTCAACCAAAACAGGCTCATTCTGATCAAAACTTCATCAGGGCATTCATAGGTCCATTAAAAATCCCAGCATTTTGAAGTCTCCTATTACTTCCGAGTCATAATGTTTGGACTCGTTATCAGTTTCCAGTTATTATGGTGTGTTTTGTGGAGATCATGAAGTGGTGACAATTCAACATTGAACATCGCTGCCGAAGGAACATCACAATCTGAAGAAATATCACCGATCCACTATAATCTTTCGATTATTTACTAGAAATGCTAGAGTATGGTCACCAAGTTACAATAATAGATCTTTTGGGTCACTCCCCTCAGCTCGGCAGCAATAAAAACAAATCTTCAAGTCTTCTATTACTTCACAGTCATAATGTTTGGATACGTTAACAAATTCCAGTTTTTATGGAGTATTTTATGGGCATATGACGCCAAATTGTAATGCGGCAGCTCACACTGTTAATTTAGGGGAACTTAGCGGTATTTCGTGAAAAGTTTTCGGGTTATGTTCAGCCCAGTAACGAAAGCTGCGTTTATAGTAATTTCTTTAAGCATTTGCTCACACAGATTTCGGCGGTTGATTTCCAAATCATATTGGATACTAAACGGGGTTACCGACAGAAAGGAATGAGACAACACCCTAATATTCGGCCCTGAAAATCGCTTAATTTGTTCTGCCGTACCCTTTATTTACCCAACATAGTTTGTTTCCAGCTGTTGCAGGAAACATGAAACCCATTGCTTAACTTGGTTCCAAATGGCAAAATTACAATACACTTTGCAGCTGAGATTAAGACAAATATTTTTTTCCATTTGATACATTCTTCGCAGATGTAGCAGAAACAGTCTGCTGGGCGTTTACATCCGGTTGCTTAAGTCATAACTAAATCTCGATTTTTTTACAATTTAATATACAAGCTTTCTTTTCAGACTGCACAAAAAACTCTCGACCTTAGAATTACTATTGTAATATTATTTTTATTATAAATTATTCGAACATTGACGCGACTAGAATGACCGTTGTATTATAGTATTGGTAAATAAAAACAGCAAAACTTTATTCATGTCCAAAAAATGCAATATTGATGATTGTTTTGTTCAGACGAAGTTGCTTTTTATAGGGAGAAAATGTAAACACTTTTCTTTGGAAAATACATGTTTATTAAACAAAGTAACGTGATTGTTTTTATCTTAGCTGCAGTTCAATAATTCTGTATCTTCTGTAGGTTATTGTAATTAGTGGTATAGTCTAAACGTGTAGAAGGAAGGACATCCAACATTTTAATAGAATCTTCCATTTAACGTTTTCCATTCGTTCTTCCATTTAGGATGTGGGATTAGAGGTTCAGTTTACGTTTCGTTTCCGGAATGAGCCGGATATGACTTTTCGGATAAATAATTGTTTTGTGTTGAATATATATTTCAGTTTTAAGTCAAAATTTGTTGGTTAAGACAATATTCTTGTTATATGGCGTGTTCATTAAAAACTTAAAATTTGATAGTTTATATTTAAGGATTAAATGTACTAAATGGTGGAAACGTGTTTTTAATCTTGTTCAAAAACAAAATAAGCGAGAAATCCTGTTAATTCCTGTTAATGTTTTACTAATGAGTACCGGTTTGAATGAGTACCTGGTGTTTATGAACAGCGGTGTCGAGACGACTACCTTAGAAGAGATTATTTTTCTTAAGAAAAATGTTGGTGAGGTTAATGAAAAGGTTAAGTGTTAATAATGTTTGTATGATACTTAAGAAATCAACTGTAAGCAACCCTTACATATTGTATAACATAAACTTAACTTTTCGTTAACATAACGATTAGGTTTGGAATTTGACCTTGTCGAGGAAAGAATTTTTTTAATTTAACTTTTTGGGTGCTACATATTTCCTAAGTTTAAAAATAGGAGCCTTATCATTATGTATTAACTCAACTTTTAATAGTTAAATTTTATGTGATTTTCGTTGACCTAGAATTCGTTTCCAGTCCATAATAATAATGGAAAACAATACAAACCGGCGGAAAGAAGGTGCGTGTTAACGTTCATTTTTTATTGAACTATTGCGAAAAAGATTATTGATTTAACAAACAAACCACCTCGCCATCGATGACAAAACCGCAAATCAAAACAATTTATTTCTATTTAAAGAAACACGTACTAAAAATACAAACACGTACAAAAACCACAAAATTTTAATTAACAGTTTTAGTTTTAACATTTCTTAAACTTTGTATAAGATTTATTAAGTATCAAAGTCTCTTAGTACTTATTAATAGTTTCAGCAAGCTAAGCTAAAAATAATTCGTAAAGCGAAAATCACATTTTCAATAATTAATCGGCAGCGATTAAGAAATTAAAATTGAATCGAGAAGTGAATTATTTGAAAAGTAAGGTTTTAAGATATATCTGATATCTCGTTTTCTGATTACATGATTTTTCATATTTTTCAAAACTCCTCCATGTTTTGATTGAATTCTGTATTTTCGTAGTACATGCGTG